TAGCTCTCTCGCACAGCCGCTATCTCGCTCTCCCTCTCTCTCCCTATCTCTCTCTCTCTCGCTCTCTCTCACTCGCGCTCTTTCTCTTTCTTCTCGCTCTGGCATCCCTCGAATCAGAATCCTATGGCACTTCTCCTATTATCGTCTGTTTTTTGCTACCTTCCTTTTTATCCCCTTTTTACTTCTTTCACTCGCTTCCGTTTTTTGCCCCCTTCCACGACCCTCCATTTTTCCTGCCGCCTTTGATTTATATGGCAAAGACTATGTATGGGATGCTTTTCCTTTTGCAACATGTCCCCTGGGATGTTTGGAGTGGGCCCACCAACGGGGGTCGGGTTGAAGACCCATCGCCCAAAATTCGAGTAGACAACTTGTCAGCTACCGATTTGCATTTTGGGGCTGAATTTTGGGACCACGGGCTCCATCTCGGTTACTCGTTGGTCTCGGCACGCTCAAATTTGGCATTTCCAAATTTGATCTCGGCTTTTACACCTGCCGTTGTGGCCTGCAGGGAGTGTGGGGGAAAGTCGATCGGCGGACTTATTTTCTGTTTTGGTTGGCTTGGTATACTGTGGTTGAGCCAGATTTTAGCAAGCATGATGATGAAAAAGGAAATTTTTCGTGTCCGGATTTCCTAAAGAATTTCTGCTGGCTTTCTCAAATACTGTTTTTACCGTAGCACTTCGGAGTTAGGGAATTAGCCAATAAAATGTCTAAAAATTTGTACGACTTTGATTGGTTCGAGATTGTAGATGGCTTCGAACTTTTTGGGGTATGCGGGGGGGTGCTACTTATTGGGAACTTCCAAAAAAGCAAGCTTGATGAGGACAGTTTTGGGTGATAATTTGAGCGCAACGTTGCTTGACAGCGACCACGCTACTCACCAAAATCACGAGTGAGTCAGCCTAGAGAGGACACCGCATAGTACCTGAGGCTCCTGTCTTTTTTTACCACTAAATTAGCCTAAATTCAAATGCCAATTCGCTTCGAGCCACGGCCCTAAAAATAGCTGCCCTATACGGGTCCAAATCCCCCTAATCTCCATTAATTCACATATCCATTTCAAATCCTCCCGGTCCTAATTTACCGAGAACTGTTGATTCAACGCAGTCAAATTGTCCACAACCGGATTAGAAGCCGGGGGTCGGCTTAAAAGCTTAACATTCAGGTAGTTACTCAGTTCAGAACCACAATAATGAAGCCAAAGATGTGGGCCGTGGCCCCCCTATTTAACATTAGCATTTCGGGAATTGGTGAAGCCCGGTGGGCGGCGGGCACACCATATTGACTCCAGGTGGCTTTTCGGGTTTTTTTTAAGTTTCTAGCGACTACGGTACCCCGGTTGGGACATAGTACGGTGGAGGGATTTGGGCGGCTTTTTGCGGAGGGATGCGATAAAGGGCGATACGGCAAAATTAGGAATGCTGGATGATATGCAGCAGATTTTAAGACTTTCAATATATCTAAGTGAAACAAGGAAGAAGTACAAATTTTGGACGTTTTATTGGCTAATTCCCTAACTCCGAAGCGCTACGGTGCGCTTTTTCACCCAACTGACTAATCCGATCCGATGTGCTCAAGCTGGCCGGCTTATCCCACACAGCACAGTGCATTTAGCATCGAGAATTACCCCCTTTTTTTTTTTTTTTTTTTTTTTTAAAATTTTATTTTTTTTATAAACCCCCCCCCCCTCCCCCTTTCCCCCCCCCCCCCCCTCCCTTTTTTTTTTTTTTTTTTTTTTTTTCTAAATTTTTTTAATTCCCCGAAATTCCAAATGGTCCCGGATGTTTCGGTATCATCACCGGGACACTTTTTGCGGGCCGATAGGAATCTCCAGGTAGATCACGAGGGATAGTGGTAGTAATTGTTTTTGGGGGATTAGTCAGGTCGGGCCTGGGATACGGTAGATCCCAGTTAGGTCAGATAGGATCCCTGCCGATGCGCCATTCAGGTTTTAGCAAACTTTAAAAAATGCGCGCATTCGCAAGGCCCCATTGGGGAAACTAGCACACATCGCCTAGGTCTAGACTCCTACAAAATTCTGTAATACACGCTTATAAGTGCACCTTGGATTATGTCGAAACGTGGGGTAACGTAAGATTTTATCAAAATACACTGACGAGTCAGAGCCATGCGTAACTGTCGACACCTAGTGTGTGGCCAGCTTTGATTAGGGCATTCCCCAGCCCCTCTAATCAACATTTAGCGGAAAAATTGCAGCGAAACTTTCGGAAATTGGCAGCGGCTTTCTTTTTTCAGTCTTTTTTCTTTTTCTCACTCCAAGCGACCAGTTCCATGGTGATAATCTTGTTTTGAAATGGCAACCACCGGCAGCAGCATCAGCAGCGTCACAAGACAATGGGCAAGTGATCAGCCTGCTCCCCGGCGAAATCCGCGAGTAAATCGTCGATCGCCGTAGTGAACATCCCACCCCATTACGCTCCTCATTACGCACCCATCTTGCACCCAAATATTATGGCTGGCGGTGCGAAGACCCCTGCTGCCGGGAGTCAATTTCGCAAAAGGCCCGAAACCCGTCGATTTTGACGCGCTTGGCTGGTCTTGTGGTTCCGGGGAAGACCATAACCCTGCACAATGTGCGTCTGAAATGAGAATCGAGCGGGGAAAGGCGATAGACTAGTGCGGGCTTCACAATTCTTGAGGTACATCAAACTTTTTAATGCGAAGATGTAGGGTAAGATTACTATAAGGAAGCCCAAGTCACACGAAAACAAAGGCGAAACTTGGCCCTGGACTTTCGGGAGCACATAAAAACGAGCTGGGGCACATGGCTTCTTGAAAAGGCCGGCGAGGTCGAGACGGAGTGATTTTTAATTGCTGTTGTGCTTCCGGGATGCGGGAGTGTCTGCGGATGTGGGTGAGGTTACGGTAGGACATGTTACTTATAGGAAAATTGTTTGCAAGGGACTGTTCCCGTTAACTTCCAATTTCGGAAGGTTGACTTCAATGGGCTTCAGTCGGGCTATCCTCTCTCCCCCCCCCCTCCCCCCCCCCCCCCCCCCCCCCCCCCCCCCCCCCCCCCCCCCCCCCCCCCCCCCCTCTCTATATACCGCTTTCTTGTTTTCTCTCTCTCTCTCTCTTTCTCTCTCTCTCGCTCTCGCTTTCTTTCTTTCTCTATTACAAAACTTCGGCAACTTAAGGCTACCGTAACTAGAGTATCGCACGAAAAGTGCATCCCACCCCGATTACACACAAATGACATTGTACTCACCGGTCAAGAGTCATCCACCGAAATGCTCAACTACTCAACTCTACCAGGGATTACCGATCTCTACCGTACTCTCCTCCATAGCATCTGACCTCCTGGTTCCAGCCGGGATTCCTCCCGCAACAAGACACCCCTCCTCACACCCCCATTCACCTAGTGATTATACCCCCACTGTGTCTACGGATTTTTGAGAGATTTTAATGCGGGTCCTCCCAAAAAGCACATGGCAATCAAGTTTTTGGGGTGGGCCGCCCGGATTATGGCCATTGTTTTTACTCGTTTTCAGCACATGCTCCCCCCCTCGCCCGGGTAGTGTATGTTTTTGTATTTCCGGTGAAATGCCACCGGGGTGGGGTACTGTAGTGCAAAATTTTGAGCACATTGGCAGAGTTAAGCTTTTAGCGTTACTTATCAGGGTTGACTTCGCAAGAATTTTAGCAATATGGAGCAAAATACCAGCGAATTTTTATGATCCTCTCCCTTCCGGATTACGGTACCTTGACTCAACAAACCCGGCGCTCCGTTCGATCTACACACCACCCCCGGGTCCCCGCAGCATATTTTTCCCGAATTGAGCCGAATCGGATTTCCGGCGAAAATTTGTAGAAATGTGGGGACCGGGTCTCGAGGAGGGGGATACAAAATGGCTGGGCGGACCTAGGAAAAACAGAGCCGCGTGCAAAACTGCGTAAACAGCTGCTAGATTTGATGCTTAAAAATTAATTTTGATTTGATTAGATTTTGGTAGAGCAGTTTAATTTCAGTTTCATTAAAATTATGTAATTTTTTCAATAAAGCCTGTTCTAAATAATTTAGTTATATTATAGCGGGCTAAAAGATCCATATAATTTGAGTTTGACGAAATCCACAAAGCCGTAGCGATATCCACATTTTTCTGATGATTCTTTGGATCCCTAGAAAATTTTTCGAGATCTCAAAGGGACTTCGGCATTTTTGGAGGCGTCAGTTTGATCGAATGGCTAAGCCCTGTCTTTTTGCCTCTACCTTCATTCAATTTTTCCAAAGTGGTCACCGCCCCTCATCCTCCCCGCCTCGGCCTTCCGTCCCTCCCAAAAATATTTTTAGTTCATTGTTTTCTATTTTGAGGGCCATCCCGATCCCGGTTTCTACGCACGCCCGACAATTTGCCGAAAAGTGTATATGGATGGGAGGGGGCCACAACGCCCGAGCTTACGCTGAGCCCCCGACAGAAAAGAGAGAAAGAGAGAGAGAGAGAGGGATAGAGAGAGAGAGGGAGACATGAGGGTATTTCCAGCAAAGCTCTCCCCCAGGGGTTACTGTAGCCCACCCACCCTTCTCGTCCTGAGAAATCATCCCGATTTGCCGAGCGGGGAATTGTTCTACCGGGTCTTGGTTTTTCCTCCAATCTTATTTTGATTTTCAAGGTAGGGGTAGCGGCTGGGTACGGTATTTCATCGACATCCGCCGGGATAACTAGAATACCACATACCGTAAATAGCCAAAAACGTAGCACCTGCCGCTATCGTTTGTTCGCGGCGGCGAATGGGTTCATTTTGGTAAGGTTAGGCTGTGCAGATGTATTTTTGATTGGTTAGTAGCTATAGAACGAGCGTGCTGAATAAAGTTATATTGAACTCAGCAATGTTAAGCATTAATTTATGATTTGTATATTACTACTACTGTAAGGCGGTCTTTATGGGCTTTTATGAGCTGTCAAACATCACCGCTTCGATTTTGATGTTCTGCTGTTCCTCAAGAAACCCTTCGATTTATTACCATAATTTTTCAGATGTCTCTGGCGAGCTTCTCGCCACCGAGCCCACCACTAGTCTCACCGTACGGCTCGGCGTCGTCGTCCGTCGACCTCGAAATGCACTGTCCTCCGATGCAAGAACGGTGAATTTTAATTTTGGTGCAAACCGTCGAAAGGAAGCTTACGGCATGAAAGACAAGGAGGTGTTGGTGTCGCTGATGAGTAAAGGCTAGTGCTAATGCAGTTAGGGGGCAGTCCTAAACTGGTAGTAAGGGGTTACGAAACGCTCCGTTTAAGCTACTTCGTTTTCTATGAAGCCTGGGCTTAACTTATCTTGAGCTTCAAATTGACTTACGCGGTCAAAATGGGGTAAGCTTAGCCTGGCTGAAGCTGAGCTCAAGCTCCGTTTGTATGAAGCTAAGCCTAGGTTTATGCTTAGCTTAGCTTTTCCAGAGACTTCGAGTTTAAAAAATGGCATTTGGAGCGTCTTGTAGTCAAAATCCAGACAGCACATTTTCCTAAAAATCATTTTCAAGAAAACTGACAGTTGATATGATGTTCGTTCGCGAAAGTTTCTCAACCCAAAATAAGTTTCTACAGTAGATACAAAAAAATTTACTCTAAACCCATCATCTTTAATCATCCAGTCGCCCCGAAATTGATAGCCCCCACCTTTTTTGCGTTGCAAAAGCAAGATGAACGGCTGCCGGGGGCGGATTACCGACCGGAATCCGTGCCGAAAGCCAGTAGATTGGCTTAACCTCTGGGTTTTATATGCGTTTTTTTAACGAAAAGGGTAGGGCTTGAAAAATAAGCTCGGGGTTTGGTTCCGGAAACCGGAAAAAATCATTTTTGAACGGAATTTTTCTAACGATAAACGGGATTTGAGTCATGGGGCAAGATGTTTCCTGTGCGATATTTTTAACTACAAAAGCTATAAGGGATTAAGCGAATTTGACAGCGGTCGATGTTTGCAAGTGATGTCTGGATTTCGTACTTAAAACAAAAAAGTAGATTCTCTAGATACAAAAATTTATCCACAAATGGCCGGACTCCAGTTATCCGGTGAAATTACCCTAATCGGGTTCCTGTCACACTTTCTTTAAAAAAGCTAGTAGCTCGGCATGCTATATCCCCTAGCCAAACACCAATATTTACTTTGAGTCAACCCGTAATTTTCACCCTATGCTGATCCGCTTATGAACTACTACCCATTATCCAGCAGCCGTCTCCCGAAATCCACCAGATTTTGGGTGAAAATCTACACTAGCGCCGTGGTCTTATCGCCTTCAGGCATATTGTTTACCGTCTTCCCGGGCACGCCCCCCCACCCTTTTCTACTACGGTATCTCATTCTGGTCGGGTGGAGGGGGCAGGTTTTCCAGAATTCTTTGAGTAAACCCCCGGGATGGTTGCCTGAAAGTATCATTTTTGTCTGGTTGGGTAAGGCTATTGAGACTTTGCCCTTCGTTTAGCAGCAGTTCTATGGTGTCACGATCGATTTTTAAAGTGCTTCTAACGCTCGGACCTTCGAGCTTCCTTGTACCATTGTCTCTTGACACTACCTCCAAAGGTCGAAAAGTACCTATAGACCAGATATCTCTTTACAAACCTGGAGATTACATCTATCTTTACACATATAGTACCTGGTCACAATAAATTTTAATTGTTCGAAACTACAGGGGTGCTAGATTCGTACTTCGGACATTGAGATTTTTCTTAAAAATATCGATGGTCTCTAAAAGTTGCAATCATCCATCGTTTAGTTAGCGCCTTTCGACAAAATTCAAGTGCCGAACAAAGAGCATTCTGAAACCCGGAACAGGCCGACCTGCGCATCTATAACATGTCGAAAATCGTAACTGGTGAATCACTTGGAAGCTTCAGTAAAAAACTACAGTATCGGTGACCACTGTATCTAACTTGTGGAACAGAAAGTGCCCCTTGGCTGCTGCCGGAGACCCCTTGGAAATCACTTTTCACGCGGGGGCATTCAAAGTTTTTTATCATAAAAGTATTTTTAAATGTGCTTGTTTTCGGGCTATAAAAAAAGCTCTTCGGCCCCTTTTCGGCCTTCTATCGAATGGCATTTTCAAAATACCGAAAATATTCAAAACGCCAAAAATTTGTTTCCCCACTCCCCCGTTATCCTATGTGCTGCCCATAGTTTTCAAAAATAGTTTATAGGCTATAAAACTTTTATAAAGCATCTTTTGCGTTGTAAAAATCTCCTAGTCTATTTTTTGACGTTCTATCGAATGGTGTTTTCAAAATCCCGAAAATTTAGAAAATTCGACTTTCCCCGTGTGCGCTCATAGATCCAGCCAGGTTTCAGGATCAATTTTTGTTTATTCAATATTTTCATTACATTATTTTGGGCTGAAATTAATTAGCGTAGTATATTTTTCGACGCACTATCGAATGGCATTCGCAAAATCCCATAATAATTGCAAATTTCATAATAATGATTGCACCCCCCTCGGGATTCTATCCCCTCCCCCCGGTATCCTATAAGTACCAATGCTTCAATTCGACATGGTTTTAAGGCCGGAATTTAAAAGTTCTCAATTAATATTGTACCAGGGTTGAAAAGCCGCTTCGCAACTTTTCAACCCTGGCCCCGTCTGATTTGATTGAAGTCGTACTTTGCTCCTCATGAATTCCGATGAAAAAATGAAAAACGCTGGGCCCCATTATAGGCTAGTGTCACTTCCGGTCAATGCTAATTTTTTTCCTAACAAAGAGGATGCCCGAAATTTTTACAAAAACAGAAATTTAGTATCTAAAAGATAGGATTTAGTAAAATATGATAAGCGTGCAGTCATCCCAGAGCCATTACGCACCTAATGACGTATCATACGTACCTTAAAACCCCTCCCCTCTTGAGATATCCTCCGGACATGGTGACGGAAGTTGCATGCAAAGTGGCACACACACACAGACACTATTTTTTTATATATAGTAGGATTGCTATGAACCTGGTTTATTTTCAGCTCTCCACCAGCCGGTTGGTTGCCGCTGACGAGCCAGGGCCACCCGGGTATCCCACACCCATCCCAGATACCGTACCCGTCGCCCGTCTCCGACGATTCGATGTACAGATATACAGAATATATCGACGATGTCAAGCCTGCCTACTATCATACCCATCCTACGGCTTATTATCAGCTGCCCGATCCAGGTAGGTTTTCAAGTGCCGGCAAGTACAAAATCCCTTAAAATTCAAAACTTTGATGTCCCAAAATCACCGTAACCAATCCTTCTTTTTTTTCCAATACTCTGTCCCAGCACGGATCTCTGGCATAACACTTTCTACGCCCGGTTTTTCTTGTTTTCTTTTTACACGCCTAAGCCGGTTGGCCGGAAACGGATGCTGGGATCCGGAATTCTGAGAAAATTATATCGTAAAAAGAGGGCATTGAAGACCAAACTTTAAACAAAACCTTTCAGAGCCGTTCGCCCCGCAGGGAATGGCGTTCCCGCTACCGGACAAGAACAATTTGCTATGCAAAGTGTGCGGGGATAAAGCGAGTGGATATCACTATGGGGTTACCTCGTGCGAGGGTTGCAAGGTAAAGTTTTGAATTTCCGAATCGCATGGTGAAGCGAGCGAAAATACCAGAATTTACCATAATTTCTGGGGCGTAATGAGCAAAACTTCTGGGTTTTGCAGATTGTAAGAGCGCAATAATTGTGGTTTTGCCATGCAGGTGAACCCCTTCCCAAGGTTTTTATGATAGCTCAACCGAAGATATCAACAGGGTGCCCTACCCCTGGTGGTACAGGGTGGTGTCTTTCGCTAGATCATCTTTTTAATCAAAAATCACTCAATCACCTAAACCTTTGATCTCATTTTCGTCCAGCGGATTATGCACAAGGGTGTGAGCACAATGTGCCAAAATCGAACACTCATATTTATGCCCCACCCAGCAACAATAGTCATGTTTCCGGCGTCGTGTCATCGGGGGGATAATCTCGGCACGCGAGCAGATAATTCCCGATTTGCGCCACGGTTCTTAGAACTACCCCGGATCCACCGTAACCCTCCTCGGTCTTGATGAGTTAGTCCAACGATGGGGTCATTATTTTTACGCGACGTCTTGTGTTGGACAGACAAGCTGACTGGGTAGAGGGGAAGGGGGATAAGCTGAATATTTTTCGAAAATAAGGCAGGCGACACGCAAAGGTTTGTACTTCGGCGTGACTAGGTGTACTTGATGTAGATGCGGTGTAGGTTTTGGAGGCGTTGGAGGCTAAAACGTGCGTTAAGTAGCCGGGGCAGATTAGTGCTGGTCACTGATGCCAATTAGGATTTCATCCGGGGTCCTTAAAAAGTCGGCAAAATTATTTTGTTGCTGGCCGTGGTGTTTGGACGGTCTTTTTTAGCAAAATTTGATTTTATCTCTTTAACTCTCTCACTTCCTCTCACACGCTTTGACTCGCTCTCTCTCTCTCTATCTCGCCTATTCTTCCGCTTACGCTCGACCTCTCGACTGGTAGTCTTTCTCCCTCGCTAACGGTCTCTCTCGCTCTCTGTCTCTCACTCCCTCGCGCTCTCTTTCTCTCGCTCACTCCCTTAACTGCCAAACTCCACCCCCAATCGATATGGATCCTCTATGTGAGGCTAGTGTTGGTAATTGTGCCCCAGGCTGCTGCTATCTGGTGTATGCGGAGTGTTGCGCAACAGGCCCACGTTCTCAGATAGGGGTAGGGGTTGGCGGGGGTCTATTGTGTTTGCCGGTATGCCATTAACATTCATCAGGCCCACCAAATGGCATGGGGGAGCTAGCATAAAATATAGGGGGTGGGCATGAATTATCGGATATATAATGGGCCGGACGGGGTATAACTTGTTGCGTAAGGGGAAGGGGCGACATGTTGCGAGGGAATGGATAATTCGCAAAATAGAAATAGTCGTATTACAAACTATAATTGTTAATTTCAGGGCTTCTTCCGTCGCAGCATCCAGAAGAACATGGAATACAAGTGTTTGAAGGACAACAACTGCCCGATCTCGAAACCGAATCGCAATCGCTGCCAGAGATGCCGCTTCAAGAAATGTTTAGCCGTCGGGATGAGCAGAGATTGTAAGTTCTGGTATCATTTAATGGTAATTATATCGAGGTTATATAGGCAGTTCAGCATGTTCAATACAATTTGACCACATAGCGATTTTGACAATTTTAAGATTTTTCTCAATTCGTTCTTCTATGCAAATCTGCAAAGTTGCCCTTAAACGATTATCTCAAGGTGTCTCACAGGTTTTTCAATTTCAAGTAAAGTTTGCCCCGCGTCTGGGCCCAACTTTCCGAGACTACAGTAAATTCCATTCCATTCCATCCAATCCAAATACCGGTCTCCCGATTCCGGGATGATCCGCGCCTGGACCAGAGCTGAACTCCCCACCCCCATCTCAATCTACTTTCCCCCTTCCTCTCATTTAACACATCGTTCCCAAATCCGCAAAAACTTTTGTTTTCCTGCCGATTATTCAACTTTCCCCGATCCGGCTACGATATAATCCGGCACCAACTTTTTGCTGGTATAGAGCCGGGGAACGTTGGGTAAAAACAGGCTGGGGATACGGTCAAAGGATCATCACCGGGCTGTCACTCTCCCCGTAGCACGTCCTTTACAAATTTTTGATGATTTTTTGGGGATCATCCGAAAGTGGTATTTTTGGGAAAAGCAAAATGTCAGCGAAAGTGAAATGGATCGGTTTGTTCGCGCAAAATGACAAGAGTTTCGTGGCGGTTCCGGCTTAGCGTATGATTTTTATGGGGGGTGCGCAAAATTCGTGATGTTACAGTAGGACGGGTAAGCCGTTTCTGGTCATCAGAGGGGTGCGGGTGGGGATTACTACGGAGGAGTGGGGAGGAGACGGGTAAAAGTATTGTTGCGGAAAATTTCAGGGGTGTAGGGATTGTAAAGATTACCGTTCGTTTTTAAGCAAAGAAATGGTAGATGAAATTCACAAACGTGTAAGTTAGAGAAGCAAAACCTAAAATCCATTTCATAGGCATCGGGACAAAACTTTAATTTCAGCTGTCCGCTACGGTCGTCTACAGCGCAAACGGGACAAAGAAGCGCTCGTGGCGACGACAGGGAACAGTGCAGCAGCTCCACAAAGTGCCATCGACAACCAGGCGGCTGATTTATGCACTTTTATTGATCAGGTATCGGCACTTCACGTAGCTCAAATAGCTTTTACAGGTCACGAATGCTTTTATCAGCAATCCCGGATGTCCGCCACCGCATATCATCGTTCAACCGACGTTTATGGACCTGGTAAGAGTCAATTCGAGTCTTTTGCATATCGCTCTCTCTCTATCTCTCTCTCTCTCTCCCTCACTATCTATCTTTGATTCTTTCAGAAACCAAATTCCGAATGCGTATCAGCAGCCGAACTTCGTGCTCTCCATTGGCAACAATACGCAGCTTCTTGCCAACAAGACATCGAAACCTTCGTCGACTTCGCCAAGTCCATCCCAATGTTCAACGAGATGAAGACGAACGACCAGTTAGAAATCATCAAGGTGAATCGACCATCGAATTTGACCTTCGATTCAGAACACCTACTTCTCGGTTTTTGTCGTCAGAACCGCGCCGGCGATGAGCGAGCCGCAGTTCGTGCTCAACTCTGGGGTGGCGGTGACCAAGCAGCAGGTTTGAGTTACCAATTTTGGTAAGCGTATTACTGTTACCTTCAGCTAATCAACCTCTACGAGCCGGACTTTGTCTACCGCTGGTCGCACTTTGCCAAGAACTTCAATGCACTTCAATTTTCCACCGCCGAGAGAGCCCTCTTTATAGTGTGGATCCTGATCTCAGCCAGTCAGTTCAATCCCTATCTTATTTTTCGCAATATTCTACTCTGGTATACCAAAAGTGTGCTTTTTCGCGGACTTGTGCCTAGATTGTTCCACAGCGTTCAGGGACAGTTCTAAAGGATTATCTTGGGATGAAAATAAAACTAGAGTTGAGGAAGACTCGGGAAAGGGGGAAAAGAGCGCTGTTTGCTCGCTTTGATGTACACTTTTCAGACGTCTATTTGCCGCTAAGTAATCAGGATGAATTGGAGCAGCTGAAGAGAGTCGTTGAACAGGCATTAAGGGTAGGTTGCCTTTATGAACCCTTTAATTCCCGCAATTTCAGTCGGTGCTCCTCCGCAGCCGCGCCAACCCGCTCGCCTTCAACACACTAATGTCTATGCGCGAGGAGCTGAAGCAGATTTGTGAGTAGTTGTTTTTCGCATGTCGGGAATTGAATAGTCATTAAGCAAAAAGGCGTTGCAAGGAGCTTATGGCTGAGCCGGGGGGGATGGATCGGGGGCGTCAAAATGTCAGCAAAACGGATTTGCGGCCGGAATAGCCGGGCGGGTGGAGCATTACGATAAAAACATCGTGAAAACGATATCTAAAAAGTTAGAAAATCCAAGAATATTTTAGGCAAAGATAATTCAAAAAGATACATAGTTCTGGAGCAAAAAAAAATGGGATTGGAAGTCTCGTCCAGCGGTCCTTAAGTGTTTTCCTAAACTAAATCTAGCGCTTTTTTAATGTTAATTAAGCGTTTTGTCGATAAAAAGCTAAATTCTAAGATATGCCTCATAATTATATATAATAATGAATTTTAGCAATGGCGCACGACAGAAGCCTCGAGTGGGTTCGTCAGAATATCGCCGCAATTGAGATTCCACTGCTTTTTGCCGAGGTCTTCAGGTAAGAAAAATGTTGGAAAACTATATACGTTTTTAAATAATTTATTGAAGACCGTATTGACGTTTATGCGTGACACTGTGATTTTGCGTGATTTTACGTGTCCTACGGCGAAAAAAATTGTGTTTTTGGATCTCAAAAACTGGGATTCTACACCAAATTTTCGAGTTTTAGTGGATCAGAAAAATACAAGCCCCCCCCCCATTCCAATACCGCCTCCCCGGGGTGATTGAAAAATTAACCCCCCAGGGTTATATTAGAGGAAATAAGGTAATACATTTCCATTTAAACTACAACCAAGGACTCTTGATAAATTCCAATCATTGCGTATTTCTCAGGATCGCCCTCCACCCCCCGGTCTACCAACAAGACATCGTCGTCAAATCGGACCACTTGGACATTTGTGAATTAAAGGCCCTTTAATTTGTAATTTGGCTGTACAGTCGTGTAGTTTCGCCCGTTACTTTCTCGTCACCCTCGATTCGACCCACCATTCCCAGCCATTCCCGCCCCAAACACCACAGTATCGCATCTCGACCAACATTGAGATTTTCTATAGCTCATCACATTGTGATTTTCAAGTTTGATAACAGCTAGGCTATGGAAAAAGAAGAAAAATACGCTTTATTTAACATATTTACCGCAGTGCCAGACTTAAAAATTATATAAAGCGTATTTTTCAGTTTTCCCGTGATGCCTCCTGCTGTGCAATTTCGTGTAGTTTTTACTTTCTAAAAACTCGCATTTAACGATGCTGCCTAAATAACGCTACGCTGCGCTTGTAATTGGTAGTTGGAAACGTGTGTAATTTTTTTTGGCTTTGTCTGCTTTTCTGCTTTTGGTGTATTTTTAATCTTAAAACTCAGAAATTCACAATATTCCTTGTCTTTCCCGAAAACCCAACAACACCCCCCAAAAATATCTCCAACACATTGTCTTTCGTTGCTCAATTTTTGTAAGTTCTAAGATTTTTGGTAATTTGTAAATTTCAAGCTTTGCGGTACCTTTAAAAAAAGCATGTTGCTGTAATAAATAGTAATAAAAAAATATACATATCTTCAAATTTAACAATTTAATTTCTTGAACAACTTTCGATATATTATGGCAATGCACGCGAGAATAAATACAAGAAATTCGTAATTATTTAGATCCGTGTGATAGAACGGATATGCAAAGTGGGAAATACTGAATACCAGGATATTGCGGTTTTTAAGGAAACATTTGGAATTTTAAGAATTTTACATCACATTACGACTATTTTAAGGTATCACACAGTTTGTCGCAGAAAGATAGATTCGGAAGAATAAATTAGCGTATCAAAAAAAGCGTGGCAATATTCGTCGAGAGGGGGGAAAGGCAAAAATGTATTATTCTAGCGTAGACCCGTAAGATTATTGGGGTAAATTAGATGCCGTAAGACGGATCTTTGGGTAGTTCATGGATTTGTTGTTGGCCGGGGGCTTGGGCTGGGTGTTGGGGTGCCTGGAAAAATTGAATTTTGATTGGAATAGCGCTTTAAATCGGCTAAAACCCTCGGAAAATTGCTCCGTTATGTGTAATGGCCGCGAAAATCCTTTGCAACGCGTCATTTGGAGTTTTACGTAGCTAACAAGGAGTCGTTTTTGGTGACAAGACCAAGCCTATTTTGTGCAGAATCTTGCACTGATTTGGTGGCTAGTTTCAAAATCTGCGAATCAACCAGATCGACAAATTTTTAGGGTGGAAATGACAAAAATTTGCCGAAATGGGGTTGGTGTGGCCTTTTTCGCATTTAAAACCTTCATGAATTTCTCGATCTTTTCGTTTCGCGGATTTGGAAGACAGGCTCGAGATCAACGCAAAATTCTTCACAAGCTAGACCGCCCCGAAACTCGATTGTCACTAAAACACGTCTTCTTGTTTTAGACTGATTCACATAATTCAGAAGGGTTGCCCTCTTAAAATTTGACCCACCGGCGGTTGTCCTTGATTGTGATGCACTTCCGGTGCAATCGGTTGAATCGGCTGCTGGTGCTGCTGTTGTTGTTGATGTTGCTGCTGCTGATTATTGAGCTGCTGCTGCGCGGCGTCGTGTTGGGCTGTAACCGGAGCCGTCGACGTTCGGTACGCGCCCTCGCCCCATCCTACAGATCGAGAGATCAGGGTTTTGCTAGGGAATTTTGAAGGGGAGACAGCGCACCACAGGACAAACCCAAAAACCGGTCAAGAGTAAGTCGACTTCACCCAAAAATCCCGAGATGGGATGGATTCAAGGCGTGCAGGTTGAATTTCACACGAAATGTCATGACATACCCATCTCCTTGGCGTATTCCTCCTCGAACTTTTTCAGCTCTTCCTCGGTGTAGGGGTCCTGTTTTCCAAGATCGTCCCATCCAGGGTCTTTTCCGTCAGTCTGAGCTTCATTGTCCTTAAAAGGGTATAAAAGCTATAACCGTCTAACTTACAGCAATATACTCCTCATAACTGATCAACCGATCGTGGTTCTTATCCATTTGAGTCATCACATGCTCCCGCATCCGGTTCATCTCCTCAAACCTGCAAAAAAACCTGTTTTAATACGCCAAAACTGGCCTACCGCTCCCTCGGATCATCATCAGGGTTCGTCTCATTGTAAATTTTGTCGAGCTCAATTTGGAAAAGCGCCTCCAACTCGTCAGTATTCCAGAAACCATCCCCGTTGATATCGTGGAGCCGGAAGAAGGTTTTCGGGTCGAACGAGTCTTTGTCCATCTGAAAAATTTGATAGGTACTTTGAGAAAGAATGAATCTTACATGATCTCCCTCCTCCCAAACTTCTTCGAGCTGGTCCTTGCTACCCGGATGTTTCAGCTTCTCGTGCTCGTTATGACGAGCCTGGCGGGCTTGCTCCTCGGCTATGGCCCGCTGGCGTTCCTCTTCGTTCATTTGAGCGAGCTTGTGGTCTTCTTCCGCCTAAGAAATTTATTTTAATCCCGATAATCTACCCAGATTTGCATCAGAAAAACCTCAAAAATTTATTTACCTTCTTCTTCATCTCGTACTCCTTGAACTCCTCCCTCCTCTGCTTGTCCATTTCCTCCATGTCGGCCACGGTCTAGAAATTAATAAATTTCTTTAAATTTCGATAATCAAACCTTCTGAATGAGCTTTCTCAAGTCCTCCTTGCCGAACTTCTCCCAGTCCTCCACATCCAGATGCTCGGGCATTTTAATGTTTTGGGCATGCCCGTCGGCTTTTATTTGCTCTTCGACTTGTTTCCTAAAACGATATCACGTGTGCCAAAGGATAGTGATACCTCAGTCGTTCAATTTCGGCCGCCTTTGCTGCTGACAATTGGTTGAAGATACCCTCGTCAAGGTCATCGAGATGATCAGCAACAGCTCCGGCCTGGAACGGTTGAAAATAGCTTGAGATTATCACATGACGTACTTTACCTAGAAGGATAGTTTTACGATACGATGCATGTTAGTTATATAGCTGTTAACATGAACAAAATACGGATTAGTATGGGTTAATATCTGCATGGTTCTATCAAAAATGCATAGATCTACAAAAAAAACATGTTTTTAAACTAGAGTTGCACGAACCTTGATCTGCTCCTCGCTCAGCCCCTTCAGTTTTTCGTTGAATTTCGGGTCGTTTTCCAGGATTTTCACGACTTCTTCGAGGTATTTGTTGTAGGTAAATTGATACATCTAAATCAGGAAAATTAGGAAATCATTTTATGCCACTGAACTCACCGGTCTCGGTGCATCATTATCATGTTGGGGTGGAGGGGTGTGTTGGGTTTCTGCTAAAAAAACAATAGTATACTTTTTATCCTGATTTTTAGCGCTAACTGTTAAGCTTTCAAAACAGCATGTAGAAGAACCGACCTTGTTGAGAAGCTTGCGCGGCAGCGTCTCGTCGCGGCGGTGGGCAAATTACGGCGGCTATTAAAATAGCCAAGCCCAAGAATAACCGCATCTGAAAAATAAATCATTATTGCCTGCTAAATCACCATGTAAAAAGTTAACTCAAGAAGAAGAGAAAAACAAGAGGTTTTTTCAGCTTTAGCATGTTTTCCGATCGTGCAAAATCTAAGATACTTTCAAAGCTTCGAATGGCCCATTTTTGTCGAAAATCGAGATCATAAGCCGACGAAAACGATCGCCCAGCGCCTGGCGAGCCAGTTGGAACCTGTTTGTGTGAAAATTCAGGGCGCATCTTCAGCCCGGGGGGATCGAGATTCTATGGAAAGGAGGAGATCACAGACGAAAAAGGGCGGTGAGTGTGGAATAGGCAGAGAGGGGGAATAGACGGCCATTCCGAGACACGACTCTGTCCACTCGACAAGTCGACGTTGCAGAAGCTGCCCAAACAAATCCAGGGCTTATGTTTGGGGAATTTGGGGAGGATAATAACGATTCGTGTGAAATGGTGTCGTTTTGGGAAAATGCGGGAATGTGAGGCCAATTGGGCAAATCGGCTTACTTGTCCCTGATGCATCGGGATTGGCAGAGTTGGCATTGGCAGATGTTCTTATCTAAGGTCAAATGTCACTGATATTGATGCCAGTTTTTGGTGGTAGTGGATGATGGAGAAATACATGATAAAAATGCTTTAAATGCGGCGAAACGTGAGCTGTCCCAGCGGCATGTCAGCAAAATTCTTTTCCGAAGCCAGCAAGCCTAAGCAGAAGCCACGAATTAAAAAACCGCAAAATTTGGGACAAGCCTTCGGGTGCAAATCCGTGCTGTGTCTGCATCTGCAATATCAAAAGTCGCTTTCGGAATTTAGGAACAGCTAAATTTTGTAGCTGGTACAGTATCTTGGTTTATGAGATTCCGTGGTTTTCAAGTTCTCAGAATTTTCATGGCGTCGTAACTTTCAAAAATTTTATTGCTACACCGTTGTAGGATCCTAAACAGCTCTCACAAATCACAAATCGTCATTTTTCATTTTTTATCTAGATTTTGAAAACCTCTAAAATAAAGTATCGTTATTAATAAATCGAGACAATTAAACCAAACCAGAAAATACCCACGCTTTAAAACCATTTTCTTCATTCAATCAGAGGAACTTTTATTTGCAGAAAGCTTTGATATTCTTGCGCCCGATAGAAATACCGAAATTCTACTGTAAAATGGCTCGATTTGGGCGGATTCCAAAGTTTGTTCCCAGATATTACAGACCGTCTCGTACAGGTGCGTCTCGTATCGGCTCGTATCATCTCGGCTGTTCAGTTTGATTTGAAAGCAGAAAATCACAATTTCATGCCTGAACCTCGACTTTTTATCAAGCACATCCACGCGCTCCCCCATCCTGTAATGTCGTGCTGGGCGCATAAGTTTGATTGGTGTATCAGATGAACGGTGGATGAGTGAAGGTGTTGCAACTTGCCACGAGGAGGTCATCACTTCTTTTTGAGTCGAGCCGCCATCTCTGTTGGCCATCTGGGTGGGTCTCTCCCCCCGGTTCGTCCTTCAGATCCTCCTCCTCTTCTTCCTCGCCCTCATCCTCCCCTCATCCCTCATCCTCTCCTTCCGGTCTCCCTCGGCCATTTTGGGCCTTCCTCAGCCTCCCCTCCAGTCCCACCAGTTGTTTTTCTCTGCTCGGGCCCTTGGAAAAAGCGGGGGGCCCTGGATTCGATTTCGCCCTTTTTGTGGTGGAAGACCCCCCCCCTGGTGACAAGCCGTGAGGACATCACCGCGCTTTTTTGTTGATTTGACAATGCTTTCCTGGCGTTTATGTACAGATTGCTCCCGTTTTGCGAAGTAGAGACCGGAAATACCCCAACACCGTAATCCGATCAAAACTATGGGAATCGCGCTCTTTCAATAAATTTTTTCTTGTTTTTCCCTATCGAACTAGTATGGCTTTTAAATAGATTGTTCCCATCAATGATAGTATCTTATGGGTGCGCAATACCAGTAAAATCCTTTGAAATAAAGTGTTTTTTACGACAATCCTCGAGTGGCTTTGCGATCGAATCCCTCCAAGAAAACGCCGTGAATTTTTTTGCATATTTTGCGAAACGGTGGCCTTGCCTGCCGTTTCCTAGCCCTGTTTATAGCTCTATTCAAGGTGGAAAAAATTGAACAAGAAGATGCAAGGGGGATTTCCGTTTAGAGGTCATCAGGTCAGTTTTCCCGCCGTTTTATTGGGCTGGGAAGATGGGGACGAGTTTTGGTGTGATCGGAAAATCAAAACCTTCTTGTTGTTCAGAAATTCTGATAAAAAACAAGGTTTTTCAAGCTCCAAATACCTGTGTGCATCAACAAGTTGGCCCACAGTACCACCGAACCCCCAAATTTATTTGCCAAACGTATCATAAACCTCATTAAAATTTAATCCCCCAGGCGGCAGGTGCCGCGGGGTCAAAATTAGAAACAAGCCGCCGCCACCAACGCGTCGGCAACATTTCGGTAATTGGGATGGGCGGGATCGGCAGGCTGGGAGCGAACGGCGCTGAAATTGTTACCATGGGGAACACCGAGGGAAAATCACCGTTTCGGCACAGGTGTTCCCCGGCCGCAACCACTTACACGTATTTTGGGCAAAGTCACATAACGGGACTAGTTTTTGGGGGTATTACTTCTCTTGGATTTTCGGGATTGCCGTATTTGGCGCAGATTTTAACCAAAAATATGATCAGTTATAAAATCCACTATATCTCGAGGTAGGAATGGAAAGTCACAATATTTTTTGTACTATGCGAAAGCCATGGAAAACGCGTACATTTTTCACATATTAATTGTTAGGTTTTTAAACCTTTTTCTCAAACATAAAAATTTAAAGCTGTTGCTCTGTTGTTCTGCGCTTTGCAATGTTCAAAATTTTTAAAAATACACATTTGTTTTGGCAGCATACATACGCTTTAATTATTCATTAAGACGTCCAAAAACGTACTAAAAACGGCTGGCTGGAGGCGGGTACAGTGTTGCCCTTACTATCCCATCACGATTGATATATGGCCGAGACCTCCAAGGGGTACCTCCAATCCACCTTCAGGGTCATTCGCTCTAGCCTTTCCATAACCCAATTTTGTAAAGTAATCTCTAGGGTAATTATCTGGCCCTATTAAATTAACTTCAGGGTATTAATTTCTTAATTTGCAAAATAGGCACATAGAAATTAATATCATTAATTACAATACAGTTAATTAGTCGCTTCAATTTTCCGAATTAATTTAGCTCATGCTAAAAAGCGTAAAAATGCCTTATAAAACCCCAATTTTGTGCTCTAGATATCTATCAATCCCCTGAAGAAAGCGTGACCAAGTTTGCCCTGGATATCCGGGCCAGCAGGGGCTACATACGGCTATTTGCCCGCACCGTTCAGGGTCAACCCATTTGCCCCCCCTCCCCCCCCCTCCCCCCTCCCCCCCCTCTCTCTCTCTCTTCTTCACCTTCTTGGTTAGCCCTAACAGAAGTCGGTGTTGACACATCATTCGGGTCAGTGAATGAAGCCCAGGTTTGGTCAGCCACTACCCGAGGGGGGGGGCTACTTCTCGCGCAAAGTTTGCCCTTCTGCAACACGCTAACCCAACCCGGGGGTTGGGTTGGGTCGCGACAACGGCTTAACCTCGGCTGGGCTTCTGGTCTATTCCCAGTATTTATGGTCTTGCGACGCGTTTCTAATGGTCTTCGTGTTTTTCCTGACGCATTGACTTGAAATTTGAAGCTTTGGGTATTGAAATTGGAATTTTAAAGGCTATGGATCGTTAAAAGATTGTATCTTCTGATTTATAAGTATCTGCGGATCCAACTTTATACGTTTTAGGCGTTAATGACGCGTTATTTTCGCATGCGAAACACGATACCGCTCTTGCTCTAAAAAGGAATTTCCTATGAATTTTTTCTTAACTGCCAATTTGCAGCAATATTTTGCGTATTCCAATCTTTGATCTCTGATCTCTGATCGCCAACGATTATTTTTAGATTTCAAGTACATAAAACAGCGAGATCTACTAAATAATTCCACTCCCAAAATGGGCTTCGCCGAAAAGGATGAGGACGACACAAAACCGGTGTACCAAAACCCGACCGAGGAGAAGGAAGAGGTCAGGATTTAGCCGAGACTATCTTAACAATTAGCTTATTTTAGGGTGGCACGGGCCTCAAGCAGAATTTAACCCTATTTAATGGCGTAATGATCATTGTTGGGTGCATTATTGGATCTGGGATTTTTGTCTCGCCGAAGGGTGTTCATGAGCGTAAGTGATCGGCGTATTCATAAAATCCTAGAGCACACTTTAGACGCCGGCTCCGTCGGGCTATCAATTGTAATCTGGATAGTATGTGGAGTCTTCTCGGCAATAGGCGCATATTGTTACGCCGAGCTGGGCACATTTATACGGGAAAGTGGCGGCGATTATGCCTATGTTTACGCCGCTTTCGGCCCGATGATGGGCTTCTTGAGGATGTGGATCGAATGTATTATTGTGAGGTAGTAACTATACGAAAACTAAGTAAGATCATGTTTCCTAGACCTTGCACAATCACCTGCGTGGCCATTACATTTGCCACCTACATTCTAAAACCCATATTTCCGCATTGCGAACCGCCATTCCCCACTTTACAGCTACTGGCGGCCCTTTGCATCCGTAGGTTTTGTCTTAAAGTGATTTATTATGGTTTTTAGTATTATTGGCATTTATTAACTGTGCTTCCGTTAAATGGACAAAACGAGTGCAGGATGTTTTCACCCTGGCTAAACTTTTTGCATTGGTTCTGATCATCTTCACCGGATTTGTGTTGCTGCTGCTTGGAAATCGTGAGTTTTCAGGCTTTGAGAATTATCTTAACGGAGTTTCCCAAGCTCTGAAAAAATCCTATCTTTTTCGATATTTTTGTGTTTTTCAGAATACCGCGATTCATTCGAAAACGCCTTCGAGGGCTCACGTTATGGTCTCGGCAGTCTGGCGTTGGCCTTCTATTCCGGGCTATGGGCTTATAATGGATGGAATTACCTCAATTTTGTGACCGAGGAGCTGATCGATCCGACTAGGTAACGAATTAAAACTACAAAAAACTATGATAATCCTATTTTAGGAACCTGCCACGCGCCATCGCCATCTCGTGCACTCTTTGTACGGTTATTTACACCCTGACGAATCTCGCATTTTATGCAGGTAGGAGATTAGAGGCTAGAGTCTCTCTCTATCTATCTATCTCTCACGCTCTCTCGCCCTCTCACGCTCACACTCCCCCCCTCTCTCTCCGACTCTTGCTCAAAATTGGTTTTCCTCAGGAACCTCTGCGGACGACCTGCTCGATTCCCCTGCCGTTGCCGTCCTATTCGCCAACCGTTTCTTCTGGTATTTCGCGCCCTTAATGCCAATCTTCGTCGCCCTATCTTGCTTTGGAACTGTTAATGGGGTTATGCTAACGAGCAGCAGGTCGGCTTTCGAAACAAGTTCGAAAATAACGATATTTAAGGCTCTTCTACGTTGCTGGGCGACGCGAGCATATGCCGACCTTCCTGAGCTTCATCAATCCCTATTTACAGACCCCGATCCCGGCCGTGTTATTTACAGTAAGGAGCTGAATGCGTGAAAATGAAGAAAACGTTTAGGCAATTCTATCACTACTTTATATTCTTCTCTCCGACAACATCTATGTATTGATCAGCTACGTGCAAATTGTGAACTGGCTCGCGATCGGGGTGGCGACTGCTGGACTTTTGTGGCTACGGTAAATCATTTTTTTATGGAAAGTTAAAGAGATCTCTCGCGTAGAAACTCGAACTGTAAAATAAAAATTATTTCAGAGTGAAGAAGCCGCCTCGTGACTACCCGCGGCCGCTACAGGTCCACATCGCGTGGCCGATTATATTCCTGATTGGCTGCATATTCTTGGTGATCTTCCCAATCTATCAAACCCCAATGGATACAGGTATTTAAAATTAAATATTAGCACACTTTAATCGATTTTTTAGCAATTGGTCTCTTAATTATGCTAACTGGGGTACCTGCCTATTACCTCGGCGTGGTGTGCAAGGGAAAATTCAAAGCGCTGGACAATTTCATGGGTAAGTGGCCATAAATTCACTGCTCTTTAATATGCGCATTAATTCTAATCGATTTTTCCAGATTACTGCACGGAGACGTGCCAAAAGACGTTCCTCGTCATCCCCACCGAGAAGAACGACTGATTCTTAAGCCATTAATAATATGATCGCTCATCCTCGATACTCCCGGCCGACATTCCGCCATAATCCGCAGATCAAGATTCAAGATTTACCCAGCTGCCCGCATATCAATCCAATGCATTTTTGATTACTATTTCGCGCCAAGCCATGCGAATAAAATTTCTTTATTACTCAGATGTAAAATTCAGAAATTGACAAGCACAGTTCTTTAAGCACTGAGAAAGATTATTAAGGTAGGGAGGGCAATAGTGGAAATATGGGCGACACCTGATGTTGTTGGCATTACAGGAGTTGTCGACAAAATCGTGGCATCCGGAGCAGTTTGCGTCGCAGTACTCCCAATGGTTGATAGAGAAGAAACTTTTGTGGCAGAAGATCTAGCGGAAGTGGTTGAAAGACGCGTTGTGGTCGGATTGTTGTGCGTGGTGGCACGTGGTTTTGAAGTTGTCGGAAGCAGCTTCGATGTGGTCGGCCACGACGTCGTCGTGGTCGGAAGCAGCTTCGATGTGGTCGGCCACGATGTCGTGGTGGTCGGAAGCAACTTCGATGTGGTTGGTAACGACGTCGTCGTGGTCGGAAGCAACTTCGATGTGGTTGGTAACGACGTCGTCGTGGTCGGAAGCAACTTCGATGTGGTCGGCAACGGCGTCGTGGTGGTCGGAAGCAACTTCGATGTGGTCGGCAACGATGTCGTGGTGGTCGGAAGCAACTTCGATGTGGTTGGCAACGACGTCGTCGTGGTCGGAAGCAACTTCGATGTGGTTGGTAACGACGTCGTCGTGGTCGGAAGCAACTTCGATGTGGTCGGCAACGGCGTCGTGGTGGTCGGAAGCAACTTCGATGTCGTCGGCAACGATGTCGTGGTGGTCGGAAGCAACTTCGATGTGGTTGGCAGCGACGTCGTCGTGGTCGGAAGCAACTTCGATGTGGTTGGTAACGACGTCGTCGTGGTCGGAAGCAGCTTCGATGTGGTCGGCAGCGGCGTGGTGGTGGTTTCAAGCAGCTTGGAAGTACTCGTAGGCTCGGGGGTTGTAGCCAATGTCGAAATGGCTTTCGACGTCATTAGCGTGGTCGTGGTGGTGGCGGGCGTACTCGACGATGGGTTAGGTGAGTTCGATGACGTCAGTGTATTGCTAGGGGAAGTAGCCTGTTTTGCCGTTGTTAATGTTCCGGAGGTGATTGGAGTCAGCGAGGAGGAAGCCAGCGTACTGGTTGAGACCATCCTCGTAGTCGGATCTTTCGATGGAGCCTCAGAAGTTGTCGACGTCGCAGAAGTTGTGATCAGGCTGCTCGCCGAAGTGCTGCGGGAATAAGTTGTAGAAGTATAACTGGTCGAGCTTGAAGAACTTGGTGCCGGTGTCGCCGTGCTTTCAAAGATTCTACTGCTGCCCGCAGGATTTGTGGCAGATGCATCTTCGGTTGAAGAGCTGATTGAAGCCGTGCTCCGGGAATTCTTGATGCTCGACCCCTCCGTGGATGCCGGGTTCGTGGTTGTAAAACTTTGGCTGGTTAGCGCAGTTGGGGTTTGTGGGATTGTGCTGCTACTTTCCATCGTGGAAGTGAAGAGCTTGCCGGTGCTGAAGGCTGCTGGTGTGCTAGTTGTACGCTGTCCTGATACGCCAGTTGAAGTCACATCGGGCTGTGTGGTTAGACGGGTCGTTGAGGTTTCTGACTTCCCCATAGTTGTCTCGTCTCCAAGTGAGGTGGCTGTCCAGCTCGGTGTCGTGGATCGGGCGAGTGGTGCCGTACTCGCTTTGCCCTTCATTGTAGTAGTATCTACTGCCGGTTCCGAAGCTGCGGAGGACAAAGAGCCTGTGATAGTAGTCTCTCTATGAGTGCTGGATGCTGGTGTCAAGGTGGATACCGTAGTGGACCCGGTAGTTGAGGGGTTCGACGTTCTGCTACCCATTTGGGGGGTGGATGTTCCTGTTGCTTCGCCGGTCGAAAGATTTACAGGCTCAAAGGTCGTTGTCGGTGTTGCAGTGCCCGAAGATGACATTCCACTAATCGTGCCTTCTGTGCTGTTCACCGTCGTGTACTCCGAGCTTTCCATCGAAGTACTGCCGTACTGCGTGGACGTCGAAGTGCTCTCAGTGCTTGACGAACTTATCCCAGATGTCACGACCTCGATCGTAGGCGTATCAAAAGAAGTTACCGGCTTCCGCGTTGACCGCGGCGAAAAAAGACTTGTGGAATCTGTGGGTTCGGTCGCGGATGTGACGTTAGTATCTGGTGCAGCACTACCGGTGGTAGACGATAAATAGCTTGTTGCAACTCGTGTCGTCGTGCTACCGCCACTTGGGGTCTGATGATCAGTATGAGTTGAGGTGCGAGACGTGTCAGAACTGATGCTCGTAATAGGTTCCGCACTTGGGGTGATCGTTGTCGTTATTGACGAGGACTGCAGCAGTGTGCTGCCTTCTGTTATCGGTTTCGTGGCCGCGGTCGAAAACACTGGTTCTTCGCTGCTTGTGGTCATGGATGATGGAATCGCATCTGGTGAAGTTGTCGAGATTTTTGAAGATTTTCCAACGGTCATTGTCGATGGTTCAGTCGTTGATGATGACGATGTCGTATGATTGTCAGATGCGGTACTTGCACTTGTGGTATGCTCTGTGATACTTGAAGTTGTCGTACTGGTAGCTTGCGTGGAGGGCCAGCTCGTGGCCAGACTCCGTTGAATTGTGCTAGCCACCGCGGTTTTAGATGAAGTAGTGAATACACTCGCCGATGCTGCAGTTTCTGCCAACGTTGCAGTCGATCCTAACGGACTCGTCGTGCCTTTCACAGCTTCCGTAGAAGACGTTTCGGGTGATGTAGTCGTCTCAGCCCAGAAAGTAGTTGACCAACTTGACGAAAGCATCTTGGTGACAGCTGTTGATATTGCAATTGATACGAGTGTTGAAGCCGGCGTAGCCGTTTTTGAGGATGCCGACGTAGTTGTAAGGGCGGGTTCCAATGTACTTGTTTTAGATGTGGAACTCGAGATGCTTGTACTCGGAGGAAACGAGGCACTTGTGCCTTTGGAAGGCTTTGGTGTCCAGATACTGTTGGTGGTCGAGATTGTCTCCTTTGTCGTTGGTCGGGAAGTGGCTTGCGAAGGGCGTAATGTGGTAGGATGCATTGTTACGTCAGATGAGGTTCCCAGGCCCATAGTCGTCGGCTTAGTAGTAATTACTTTCTCGGTGGTAGGAGCTGATGTGGCGGTGGTTGAAGGCGTGGAGGTCGAGGTAGGTGGAGTCGTTGGCGACGTGTGGAGACTTGTGGACGTAACCATGGTATTTGCACTGGTGTGGCTTGAGGATGGTGCATCGCTCGTGGAACTCATCATCGTAGAGGGCGAAGGGTTACTCATAGAGGTCGTCGCTCCGGCTTCCGTGGGCTGTGTGGTGGAGAGTGTAGATATTGTGCTTGGAATTTCTGAAGTCGCCGTGCGGCTGCGACTGCTAAAGCTTGAAGACGGGGTCTCGGTAGCGAATGGCAAGGTTGAATATCTCTAATACCGTGGTCCTCAGAAGTCGTGGTTCGTCTAAAGGCTGAGGTACGGTGCTTGAACGGGTCATGGTTGAAAAAATACGACTTTGCGTTGTAGATGTCTCTGTAGAAGTGTAGTAGTTAGTTGTGCTTTGCTCAGTTACACGCGAGGATGAACCCAGTTCTGTCGTAATGGCTTCCGTACGCATCGATGTAGTCACCGTCGGAGTTGCAGGCGTTGACGAACTGATTTGGGTGCTTCCTTATATAAGTAGTTATTGCCTCATTCGTTGATCGTGTCGGGCGAATGTTGAAAAACTTCGCGAGGATGTGGGATTGCTGCTAGACATTGAAAACGTATAAATGGTCGAACCAGGTGGTATCGTACTGCTTCTCTTGATAGTTGGGTCAGTCATGGTCGGGATGTTGCTGGTGCTTGGTGAAGTCGTGCTGGAAAATGACTTGATTCTTTTAGTTGTGGTTTCCCCCTTGCTGACGGTTGCTGGGGTACTGTGGCTTGTGACAGATGAAGTGTCTGGCGGCGCGATCGTTGTGCTCGATGTGCCGTAAAGCGCTGTACTGCTTCCGGCTGTTTGAGAAGAAGTCGATGTCTCTACATCGGAAATGGTAAAACCCGTTGCGACTGTTGACGATGTTTCCGCCAGGTTTTGCGAGGTGGGTGGTTGAGTTGATGTCTCACTCGCAATGTTGGGTGTTGTCACGGTAGCTGAGCTCGGCACTGTGGTCATTGAAGCGGTTGACGACGTATCATTTCGGTCGCTGAACGATTGGGTGGTGGTGGCCTCCACGGTGCTTGATGAAAGTATCACAGTTGATGTTGTTGGAAGCATTGGACTGCTCCTAAACGTGGAAGCCTCCCTGGCCGTTGTCCATACCATAGTGGTGTCAGTGGAAGGCGATTGCTTTGAAGGCGGTTGAGTGTCTGTCACGGGGCTAGCGGAGGTCTCGGGTTTGGAAGTCGTCGCTCCAACCGTACTCGATGTGACTATTGAAGAACTGCTGGCAAATCTGCGCGTCTTTGACGATAATGTGAAAGTCTCTTGATGAGTCGTTGTGCCTTCGGGTATGACCGTTGGCGTGGAAGCCCCTTGATGAGTGGTAGTCGAAGCTGTCGATGAAAATCCGCCGGTCGCCGTAGGAGATTTAGAAGTGGCCTCACGATCACTCGTCTTCGCTGACGACATGTCTGTCGTTTCGCGAGATATACTGCTCGTAAACGACGAGTCTATTGAGGTCTGGGCCTGAGGATTTGAAGTTGCTGACGTACTTGCTGAAGCGACAAACGACGAGGTCATTTTTGTGCCAGAAGAGGTACCACTGCTTTGGCTTGATGACTTTGTGGAGGGCGCGCCGCCACTCGTCGTGGCGATTATCATTGTAGATGAAACAGGTGAAGCTTCAGTAATGTTGGACTTTGCGGTAGTGGACTCGCTCAAAGTCGTGATTTGAGAAACAGGTTTATCCGTTGAAGATGTTGAAGCTGACGTCGTCGGGATGTTAGCGGATGTGCTAGTTCGTGGCTCGCTTTTCGTAGCATCGGTAGCAAGGCTGCTAGTGTCTGAAGTCGAAGCCACTTCGGTAGCGCTTGTGGTCGTGGTTGTTGCCTTCGCTGTGAGCGTCGAACCCGCAGAAATGGCTGTTGTTTGAGAAGTAAGTTTCTCAGAGGAACTCGGGCCGGGAGAAGAACTTTCAGAAGCCGAAATTCCGGTGGTGGGCTCCAAGCTCGTTGCAGCACTCGACGACCATGAGCTAGTCGACATGTTTTTGGACAGCATCGTGGTCACTGCAGTTGATAATGCGATGGAGGCCAAGGTTGACGTCGGGCTTCCCAGTGTAGACGAGGAAGACGAACTTGTAGAACTGCTCGTGGGCTCGGCAGTAGAAGAATGGGGATAGGCCGACGAAATGGGCATCGTTTTCGCGTCTTTGGTACTAACGGATATGGTGGACGCACTACTGCTGCTCAGGATCGTATTCTTTGTAGTCCAAGAAGAGCTAGGCGACTTAGTCAAAGAAGACGAACTCGGCGTTCCACTTGCCGACTTTGCGGTCGACATCTCAGGGTGCAACGACGTGGCATAAGTTTGCTGAGGACTGCTTGTGCCGGAGGAAGTGGCAGAAGTACTAGCCGGCGTGGTTACACCGGTGAATCCGGGCCTGCTTGTGCTTGATGACGTATTACTGCTTGCAGGGTTGGTCGTTTGAAATGACGACACCGTAACTGGATTGGTGGTACCCGTCGTCACCGTCGTAGAAGTAGGCATAGGTGTCGAAGGCGCTGGAGAAGAACTGCTTGATAAAGTTGACGATAGTATCGTGGTAACAGCCGATGCTATAGATATTATTGTGGAAGTCGGGGTACTCGGCATAGAAGATGCTGATGAGGTCGTGGTTTCAGTGGTCGGACCCTTAGAAGTCTGCTTGAGGGTCGTAGATGCATTAGTAGACGTCTTAGTTGTCGTAGTAATTGGTTTCGTTGTGCTGGAGGCCGGCTTATCAAGAAAGTCGATAAGGTAACCAGGCCTGCTTTGAGCGTTGGTGGCCGAGTTCATTCGAAACTAAATTTTACTCTTGTTTAAGGGCAACAAAAAAGGAAGCTGACTTCGAACTGTGTCCCCGTCATGTAGAGGCGTGTTCCAATGTCCGCAGAGGTATACCTAAAATCCCGATCAGTCGCGATTATCATGCATACACATGGTTAGAGTCCGCGAAAATTATCGAGATGTTGCACGATTCGATGCGCCGGAAAGAAAACGTGATAGTTTCTGAAATTTAGGCTACGAATTTAATTGCTTTTCATACGCGCCGGGCTGACTGTGCCGATGATTGGATATCCCCTATCTTCAGCTTCTTCCGCGGGATCCATGGACCACAAGAAGCCGGGGCTTTGTAACGCCGGCATGGAGATTTTACCGAGGGTATAGGTGATAGAGTCTAATTGAATATTTTATAGGCTTCGAGATAGTTACAGTTGCGTACTCCAACGAGGAAAGTGGGGATATAGACGCGACAGCCCTTTGGTGCGATCATTGTAACTAATGGTGAGGGTGCCACAATCAATGCTTCAGTTCTAAATGGGCATTTGGTGAGGTTCAAGTTGTTATATTTGGCATTTAAATACGGCCATTTTAATAACAACATCCATAATGCAGACCCATCTTCCGAGCGATAGTAAAGTGTGGTTTCATCCGTCGCAACCGTGGCCTGGGCGGGCGCTGGACCCATGTAAATTTCGTACTGCGGTTGTATGTCGGCATTACATTTGACATAGGGAGTGAAAGTGCTTTTCGGGGAAATGGGCGCATCACTAAACAAATGGGACAATAGTAATTGCAGAAAATACACCTACATTGTTCTATAGGGCGGCATAAATATGAAGATGGACTCTCCAAAGTCGGGGCCCTGATCGTTTTTAATAGTATGGTCATCTCTCGTGAAAGGGAACAGCGTGAAGTCGCGGTGACTATCTGAAAGAGTGTGGGTTAGTTATTGTACCTTAAATGACTCATAATACCTTCAGGTCTCAGATAATCAATAATAGCGATAGAGACCGCATAATTCTGATTGCTGCCAGCAATATACTCAAATGCCAACTCGGTGACATTAATCATGGTCCAGTGGCAACACGTCAGGTTTTTCCGGGTCTTGTTGCCAAATGTGCTGGAAAGAAACGGTATGCCACCACCGTTGTGACTTACTAGAGTCTAGTGCATCCGCTTTGGAACCCATCGACCTTGTCGCGATTAATTGTGAAAGGGAACGGGTCTTGACAGACCACGCCTGTATCATTCTAAACGCGATTTTGTCCTCAAAATCAGATAAAATTTGAGAGACAAATTGATAATACAAAAACCCGCCTTGTTGGCCGGTTTTAAGCAACTCCTAGAGGCAAAATCGATTCGAACCGTGGCGACCTTGTCAAGTTTCAATGTGTAATTCTAAAAGCATGTATTTTAATCTGTTCAAATGCCCTCGTAGAATCTTCATACTCACCTGTCTTGCTAACCATAGGCCGTGAATGACCAGGGCTGGAAATTTTTCATCCAGGTTGTAACTTCGGCCAGCTCGATTTTCCGGTGCTGGTGCGGTGTAATTTTGTTTCTGGGTCATCTGGAGATCACTACAGCTTCAAGGTACTATGAAATACCATAGACGTTCCCGATACCAGGGTTCCAAGTAGCATCGGGACAAAAAATTGCAGCAAACTCCGCATGGCTACAGTCGACGAACGAACGAACGAACGGAACTTCGGACCGGCTGAAGTGAAAGGTTTCGAGCGAATTTTTTTACTTCTCGGTTCTCTTATCATAATCCATGGATGTCAGACACGGAAAGGCTTGTAAGCCGGGGCTCAACTCTAAAATTTCAGCGCAGAAATTCGTGTGTCTTGTTCCGTGCCGCCAGCGCTTTCTTATCTAAATCCTCGTTGGGTTGTACGACGACCTGTAAGCTTACAAGGGAAGGGCAAGTACACGAACTGGAAATTCGAAAAGCCGCGGCTACCCCAGGTTATCGACTACGGGGAACACGATGGTGTGGTGAAATTCCACCGAACCCTGTAGAGCGGGTACTCCGGAGGGGTCATTGCATGCGCGAAATTAACATGCCTGCGGTTGGGCTCTACGTCTCTACCATCAGCTGGTAGTCAATTGCAACTAATCACTTTTGGAAATACCTACCAGGGTCGAATCCCCATAACTTTCTTTTTGTTGCTTTGGGCGGCGCAGGTCGTCGTTTGGGCATCATAGTTTGAAATTGGTTCGACTCGGTTTGAAAGAAGTTTGCTTAGAACAATGAAAACACAGTCAAAGCTGCAAAATAACATTCAAAAGCAAAAGTAATGTTATGGTGGTTCGCACCCTGGTGGTATTTCAAAAAGTGTTGTGTTGCTACTCGCAGCTGATGGGGTAGGCCAAACCGCATGTTATCGCGCATGTGACCCTTTCCGGCCTCGCTCTCGGTGGGCATCGCCCCGGGGGGCCCGCGTTTTCAGCTACATACCAATACTTACCAATGCACAAATTTAAGGGATTGAAAAAATAACCCATTCGTTATGGTCAACGGAAAGATTAGTTGGCGTTGTTCTTGTTAGTTAAGGTTGCATTTTTTTGAAAGTGTTAGTCATTTTTTACCTAAAAAAATCAATTTTCATATTTTCGAACCTCCACGTAATTTCGCGATTTAGTTTTTCTGTAAACCACATTCCTTACATATCCGTCCAAACGGAAGCCAAGACGCCCGGGTCCCAATTCAAAAAGTAGGCGGGGCCTTTGTGGTGCGTAGTGTTGGGGAGGGTCAGTGAGGGTCTATCCCTTCAACCCCTCCATTTCCTCCCCTCCCCGGCCCCCGGCTTCTGCAAGACACCCTTTCGGTGACCCTTCCAACCTCCAGAAAAATGGTGAGTTTTTGGAATTGAGCTCGACAATTTTGGAATTGCACTCGTTATATGGTGTTTAGGGGTTTATGATGAATCAGATGCAAATTTTTGTCGTGTAGGGATTTTCAAGCTTAAAAAAATTAAAAATCTGAAAATATCCTTTTTATTGCTGTCAATGTCGGGCGGTTGTCAATATCGGTACGTAATATTCTCTGAATATCACGCTTGAGAGCTTGGCATTTTTTGGGTCGCTTTTTCTGAAAATTGCGTAGTCTGTTCAGTTTTTGGAGTCGTTAGGCTGAAACACAACCCTATTTTTCAGGAAAAATTTGCCCTAGCTTACAGGAACAATCATGCCTAGCTGCTACCTCGCGCATATCTAGCGATCGATCTTTACCAGCCGTAAACCAGACCAGTAAAGAATTGTTTTTCTTTCGCCTCTTCGACATGCGTGTCCCAGTTTCCCCTCCAAATACCAGCCCATTTCACATAGGGAGGGGTGAGCATGGGATAGCCACAGGGATTCATAGATTCTAGCCCGGCAGATGTCGCGCGTAAATTTTTGGTGAGAAAGCAAGGCGGAAGAGCTTCAAAGTGAAAAACGCTACAAAGGGTCTCCTAAGTTTCAGGCTGCTTTGTCTTCGGATTTTAGATCTATTTCCAAAATTTCCGGTAATAACCCAGAGCTTTAAAGACATACCAACATTAAGCAAATTTTCTCAATCTAAAACCTATAAAAAAAAGGCATCAGCCCTCCCCATATACAATAAAGGGCTCATTTTCACGCACACGGCACCACACCGCGATTTTCATCTTGAATTTCGTGTAATTTGATCTGCAATTCAGTCCCTAACGACGCGGCTAAAAATCTCGCCCCCATTTCCCGGTACCATGCAAAGTGTTTGTGCGTGAGTGTGGAGAGATCGATTTGAGGGGCGACCCTGCAGCTGTCCTTTTTCGGGCGGCCGGCTCTCCCTGACCGGCCCGTCCATTGCGAAATATCGCACACCAAATGGGGGCAATGCTTGGCGGGGCCGGCCTTGTGTATTCATAGAATCCGAGAGATCATTGGGATAGTGGAATGCTAACGTGGTTGGGGAATTTTTTGAGGGGAAAATGAGATCAGGGCAAGGAAAGGGATTGTTTATGAAAATTTATCACCAGCCGGTTACGGTAGGAAAAATAGTTATAACGCCACTCAAAGCAGCTGCTGCCATCCGTGTCAGGTTGACATTCATAAGGCCCTCTCTATCACCCCTTTCCAGTCCTCGGTAGTGTAGTGGTTAGTATCCGCGTCTGTCACATGGGAGACCCGGGTTCAATTCCCGGCCGGGGAGAAATCCTTTGCTTTTTGAAGGTTTCTTTCGGTATTGCTTTACGAATCGTTTCTGAGTTTTTTTTTACGCGGCGCAGGTATTATGAGTAGTAATACCCTTGAAATCCCGATTCTAGATTCCATAGAAATTTGACCCCAGTAGCGCCCCATCGCGCCCAATTTCCAGCCCCTCCCAACCGCCCGGGCACCACCCCGCCAATTGAAGCGGCATTAGCATTTCGCAATGTTTCGGCGTTTCCGCGGCGCACCCCAAATTCCCTGGTGGCCCCCGGGAAAGCCGAGTAGTCGATTGAGCGGTGGGGTCTGGTTGGCGACCCCATAGCTTCGCCCTGGGGCCGGGCGGGGGTCTACTGAAATTGCCCTCCAAGAACGAGGAGCTCTTTGGGGGAAAATTCATGGCCATTTCCTGGGTGCGGCTAAAGAATGGGCCTCATCCACCAATTTATTACCTTGGTGGAGTTGGGGGAAGGAGAAGAATATTTTTTGAAAACATGGGTGTGGTAGGCAAAAAAGGAAAAGCTGTGGCAAATTTGCGGAAGTAGTAGTGATACATCTTGTGGTATCGTGTAGCCGTTTTGAGATTTCTCCAAAATAAATAAATGATCAAAACACAAAATTCAAATCCCTAAATTCCACATTTTAATTCACGTTTTGGTTTGAATAATTTTATAATAATTTTCGCCGAAGTAGTGCATTCATTAAGGGCCTTCCTTTAAAACGATAGTTGGCAACATTTTCTCCTTTTTATCTCCTTCTTCCCGAAGCTTCACATCAAAATCCGCCATTCATAATGCCCGAAAACTCCCACCGTTCCAGATACTTGACACCGCCCAGTCTGCCCACTTTCTTCCCTTTCCTCCTCTTAGGGCCCACAACCGTCTTTAGGGGCCCAGAAAGAACACGTAAAGAAGAGGAGGCTGGTGCGACCCAGTTCCCCAGTCACGAACACGTTTCACCCCCCTAGTTTACGGGCCGGGAGACAATTTTGCGGCCGTGTGCAAAAATGAAATGCAGATACGGGGGGGGGGGGTTGCCGCTAGCTTTCTTCGAGGCGTTCGGCTATGCAATAAGCAAATAAGCCGATAAATTGTTGGAGAAGCAGCCAGCTGGGTGTGAAGGGGCAGAAATAAACGAGGTGAGAAGGTGAAATCAGCGAAATTTTTCTCCCACGACGATTTTTTTGCATTTTTGAGACAAACAGGCCAAAATTAACCGAATCTCAATTTAAATTTTTTTTGCAATTTATGCACCTTTAAAACTATAATATACATGCCGGTCTTACCAACAGACATTTTCCTGAGGTCTTTCTTCTTTTTTAGCGTCAGTTGTATGGCGAAGTTGTTGTGATGAGTCACACAGTCTCTCGTAGCGCAATAACACAAGAAATAGCCATTTATATTCATTTCTCTTTCATTTCCGTTAAATTATTGCTCTTTTCTGACCATGGTTATGCAAAAGGTAAGGCTGAAATCTTCAGAGATACCTTTCCTTCCGATTCAACCCTAATCACCCTTGGGGTCAGCCTTAATCCATCCGCCTCTATTCCCTAACGAACCTGGCATATTGCCAAATCACCCTTTATAATAGCTACCCCTCCACACCTGTCCTCATCTAAAGAGCTCCCCGATAGCTGGATTGCCGGTATATAGCCGGAGGGGGATAATATGAGCATTCAACCTGGGCTGAGCCAGGTAAAATAAGGGGGATTTGAAGGATTTGTGGTCGTGTGAAAGATTGTCATGGCGACTCTATGAGTGGGAATTGTCTTCAATACATTTATTAGTCCCTATTTACTTCAAAAACTGATCTAACAATAAGCGAAAAAGATGTCGATGCGGGCTGCGTTTCCGGTGGGCTTAAGTAACGATACCTTTTGATAACAGTTTTGGCACCCTTTTTTAGTTTTGCTATTAGTTATTTTTCCAAATTACAGAGTGTATTACTACTCAAAACGTTTGAGAAGCGCTCAAATTTACTGTTTTTGCTCGGCTAGGTCCCGAAAAAATACGTGATTTTCCTGCTTTTAATTTGGCTTGAGCGCCACACAAAGCTGCAACGAGTCATGTACGGCTTGAACCTGTCGAAGGGGAGAATCATCACTTCGAGGCTCCTTTAAAATAGCTCTACCTTTTAATCCATCGAGTTCAACGACGTCTTTGACTGTATTCTGTCTGCTACCCCCCAAAAATTGCCCTTTCTGCAAAACCTCCCTCTTAAAAAGTCTTTTTTTCCGTCACGGATCTTCCATGAAGACATCCCCCCACTTCCTCCCCCCATCCCCTTCAAAATCTGTTGCATAACACGACGAAGTGTGCTGCCCCCCAGCCCAAAAGGCCCATTTTGGGCGGACGACAATGTGGCGTGTCAAATGGGGATCTGGACCCCGGGCGAAAGTCGCACTATAAAATGCATTCAACGAGACAGACGATAGCCCTTCGCCCCCCCAAGCTTCACCACCCCCCACCAGAAGGCCACTTTTCGAAAACACAGAGAGAGGAAGAAATGAGCGGGGCCATGAGAATGGGGGCGGGGTATTGGAGGGCCCGAAGGCAATGGCTAGGGCCCACGGCCCGCTTCTTCTGCTGGCTGACCCTGCCGTGTGCTCATCATCGTCGCCGCGTCGTCCTTGACACCAGCACTCTGCTGATCCCCAGTGGGCAAGCGAGGGTGGTGGATAGAGATACTACCTGACAGTGACAGTCACTGGCCATCGCTCTATTGTGGGGACATCTATTCATCGATTCGGCGGCTATAATTACAACTTATTACAATGCCGGCTAATGTGAGTGTTGTTTTTCGAATGCCGTGTGGCGTAATTTGGAAAGTCTTGAAAAGTCTTGAAAATTGCTAGCATCACCATAAATTTGTAGTTTTCAGTTTTCGAATTTATTCGTGGCGTACTCCCTCTTACCTTCGAAAAAATGGGCTAAATTACCAGTAAAATATATTTTTATGTGCATAAGTAAGATTTTGGATCTAAACGTGTCCAGAAGAGTACCATTTGAAATGTTGTTAAGCGACTATTGCCTAGAAATTTGTGATTTCCGGTTTTTCTGATCTGTAGTAAAACGTACTTCTTCTTGTTATTAAAAAATGGACGAAACGGCTGTTGATGATGTGCTTAATATAGTTGCTACCTCCAAACGTGTCCATTGCGCGGGTTAGAAGCCTTTTGAACTGAAGATCGGGTCAAAATTTTATCATAGAGTTTTAAACTACGCCTCAGCTCTAATTTGAACCCTTAAATCACCCTAAATGCCAAAGCCGAACGCCTTAAGCCCATCTATAACCCGAGATGATCTATAAAAGGAGATACATCCCTTCCGCCGGGTCAAGGGGCCGCTGACCCGAATGTATATGGGGGAAGATCCGAACATCTGTCCGCCCAAATTTGGGATGGGCCTCCCCGCTCTCCCCCATATCCTTATGACCAACAATGTGCATCGTATTCGATTGCAACCAGCCCCAGAGTGGGGGACATCCCCGAAAATTTGCCCAATATGGGAGGCGAGGAGGCCGGGGAGCGACGCTCGATCGTTGAATCGAGGCCAGCTAGGGGGGATAAACAATTAAGGCGTAATGGAAGAGAGGATTGAATAGCGGGTGCATAGTAGCATAAATCGAAATTCTAAGCGTTGATAGAAATGGAAATAAAAATGGCAATAAACAAACGTAATTCACTTCAAAAATACATTTTCGGCTGGTTTTGCGAGGGTTTACTTCAGTGAGATAGCGTGGCGAAATCAGAATCATCATCTAATACTATAATTTCACGATTATTCATCCTCGCCTCCCCTTTCAGCGTGAAGTCATCTCGATCCACGTCGGCCAGGCTGGAACCCAGATCGGAAATGCATGCTGGGAGCTGTACTGCCTCGAGCATGGCATCCAGCCCGACGGAAAGATGCCGTCTGACAAGGTTGGTCGCGAAATTACAGCCTGATCTTGAAATTCAGGTTCCTTCACGACGGGTAGGTCTTATCTAGAATATCGTAGCGACGTTACAGTTAGTTTGAAGTGCTAGAACGTCTTCTACCCCAAAAAATACCGCTCCTTTTTAGCAAGGGCAAACCGACGACTCGTTCTCGACCTTCTTCTCGGAGACCGGAAATGGGCGTCACGTTCCGAGGGCGATTATGGTTGATTTGGAGCCGACGGTTATTGGTGGGTCCTTTGGCTATGATCTCGTTACCTTGTTGATTCAGATGAAGTTCGTACCGGCACCTACAAGCAGCTCTTCCACCCCGAGCAGCTGATCACTGGCAAGGAAGATGCGGCTAACAACTATGCCCGTGGTCACTACACCATCGGCAAGGTAGGCAAGCCGATTGGATATCTAAATGCATCTGCTTACTCCAGGAAATCATTGACCTGGTCCTTGACCGTGTCCGCCGCCTGGCTGACAACTGCTCGGGCCTCCAGGGCTTCCTCATCTTCCACTCTTTCGGAGGAGGTCAGTACAGCCACATCCAAATCATTGTCATTCTTTAGGTACCGGCTCCGGCTTCACGTCACTCCTGATGGAGCGCCTTTCCGTTGACTACGGAAAGAAGAGCAAGCTCGAGTTCTCCATCTACCCGGCTCCTCAGGTCTCCACCGCCGTCGTCGAGCCGTACAACTCCATCCTGACGACCCACACGACCCTGGAGCACTCTGACTGTGCCTTCATGGTGATTATTAGACTTTATCTTGCTAATAATTTGCAGCGAATCACTCAAAATTCCGCTTTAGGTCGACAACGAGGCCATCTACGACATTTGCCGTCGCAACCTGGACGTTGACCGCCCAAGCTACACCAACTTGAACAGGATCATCTCTCAGGTATTAGAGTCAATGCAAGTCTAATTTTTTATAGGTCGTCTCCTCGATCACCGCCTCCCTGCGCTTCGACGGAGCCCTGAACGTCGACTTGACCGAGTTCCAGACCAACTTGGTCCCGTACCCGCGTATCCACTTCCCGTTGGCCACCTACTCGCCGGTCATCTCGGCCGAAAAGGCTAGTGTCTAGTATTTTTGACCTTATCTTATTACCTTAGGCTTACCACGAGGCCCTCTCTGTCGCAGACATCACCAACATGTGCTTCGAGCCGTCCAATCAGATGGTCAAGTGCGATCCGCGACATGGAAAGTATATGGCTGTCTGCTTGCTTTACCGGTTAGTTTTAGTATCTTTTTTGGGTGGGAAATGACTAGGGTGAGCTGATAAAAACATTTTTCCTGACAAATGGACGTGATATTTTTAGTGGTGATGTCGTACCAAAAGACGTGAACGCGGCCATCGCCTCGATCAAGACCAAGCGCTCGATCCAATTTGTCGACTGGTGCCCAACCGGCTTCAAGGTACCGTTTGGAAAATCGATTCACCGGCCAGTTCCTCGCCCCGACCAGACCAATTTTTGCGAACACCACCCCGGGTTGGCCCTGGAATCGATGTGTCCTAAAAGGGCCCAGATGGGTTTAGCATAGGGAGAGAGACCGTGAGAGACAGAGAGAGAGAACGCGAATCTAGAAGAAATGCGTCACGCTAGCGAATAGCCCATTTCTCCGGCCGTTTCATTACCCCCAGGGTGTGGGGTGCCGAAATTTTAGGGTAGCCGGGACTGGTCCGCGCTGAAAGCCCTCTAAAAGAAAAAGGAAGTCAAAATTCCCATTTTTTTTTAGGTTGGCATCAACTACCAGCCACCGACGGTCGTTCCGGGAGGGGATCTGGCCAAGGTGCCGCGGGCTGTTTGCATGCTATCCAACACGACCGCTATTGCCGAGGCGTGGGCTCGGCTTGACCATAAATTCGACCTGATGTATGCCAAGAGGGCTTTTGTCCATTGGTGAGTTGTTTCAAGAGTTTTTCTAATTAATTAACAGACCTTATTAGATAGATACTGCCCGTTATACCATTAAATAGATTCTAAGACTGTGCAAATTAGCGATATTGTGTTACTTTAATTGTTGTAGAAACGCGGACACCAGAAAGTAAAAATTGCGAATGCTAAATATCCTTGTCACTGGCACTTCCTTTGCCCGTCCAACTCGCTGACTACCCTCGATTTACAATGCCTTCTCAACCTCTCTCACAGTCCTCGGTAGTATACTGGTTAGTATCCGCGTCTGTCACATGCGAAACCCGGGTTCAATTCCCGGCCGGGGAGAGGTCTTTTGCTTTTTTGCGAATCAAAATTATTTTTCACTTCTTTCCTTCCTACTCATATTTTACCGTTTTTAGGTACGTCGGTGAGGGTATGGAAGAAGGCGAGTTCTCCGAGGCTCGTGAGGACTTGGCGGCGCTTGAGAAGGTCAGTATAGAATTTTTCTAGATATAATTTACCTTACCTTGTCAGGACTACGAAGAGGTCGCCGTCGACTCGTTGGAAGGCGAGACTGAAGGAGCTGAGGAGTATTAAATCCCTTTCGTCTTTGAAGCGAAAACTTATCCCTTGCAGCCCGCCAGTCACGTTTCACCACCCCATTCACCCAATCATTCCCCTGCCTTTGTGAGCTTTTTGCAATTTTTAAAGTCTTTAATTTCTAATGACGTTTTTGGCTTCTCCTCTCCGCTGGTATGACAGTATTTATTCTATGGTCTATGCAATGATTTCGATCGACAGAACAAGAAATTCTCGTTTCTTTTGCAACGCGGTATCTATTTTCTTCCAATGGCCCAATCATGCGAATAAAGTCAATTTTTGCTAAAATGTCTGCGGAGGAAGAAGGGTTTCGCAAGGATGACAATACGTTCCGAGACGACAATGATGGCTCGAAATTTTCGAAAGTTCAGACAAAACAAAAATATGAGGGGTGGGTGAGAATATGTGACTCGATGGATGGCATTCTGAATCTGGGAATCTTTGCTATCAGGAAGATGTATTTCAAGGTTTTGGTATTGGCCGTCGTTGCCGCTGTTGTTTTCTGCAAGCCGCATAAAAATCATGAGACACCACCGGTCGTCGTGGGGGATACGGTAGGATTTGTTGGACAATTGTTCAACGAGGAACAGATAAAGTTTCATTCTTAGATAAAAGATAACGTTATGCTGAGGGCCCCGGGTCCTGATATATGAAGAAAACTTAAAACATTAATTAAATTTAGCTCTGCGGCTTCTGTCACGACCAAATCGAGCAGTCGATCGATCGAATCCGTGCGGCCAACATCACCGTCCTCCAGGTTCCCCTGATTAAGGTAAATTTAAGCCTAGTTTTTTAGTCTTACCACATTTTATTTTATGAAGTATTTCTCGGAAAAACCAATATTTTAGCTGAAGCAGGCCGCCACCCGAATGTGCAAGAAGAACATGCGGCGCCGCAGCCAGGTCCCCGTCTGCACCTACATCACTTTCCAGGTTAACTTATCTTACAAAGCGTCTTGCAAAACTGTATTTAATTGTAAGCAGATATCGAGGCAATTAACAATCTTTATTTCAGATGGGCAAATACCTGATCGGCAAGGATATCAACGATATCGAGCCGAAATCGGCCTGTTTGGACCTCAACCTCTGCATGGACGAGGAAATGCTTTGAGCCGACGTGGCCCGGTTTTTGAATAAATTTTTCTGACTCTTGCATTAATTTATGGTAAGTGCAAAACAAAACTACGATACCATTTTAAAAAAAACAGCCGTCTTCTTTTGGTTGGTGGACCAAAAGAAATTATTTAAAAGAGAAATTTCAGCTTTGGAAAAAGCTGGTTTAATAATGTTGGATGACAGACGATTCGGCGGTTTTGAAAAGCATCATTTTAAAAAATGCGAAACGTCGAGACAAAACAATAATGGTAATCGTTGGATGTTATTAATTGAGCCGAGCCCATTCCCCCATTCACAGGATGTCTTTCAAGACGTTGCTCCTTGCGGTTATTGTTGCTGTCGTTTTCTGTCGGCCGCCGCTGCAGATACTGCGGCCAGATGTATTTGGAAACCAAGTAAGCTTGAGGTCTGGCGACTCTCCCTAATCAAGGGATTAAAAATCTACTGCTACCCACCATAATTTTTAGTTCTGCGACCTCTGCCAACAAGCCATCAACGAGTCGGCCGTCAACCTTGGCAACATAAATGTCACGGTTCTCGAGATGCCTTCAAACGAGGTTCAGAATTTGCACGATTTTAGGTAATCTTCACTTACATACAAGTTTTGAGCTGAAACATCTGGCTGACGAGGCGTGCGCAGAGGCCGTGAAACCAGGAGCCGAGGCTTTCGTTTGCAGCCACGTCATTTTCGAGGTAACTGGTTTGCTGGACTCCTCCATGGCTTGCTTTGAACAGTTACGCCAAAACGCTTCAGATCCTCAACTACATGGTCGGCAAAACTATCAGCGACATCGACCCGAAATCGGCCTGCTTGGACCTCACGCTGTGTATTGATGAAAACTGATTGGGGCGGCTCAGCCTGGTTTTTAATAAAGTATAATATTTTCTGCCTTTTACAAAAGTTGCACGACAGGAATAAACATTGTAAGTAAGATACCAAAAAAACGTCAACGATTTGGAATCCCGGGTCGATAACTGACCTTACAGCTTTCGACTAGAGAAACCATTCCATCAAAGTAATGTCCAATATATTTTGTCTTTTCACCTGAAGATGAGTTTTCCTCCAAATCAATTCCAGAAGTTTCGTCAAGATGAAGGTAAAGCATTAATCAATGACATAATCAATTCCGTCAATGAAGGGCACGCTTTGCCATTTTCAGTCTGATTTATCAACAGGAATTTTACAAGGTGGCAAAAGTCGAAACAAAATACCTATATATTAGTTGGACACATTAATTCATTTATTGCTGCCTAATTTCCAAACGGTTGTCCATTTGGAAGATGTAGTTCAAGATATCAGTGTTGGCCATGGCCATCGTTGCGGCCGTGGTTTTCCGTAGACCGCCCGGAAATCCCGTGACTACGATCGTCGTCGGAGATACTGTAGGCTAATCGGAATATAAAACTTAACGCCGTGTAATTACTTTATAAAAGGTTGCGCCCTTTCCTTCAACTACGATTTTTGTATCAGGTTGGAAGGTAAGTCCTGTCGCCGAGATTTTGGAAGGCTGGCTAAATTCGTAGATAGCTCCATTCTGCACATTCGATATGTCATTTTGAAGCTCTTGGGCTGAACCGTTTTGGGAGGAGGGTCCTAGCCCGTCAAGATCCAGGAGGACCGAGATACGGGCCCAAGAAGTTTTTGGAAAAATTGAGCGAAGCGTTTTTGAAGTTATCTCTGCATAGAGTGATTTGCATACGATACCTTTAACGCCAATCGATAGCCCTCGAGGAGTAGATATCGATAGATGCTGAGATCATCAAAATTGGACACTGGACGGCCGAGCTATGGGCCTTTGAAATTTGGAACATTTCTTAGAACTTTTCTCGAAATCCCATACATTTGGTCGAAATCCGCTCGGCGCGTCCAAAAATCAAGCGGTAATTTTCGGCACCTGTCCGTCAAATGTTTGGAAATGTATGGGATTTTGAGAAAAGTTTTAAGAAATGGGCTAAACTTCAAGAGGCCATATCTCGGCCATCCGATGGAATTTTGATGATCCTCAACATCTATCGATATCTACTCTTCGAGAGCTATCGATTGGCGTTAAAGGTATCGCATGCAAATATCTCTATGCAGAGATAACTTGCAAAAACACTTTTGCGTAATTTTTGAAAAATCTTCTTGGGCCTGTATCTCGGCCGTTCTTGATTTTGAGGGTCCAGGACCCTCCTCCTGGAACGATTCAGGTCGAGAGCTACAAAATGACATATCGCATGTGCAGAATGGAGCTATCTACGATTTTAGCCAGCCTTCCAAAATCTCGGCGACAGGACTTACCTTCCAACCTGATAGTTCTCGATTTTTGTCAACGCGAAATCGCAAGATCGATCGGCCGTATTCGCAAGGCCAACATCACAATACTGGATGTTACCACCCTCCAAGGTATTTTTCTCGCATAATTTCAAGCGTCATTCGAGCGTTTTCATTAAAGATCTTACACCGATAATGGTTTTGTAGCTAAAACAATCGGAAATGACCCAAAACAACCAAGGAGAACAAGAAGCTGCGCAGGCAAGAATATAAGCACGATTGAGCCGAAATCAGCTTGTTTGGACCTGACACTTTGCAAGGATGAGAACAGGATCTTGCTGACTCACCAACTTTCGATCGCCAGATTTGTTGATCAATTTCTGACGAATCAAGATTCAATGAGAAACTGCTTCGGATACATTAATCATTTAAACAAAATTTTTATTACCAGCCGCGAAGGTGACCTCGTAATGCCCGTTTGAAATTTACCCATTCCCGCAATTAGAAAGGGTCAGCGCAGGTGGTCACACCGAAAGAAGCGCACCTAATACCGATAAGGGGTCACGATTTTGCGTAAGCGGCACTAATCCCCCGACACACAGATTGATTGCTCGATGTCTCAGCACGAATTTGTTGCTTCCTATATTATTAAAGAAGACCGGAAACGCCTGAGGCCAGCTTCAATCTATAATATAGAGCTGCCTACTAGCGACAATGTGCTGTCCGGAACATCCCTCGTCGAGGGACTTCTTGGCAAGGACTTGTCAGAAAACGGAAACCGTCCCGCAATCCCGCGTGAAGTGCGAATGCGGAATCATATAGCTGCATACCTTGATACCCTTACTACCCAGCAGCTTTCTTGCTATGAAAACGCGACAATCCGTGATTTCGCGTCCCTTCGCCATTGGCGGGTTCATTGTATGAACAAGGAAGATACGTCTTATACCTTCGAATACATCAAATATCAACGGAAATGGGTTCGCCCTATCCTGATCGTGAGCTGTAATAGCCGAGAATGGGATCGCAAAGCAAAATTGCGCGATCACCATCGTGATATGCTAATTTGCGGGAAGAATCTTGAAAAATACGCGTCGAGGGACCGGCAGCAAATCGAGGGCTATGACTATGTTCAATATTATATTGTTCGAATCGCCGATTCCTTGGGCCAGAAGTGTTTCTACGCTATCCAAGGTGATGGCCACCTCTGCGTGAACCAAAAGCTCCATCAAATCGTCGAGTTCAAAGCGTTGAACAAGCGGCGAAAAAGCCGAATCAAGAAATGCCATGCGTATGACCAGCCTTTTATCTCAACTTTTGTAGCACTGCACGACATGGGGAAGATTGAGGTCGTTGGGCTTTTAAAAGCAGCCACTGATGAAACAAAGAAAGTATTAGATAAAGCCGACCAAGAATTTGATCAAATGGTGCAACATGTTGAAGAGAAATTTGTTGACGGCATCAAAAACTTGCTATTTACTTCCGGGAAGAATTTCATCACATGGACGGCAAATTCCGTGCTGGGCACGCAGGGCAATTGAACTCTGAGAACATTCCGATGTTTGAGTAAGTTATGAAGTGCTTAAATTTGAACATCATTGATGCTTCCATAGTCATTATTTAGGCAAACGACTGCGTCATCCCATGGAAAATGCTTACAGTTAGAATCATTATCTTGCCACCTACTATACGGTACGTTAGTTTTCCATTTGACTCTCATATTAGAAAATTATAAACTCTTTCCATCTCTTTCCTCATATTTCCAACTTTAAAAGAACTAGCCACTAATCAGGACTACCGGAATTCACGACCAAATGAATAGACTTGAGTTGGGCAAGGGGATCAGCTGTTTATGCCGGAACGAGAGCCGGACCCACATGGCTGGGGGGTCCTGTTTGTGCCCTTTATGCTGACACACGCTCCTTTTGGTTCTTGTTTTGTCCGGAGCAACAGCTGGCTCCGCCTCTCTGCCCTGGGAAAAACCCCTAGAAATATGGTCTGGCCACGTTGTGGGATCGGGGTGTTTGCCAGCTTTTAGTGTACGTCATTTTCCGGAAAGTGCGCTATCCTGTCTATTCCCTTCTAGAAAGATTGTTGGAGTTTTTATAGCCGGATCCTCTGAATTTTTCGGTAATAATCTAGTCGACCAGAATGAAAGAGAGAGAGAGAGAGAGAGAGAGAGAGAGAGAGAGAGGGTGAGAAAGAAAGAATGAGATAGAGAAGGGAGAGAGAGAGAGAGAGAGAGAGAGAGAGAGCAAGAACTAACGATAATTGATCCTCAACCAACTCCTCCACCCATCAAGAAACCGCAAAAACAAAAGGGACCCAAAGCCAAGCTTTTCGCACTCTCCGAACCTATCCCCATCCTAGAGCACAAAGCGTATTTGGTGCGTTACATTGCATTTGCGGTTGCCGAGTTTTCACAGGCGTTTCGTGTAGAGTGGGGGAAGAACCTGTTCCACCCATTCCATTCCTTCCGCATCCCCCTTTATTTCGTCCCTTGCCGATTATTTCCGCCGGCGGCTGGTTGACCTGACCGCAGCTCTCGCACAGCGTGTCGAACTGGCGTTTTCTGACCCCGACTTTCATTTCAATGCGCTGAGCACGACTCTTCCCATGGGCTATATAGCAATTTCGCGCCTGGTTATATGGGTTTTATGGCTAAATTTGCATCTGATTGGCCGTAAAATGGCCAGTTGGTCGTTACATAAAATCGATTTTTCCCCTCCATGCCTCAAACTCATGGCTTTTAATTCTGATCTACAACGGATTGGCAGTATTTTTGCCATCAAATATATAATGCCGTGATCACAATTTAGTTTTTTACAGAATGCCCCCAACACCCGCAGAACTAGAAAAAATTCACGAATTAAGAGCGCTAGTAAAAGATAGGGTAAGTTATTTTACCGTGCGTAATCGATTTTGCCTTTTCAGATAACCCCCTACTACGATACAGACTTCAACCTCCTCCGATGGCTTCAAGGCCACAATTTCAACATCGATCTTCTCAAGCCAAAACTCGAGAATCACTTATTTTTGCGGAAATGGGATTGGGATCTGGATAATATGGTGGCTTCTGAGGCGCCGGACCCTATTCAGGATCATTGGCGGGTAAGGATGCAATTTAGACGAGTATTTGTTTTTTAGAATGCCATCCCTGGCGAGAGCGGGGTGATCAAGAATGTGATTGTTAATTTGGAGCAGACGGGGAAGAACGATTGGTGGGGGATGTTGGCCACGCATCCCATGAATGCTATTTTGAAGGTATTGCTTTAATCAAATGAAGTTTTTGGCAATTTGATGAGCTGGGTATTGAAAATATGTAGCTTTAACGGAACAGCTCATACCAAAAACCCAAAACTGCTTGACTCAAAACTCATTTATATTTTCAAAAAAATTCCAATTTTTTTTAGTCGCGGGTGAAGGATCTCGAGGTGATGCTCGCAAAGGTTATGGCGCTCGAAGCAAAAACTGGTAAGCGCGTTGTTTTTTCTAAGGTTCTATGGTCACTAAAATTCAACTAAAAACCGTAGAAAACCACCTTTATTAGACTATAATGTGTCAAAAAAATGTCGGGAAACGATTGGGTTTACGCGATAAAAGCACGCGCTGCCCTGACTCATCCCCCCGGAAAGAAAAACATTTCTTCAAAATCTGATAAGCAATGCCGGCGGGCTTTTCATTGCCTAAGGGGCATCATAACCACTTTTCACGCATATATCGATTCAACAATGTACCGCTACGAATTTGTCGCTTCCTATATTATTTATGAAGACAAGAAACGGCAAAAACCGGCTTTTATTCGGACTATCGATTTGCCGACCAGCGACAATGTTTTGTCTGGGGATGCCCTTGCCACGGAACTTTATAATAAAGACCTGAGCAAGTTGAGCAAGGGCTCGAAAGTTATGCGTGAAGTTCGAATGGAAAATCATATTTTGGCGTATTTGGATACCCTAAGTCCGCAAGAACTGGGTCCATACGCTTATACGACGATACGCGATTTCGCAAGCTGGCGGAATTGGCGGCTACAGCGGTTGGAAAATCGATTGAACCCATATTCCCTTGAATTCTTCAAGTATGAAAGAGCTCCTATTCTCATAGTTGGCTGTAACAATCCTAACTCTGCAAATCCTGAGCAAGAAATGGAGGAAACCGAAAAGCGGATGCTTCTCTATGGAAAGAACCTTGAAAAGTACGCATCTATTAATAGGAAAGAAATTGCGGGTCACGATTCCATTCAACACTATATCGTTCGGATTACGGATTGTTGGAACCATAACTGTTTCTATGTAGTTCAAGGTGATGGCCACTTGGCTGTGGAGAAGAAACTCGCTCAAATCGTCGAGTTTAAGACGAAGAATCATGATCATAAGACTAGCGACTTCATGCTCAGATGTGCCGCTTATTACCTACCCTTTGTCAAAACTATTGTGGCTCTTCATAGCTACGGTATAATTAAAGGTGTGAAACGTCTCGAGTTGAAGACTGAAGACACAAAGCAGATATTGGCACAAGCTGATGCAGATTTTGAATCAATGTTGCGACAATTTGAGCGCCAGATATTTGGTTTCGGGAACCCAAATACGATTATCTACGTGTGGTCGATGATATTGCAAATGGATTGCAGAATGTATCTGGGTACTCGCGTCAAATAATTTATCTGTATTCCCACTTATTCAAGGAATCGATACTGCTATAGCTATATATTATTTGTATTTTGTATTCGAGCTTGATCAACTGTTGCATTATTTCTCTATTAATTTAATCCAAAAAATATAGAAACTATTAATTCAACGAATAAAGGTAATCAAAACCGATTGATAAAGTTTAGTGAGCCAACTATGCCTTTTTTGCAGGCGAACAAGCCCACATCATGTACATAATGGACCTTGGAGGGCTGGCCTGGGATCGAAAATTGCCAGGACTACTGACGGGTATGTAGAATATATAATTTTCGACGCAAAAATGTTTTTTTAGGCCCTCTCTCCGCGCTGAGCGCATTTATGGCCGATCATTACGTGGAGCTTGTACACTCTTTCGTCTTGGTGAACGTGCCGACATTTATCTCGGCAGTGTGGTACGTTCTAGTAGTCTATCGGAAAAGTTCAATTTTCAGGACTATCGCAAATCCGTTATTGCCAGAGCGGACGAGGAAAAAGGTCGTGATATTGGGCGGGAATTGGAAGAGCGAGATTCAAAAATATGCCGACCCAAATGTGCTTCCTAGTTTTTGGAATGAGCCAGGGGAGAGTGACGTTGGTACTACCCCTTTTTGAATGCCCGGGATTAAAATACCAATCTTTATCTTTCTTTTAGCCCTTCAAGTTCGAACTTCCCCGGTCTGTCCTCTACCCGCCAGAAAAATACTACAAGGATCAGCCACCCGCCGAAAGTCAAGTTCTCACAATTCCTGCTGGAAAAACGGACATAGTAGATATTTACGTCGACGAGGTTTGTATAATTAGCCATCTAATTTCCTCAATATAGGACGAAGACCTAAAATGGGAAATTCACACCGACGGCACGTTTACTATGGGTCTCTATTATGTTGAAGATCCAAGATCAGACTCGATTGAGGGATTGGAACCTGTCATGCCACACTTTGCGGTTAGTTTTTAGACAGTTCTTACTGTAAAGTGTTTTTACTCAGGCTGGCGTTTTAGAATGGGACCAAGCCTATCTTGTGCAGAATTTTTCGCTGATTCCGAATCTGATTTCAAATTTGCTGCCGACCTTTATTTAAAAAGTTATTCGACATTCGACCCCAGACGTTAAAACTGGCTTGGTAATGGTTTTAGAGGTCAAAGCACGATTTTATGCAGAAAATCATGTGTTTTTGCGCAAAAAGCAAAAGATCGAAGATCGAGCCATGCCAGCCAGATCATGCCAAGCACAGGGCGGAGATCGAACCGCCGCCCTGTGCTTGGCAAGCGAACAGCTTACCAATGCACCATGGTGCAAACTGGGAACGGGGCTTCGGGAGGGTTGATAAGGGGCTCAACAATACCTGGACCCAGACAGGGAATAGTGGGCCAGCATACGAATTTATGCCGTTTTTAAGCTTAATTTAGACCCCAAATGACTTTTCAACGCGAAGTCCGCAGCAAATTTGGAAAACGGCTTCGGAACAAGCAAAAAAAATTCTGAACAAGTTAGGCTTGGTCCCATCCTAAAAGGCCAGCTTGAGTAAAAACACTTTACAGTTAGTTTAGTTTCTCAAAATGCCATAAAATATAGAGAGGAAAACCAAACAGTTTTCAGAAAGTGCCCGGCCCTACGATTTGTCCGCTGCGGGAACAAATGGAATGCAAGATTCCTGGCATCTACAGATTTCACTTCAGCAACGAATTAGCCTGGTTTTACCCGCTGAAGATCACGCATTTTATTCAGAAAATCAGGAGAAAGTTGTGAAATGTGAATAAAAATATATGTGACACACAGCTTTCCCCAGGGGGCGAGCAACAGTTTAAAATACCGTATTTCCTTTAATATAACCCCGAGGGTTATATTTTTTTTCAATCACCCAAGGCAAGGGGGTTGTATTGGAGGGGGGAGGAGGGTTATAATAGAGGGGGGCTTATATTTTTTTGATCGACTGAAATCTAGAAAATGGGTGTAAAATGGTCGGAATTTGACCAAAATCACAAATGTTTTCGCAATAGAAGTCTTAAAATTACTCAAAAGTGTAGTGTTAAGCATAAACATCACCTTTTTTCCGCGTTTTTGACTCCTGAATGCGTATTGGAAAAAATTTCAGGGCTGTTATATTGGAGGGGGGAGGGTTATATTAGAGGAAATATGTTATCCACTTTAAAAAAATACGAGGATCAAAAAGAGAGAGGGAGAGATAGAGAGAGACAGCGAGAGATTGAGAGAGAGGAAGAGAGTGCGAGCTAGATTTCTTTTTAGTTCAATGGAATTGCTTGGTCGCTATGCGCTTGTCGGTTGGCCGCTATCGTAGACTGTCGCACAGACCAGCTGGAGGAGTGGAGGCTGGGCTAGAAGATGGTTGTTATTATTATTTTCTTTTTTTATGATTATGGAACCCAGAGAGGACAAGAGAGAAATAGCAGGAGTTAGGTCACAAGCCACATTCGTACCTCAGTGCGCAAAAGCCGCCGCTTCAAAGTCCGCCAGGCCGACCGACTGATTAAGATGATGGCAATATTGTTGATGAGAGAGGTTGCAATGCCAAACAGACCTGACAGGGAACCGACCCAATACACGACACCGCCTTCAAATCTTGGTTGGATGGTTTGGGATTAACGTACTGAATTGACCAAAATAATCGACAACGTTACTGTAGGTACTCCATAAGCGGAAGGATACTGGTAGGACTTCGAAAAGAAGGCTGCTGATGCCCTAAATTCTGGAATTGTTTCAGTGGGAGAGAGAGAGAGAGAGAGAGAGAGAGAATGAGGGAGATACCTAGATACATACCTGCAACATAAATATATTTGCAAAAGTGCGTAACATTGTGCGAGCCGTTGGCGATTGAAAAGTGTTAGTCCGGAAGTACCCATCTATCCAGATATCGCGCACGGCCCATGTGTAGGCTGTTCCCACCACAAAACAGCATACCGAGCCGACCCGTAAGAGTTGCGGATGGGTCTTCGCTTCTTCGGGCTCGACGCAGATCGGGTCCTGCACCGCGCATACTTCAGAAGAAAAACGCGCGCAGTTCTGAAATTTGGGCTAGTTAGTGAGAGCCAGATGATAGAGGCAGGGCTTGATTAAACTATACCAGCTCCGAGCCTTCATACATAGTTCTGCGAAGTGCAGTAATGATCAGAGTTCCGAATATCGCGATCAAGTATAATATAAAAAACGTGATGATGCCAACCTTAAAGGAAAATGGCAAGATTGCTCCGGAGTTCGGTTTCAACTCTGATTCGGTTTGACATCTGTGAAATTGCATGATATAATACTTACCTTGACGATCATATACAGGCGGCTACCACGCTGTAAGTCTAGGGCCTCGCGCTTTGAGACGCCGTTGAACAGCCAGGAGCACGTTCTGTACGCGTTTAGGGCTTCACCGCTGGCCTAGGTGGACGAAATTTGCTCTCTCTCTCTTTCTCTCTCTCTCTCTCCCTCTCTTTCTCTCTCTCTCTTTCTAGTTTCTAGCTACTTACAAAACATAGCAACAGACTAAAGGCCCCCATCGGCAAAGGGGCGAAAAATCGAAAACAAGAATATGGCAGCAAGAATATCGGCTTGACGAAGCAAAAGAATGCATCCGCAAGCAGTGAAGCAATCTGGAAACTTTTCGCATTATCCATGGCCGGTAGTTCTCACCAATATATTTATTTGCAGGGCCTTGAAATAGGTGGTTGCCAGCCGATGATGGTACATTAAATACAGGGCTATTAGACCGGTGACTGTACTCAGAAACCAAAGCAAATTGTAGGAAAGTAGTAGGACGAACTGATGTTGATCGGGATTGAGCATAGTAACGGAACCTATGTGGACTCGAAAAGGCAGAGCTATCGGAGTCTGGTTGGCTCGACAGGTGAAACTTCAGCCTTCCAAAAAGAAGCAATTAAAGAAATAACACGCTAACTTTATGAAATGAAGCCAAGAACATCGAGATTGAGAGGAAGAAAGGAAGAGCGGAAATGGGTTCAGAACTCAAATTTGCTGGATGGCCTTCCAGAGGGATTGCTGACAGATTGTTTCAACAGGTTTTCTCAATTAGTTAGATGACGAGCAGGCGCAGCGAATAGATAGCGTAATTTCACCTGCTCAGGTTAAGTTGGCTTGAGTGACCGGTAACGTTGTTGGAAGTCCGATTAAAGGTATACAGGTTCAAGGCATCGTTAAATTATTTAACCGTCGGTCAGCGTGCTTAAATAGCATACTATGGCTGCATCCCATTATTTCTACAAGGACCCCTGGAAACGCTGATTTTAGAAGTACAGAGTCTCCCAAAAAAACACCCCTCCGGCATTTCGCCGTATTACATCGGATCGGTCCCATACTTTGCACAAGCGTGTATCAGTCCCTAAATAACCACAATCCTAAGTTATAACCCGATCGCTACTGTAGTTTTCGAGTGATCGCCAAAATACTATTTTTTACGTGATTCTTAGCGGTTTTTCCGGCTATCTTTTTGGACTTATCATCGATTTGCATTTGTATCACCGGCTACAATTCCTCTTTTCGCTTATTATCGGGGGTGACGCTCGGTTCTAAAAGTTGTTGAAATAATCGGTTATTTGACGCTGTCTCGATTATCCTACGCGGAAAAATTCTGCAAAAAATCAGTACCAACGGAGCAATGAGTGAGAATACTAAAAGAGCCCAGAAGGACCTTGTGAAGGTAAAAAATTCGATATAGAAACAGCATACATTATTCTCAGGCCTTGACCATCCAGCTAATCTTACCACTCGTGATGATGAGCCAAGCGAGCGGGTATTTCTGGCGTCAGTTCCGATTGCCGTAAGTTTTCTTGGTTTGCAAGATCAAAAGGCTTTTCAGCCTTGCCGACTACTTTCCCTATTTTGAAGAATGGTCTTTTTTGAATATTGCGATTGTAGGTTTTCCAGGCTTAACCCAAGCTACGTTTACGTTTTTAGGTGAGCCTCTTCAACCCGTTGGTAACGATCTACTACGTGAAGCCCTATCGCAAGAAGGTGGTAGAAATGTTCCGACTGGACCGAGCTTCCCGAAAAACCGCCCAAGCTACTTATGAACAAACCCAGACCCAATCCGAAAACCAGGACACTCTACCATCGAATCTTGAAAACTTTATTTAATCCTAAGCCTGTACGATACCCTCTTTTAGAACGGTTCGCCATTTGCTTACGTTGTGGTTTGTAGTCTCTTCTGCTCCCAAAATCTGAATTAGAGTCAAAATTAAATTAAATAAATCTTTATTGAGATCAAACTTTGAAAACAAATATGAAAAGCAAGCACCAGAGCAGCAAATATTACAAAACAAACGATGACATCCAAAGATAACCGTATTTCGCGGGGAATGGCACGGGAATATATCGCTATGGGGAAGACTCATCTTCTTTTTGGATTTGGCAAGGTTCAAAAATAAAGAGGGTAAAGCAAAAGGCAAGAAGCAAGAAAAAGTACTAGCTAGAAAATTAATCAGCTGATCCGCGGGCAATGTCCATTGTGGCAGACTTGCCGAATCGGGCGACGCGTTTCGGGAGTCCCAGGCTGGCCAGGGAGACCTTTCGTTCGGCTTTACGGTTTTGATGCTAAAATATTAATAGGGAATAATCTAATCTGAAAATATTATCCGTAACTTTTCTTGTGCCCTTAATTATCAAATCTTTTTGCGATTTTCAGCAGCTTTTAACGTTGTCATCTTGCCTGTTTTGTCATTATGGAGGCGATTGGTTTCGCTTTCTGACACTTTTTTTGGCAATTTCTCATGTGAGAATTATCGGAATCGGCTTATTATTAGGTAAAGAAATTAAGTATCTTATCGGGTATCGTATCGAATCGTCCAGCTCTTACAAGGGGGTGGTTTTTAAGTGAAATGGGAGGTTTGCGGCGTGAAATAGCTAATCCGATAGAGCTTGAAATTCTGAGCAAGTCCCGTCTTTCAAAAACTGCTGAACGGTAATGGTATTCGAGAAGCGGTTCACCAAAGTTCGCCCTTTGCTAAGCTCGGGCCAACAATGGTCAAAACCCTGCCATTCAGAGCGGATTTCCTCGAAAGCCGTGTTCGGTCAGCAGTTTTTGAAAGACGAGACCTGTTCAAAATTTCAGCCTCTATCGAATGAGCTATGTCACAACGTAAAACTCCAAGATCACCTAAAAACCATTCCATGTTAGATAGAAATGCGCCATTTCGTAATGTCGCTTTCCTTTTTTTGGTGTTGCATGCTGAGCGGCTCCTCATTACACTTCCCAAACAATCCCATGTTCATTCCATGCGAATTCATCCCATGGTTCATATAACCCCATTCAAAGTGCGATCAACTTATCCAATTTTCATCATCTCATTCCCCACCAAAACCAATAGAGAGACATGCATTTTATTTTACCCATTTCTCCGGTGACAAGACAAACGAACACACAAAATGAGGAACAAAGAATACAACTGTGCCACAATACAGGAAATTAGGAAAAAAGGGAACGCGAGAAATCGGTGTATATTGTGTGTGGTAAAGTAGAGAATACATAGTACAGATCACAACCGCAAATAAAAATCGGTGCTGTTGATTGGGACAGTAAAATACTGAGAAATAAGGAGAAAAGGGCGAGATACGTTTGGAAAGCTGGAAATAAACTTAAGATTTTCGATTTTGGAAGTTTTTTAAGAATCGATTAGGGCTCTGTAGTGCACCAAGAAGTGGTCCCCTGGGTCGAAGTGGCGGAAAATTTGGGCGGAAAACTGAAAAAATGGCTGCTATGGCCGAAAAAACCCGAGATTGTTACGTGGGCGGGATTGGTTTGTAAGGATTTAAGCGAGTTATTATTTGAGGATTTTAGATGGTATTTGGGGAATTGCATAATTTTCTAGCGGGCGTAAATGATGGTAGCCGTAGTGTTTTGGGGGTTGATAAGTATTGGCGTGGAGGGCGGAGAGGGCAGTAAAACAAGTTGTAATAAGTTGTAAAGTGCGGAAAACTGATGTGTCAATAGGGGGGCGATCATACTGTGCAAATTGGCACGAGATCAGCGAGTGTGGCAAGGTAATTAAGGCTTTCACGCTGTTTGTGCAGGTTTGAACGGATTTGGGGCTATTTTTTTTGTTGCGAAAATCGGCCGAATTTTGCTGTTTCATGGTCTTGCTCTCTCTCTCTAGCTTTTTCCATCCTTTCAAACCTTCACTCATTTCTTTCAAAATCGTGAGTACATGAGATGGAGAAGAACACAAAAACCGAAATTCGCCCGTGCGCGTCACGTCAGAAGATGCATTATGCAAACTGAAGATGTCGGCCGATCTGTTGACGAAGCCGGCCTCAAATTCCGGACCCATCGCCCTCATTAACATGCAATGTGCCGTGCTCCTGCATGCTGGCCCGTGCCGCTTCGAGGTGCTGCAGGAAGGATCTCACTTTTTCCAGCGTCGTGTTCACGGCCTCTTTGCGGTTCTCGAGAATGAATCGGCCGAAGGATTTCCATCTAGAAAATCGTGTAAACAATCTATTAATATTATTAATAATATATTTAAGCGTAGAAACTGATCGCTGCCGATTTACAAACCTTGACTGTGCATGCCAAACATTTTCATCAGCAGCCAGTACCCGCGAATTCACTTTTCCGGGGTAGTTCTTTGTCGTGGTAGGGCCTAAATTTAAATAATCTCCTATAAATTTTTCATTTACATGGCTCATCCCCGGTTTCTTCCACCAGCACAAACTCGTTCTCATCCAACTCAAGCCGTCGCGATTTCATGAACACCTATAATTCCTTTTTTTTTTAATTTTGCCTTAGGCCTTCTAAAACTGTTCCTTGCTTTTCATTGTATATATTTCAGCCCAATTCATTGTTTTCGGACCTGCTTGATGACGTCGGTGGCGGTGCTGTTGATGGAGGCGCGAAGGATGGCGTATGGTTGGTCATCGCTGACGTTGTGGACACACACCAGGAAAGTGTCGCCCATTGAGCGTCCACGAGGGTTTAGGCTTGCTAAACAGGGGTTTAAAATTTTTGAAGGAAACGCGCCAAATTATGAATTTTCGTACGTTTCTATATATTGCATAACTTACAAGGTTGCTCCAGGGTATCAGCCTCAACCTCGACGCTTTTCGCATGCAATTGGGACGAGGACGGCGATTTCATGCCAATGCCCTGAAAGAGTTTTTCAAATCTCAAAATATTTTGTTAAATAATAGTTTTGTATTGTTTCTGAGCTTTCTCGACCAAGATTTCAACGTACCTCATAGGATTTCCGCTCGGAAAGTCCAGGATTCGGGCTGGCGCCTCCACTCGAACCACCGCTCTTGATGATCGACGTGATCCAGGCACGAGAAGATGGATCCTAAACATTTCCAATTCCCCCAAAAAATTATCAGTCACTTACCGATCCCTTTTTCCGCACCAAAAACCTTCTTTGCGAGCCATTCCAACAAGCCACCGCATCCATGATCGGTTCCCCGTGGGGCAACACCCGGAATGTCGGCTTTGGTCTAAAAATCGGGCAATTTTCGCAAAAAATTTGAACCTACCGCTGGTCTCCAGCCTCGTCAGCATCAACAGTGCCCTCCTCGATCAGCACGTAGTCTTCGGCTTGTTCTGCGGATTTTCCGGCTTTGCTCAACGCCTCAAACAAAACGTCCTACGAAATTCGGACCTAAAAAATACCTGTTGTATGACACTTCGGACCGTGCTGCCGCTCTCGCTATGCACAACCACCGGCGTATCATCAGCGTTTAGCCCGGAAACCCGTAGGACGAAGATCTGCTTCTTCAGGATCGGCGTCGGTTTGATGTGGGCGTTCTAAAAAGATAACATTTTAAATCACCGGGCCGCGATTGGTCAATGAAACCCAAAAAAACCAAGACATTGGGCGGATAAGTCGAGTAAGGTGTGAGTAAAAATAAGAAGAAGCTGTTTGTTTTCACCTGAAGTGATAGGAGTGGATTATTGTTGGGGATTCTGCTGGTGTGGGCTACCAAAAAATACCAAGTTATACCCACCGTGTCATTTTGATAATCGAGTTGATGCTCGATGTGGCTGTTGATGGCCGAGTCTTCGTCGTGCAGGTAGATGTGCTCTTCTTGCTCGAAACGGGTGCGGATGAAGAGGAAACCGTTGTCTAAAAGCAGCAAAAATTGATCGAAAGTTAATAGAATAATCTAATGTTAGTTTTGAAAGCTTCTATAATATTTTTAAAAAGAAAACCGACCCATAGGTTGATTTGTGGCCGTCCGCAGCGGCAAATGTCGATACCCGGGCCGGATGCACTTGACCGGGACGACACGTTGCGAAATAACCTTGCCGTTGAGAGCCGCGTCACAAACCTAAAACATAAAAACAATGTAAAAATATATACTTACGGCAATCCTGAGAAAAGCCAGTTCAACGCACACGATTCGCAGCTGCACTTGGTAGTCGAACCGCGGGTTTACCTTAAAAACGAAACTTTTTGACATAAGGTTTTAAGCTAAAGCTACTTTTTCGATAAACTCCAAGGAATGCAAAACTAGATTAAGCTTTCTCTATAGTAAAAGCAGGACCAAGGCCTTTTTAGCATTAAACTAACCGAATTTTTCACCAACGGCTTGCTTTTGTCCTTTGCTGAATCACATAGAGCGCCGATAAGCTCGATCTCGAGGAATGGCGAGCCGACATGGGTGCCCGGGAAAACGTGCTGCCCAGAGATCACCTAAAAAACAAACTTCCTAAATTTTATTCCTATTTTTGAAGCTTTTTCGAAAAAGACAGAAATTCTGAAAATTTCCGTTTGTTTACGCGAAAAACCGCTTTGGCAGAAGGTGCATTGCGGAATCTGCCCCCAAGTGCATTCACAATAAGCTTCCACAATTTCCCTTCAATAAATTTCCATTTCCGCCGAAGAAATAAACCCGAAAACCCGGGGCCAGATGAGATTCTCGGCTGACCCTGTGGGGTCGGCGAGCCCTTTGGGAGGGGTGGGGGCGGGGCCGAGGTCTTTTGGCGCGCCCCCAGCCGCCCTCTCTCGTCGCTCGCGTAGCCTAATGGATAAGGCGTCTGACTTCTAATCAGAAGATTGCGGGTTCGAGTCCCGTCGTGAGCTGCAATTTTTGCTTTTTGGGAAATTTTTTGCGAATTCTTTTGCCCATAGGCCTAGATATCACTGGTCAGTTTAAAATTGGTTTTTAGCATACTATGAGCTGGGAATTGGCTAGGGAAAGGTGGTTTTCGGCGGCTTTCCGGGGGATTTTTACAAATTTTGCGGGGTTTGTAGATGGAAACTATAAAGTTTTTTGATTTCCTCATACCGTGAGGTTCAAAAGCAACGCAGAATGTGTTGCCATTTCTTTGCTGGAAGGGTTGTATCGTCGGTGCAGTGGATGCGTTGGATCCCATAGTACTCTCGGCTTCAACACGTATCCACAGTTCCCGGTTTGCTCGAACATGGCCGAATTGACGGCCATCACGATATCGGAGGTCTAAAAACTTATTTTATTCACCTTGACATAGCTTTACGTCTTTTTCTGTGATTTTGTGACCATTTTGTGAGCATATAACCATTACGCTGGCTTTTACCCGAGCTCCATTCTTCGGTCAAAAGCTTGTATAAAGAGAATTTGACTTTGTAAAATTATTCAACAGCTGGATACTAACATCATTAGTTCAGCCAAAAGCTATTTTTAAGTCTAACTCGATTTCTCAAGCCATTGTTTTCACCTGGAAGTTCAGCGCGACCATCTGCATCCCGTGCGCCCAATAGTGGACCGGGTTAAAATTGGACGAATCGATGCGAATCGCGCCCGGGTACGTTCGAACAATCTGAAAACTATATTAATTTAGTAAACTGCAAAACTTACGTGATCCTTCGTGTACTGGATACATTTCAAAGGGTGTTTTCGGCAAAGCTTCCGGGCTGCGGTCTGAAAAATGCGTTATCTCGATGCACTAAACGTTAAAGTTTTTGCTTTCAAGGTTCAAAAAGTGAAAAACATTTAAAAAGGTAAGTTACAGGTCTACTTACCTCATTTAGTGAAGTCACTTGATAACAGGAAGCGTGCGAGTGCGGTCTGCCGGCCAGCTCTTCGCGAAGTTCATGGGTGATCGCGCCGCTGTGGCTTGATTGGCTCAAGTGGCTCATGGCTTTTGGTCGGAAGCTAAATCATACAGTTTTATAATGCCCCCTCTTTACAGTTTTATAATGCATTGACTATTACCCCCTCGGCGATGGCGCAGGAGCCAAGTTTGAGGCGGTTCTTGTTCTGGATGGCTGTAAAGACAGGCTGGTCGATGTGCTGACATTTAGGGCTTCAGTGGATCGAGTGAATGCCGGGAATCCCTGAAAGACATCACATTTTCTGGGGTTTTAACCTTTTTTGTATTAGAAAACTCTATTGATACCTTGAACTTGATGGCTTGGAGGTAGATGACGATATCGCTCAACTCGGGCGCAATAATTGGGCCGGCTGCGAGTTTTCTTGGGCTTGGGCGGGTTGAGACGGAGGCGGAAATGACGGTTTGCACTTCTTCCAGTTCTTTTGCAGCCTCGAAGACTAACTGAAAAATATAGCTGATAAGTATCTCTTTAAATCGAACGTTTTCTTCTCAATTTTCCGTAAATATTTCCACAAACCGCTGCCACAACCTTCTTCCCCTCCCCAGAATGATCACTATTCTGAGAATCCTGCTTTGTCGCCGTCTTTGTTCTTCTGCTCGCCGTGTGTTTCGGTGACTCCGTTTCCGACCGGTCAACAGCTGAAATATTTCGTATTTACTGAACTCCCCCAATGCCCTCACCTTCCCCTTCGTCGTCCTCATTCTCCTCATCATCCAGAAACTCGTCCAAGTCGTCATCGTCATTGTCGTCCATAGTACTGGAATGGCCACTGTTTTTGGGTGTCCCAGATTACAGTATTTCTTACCTGCTCTCGTAGCTGTTTTTGCTCTGTTTGCGATGAAGGGTGTTTTGGGGTTCGCTTCGGATGCTGCGATCGGTGAGAAGTTGCGAGGGTTCGGCAACCATTTTCTTGTTCTAAAACGGGGCCATTATCGCTCAGTCCTTTTGTATTACCTTGATCAAAATCTTTCGCTTTAACTGCAAAGGCGATGGAAGCCTTGGCGAGTCGGAAAAATCGGATTCAAACAAGAAAGCTGTGACGAGCCGATCACCAAGTACCGTCTAGAGCAAAATATTTAAAATGCAGAACATTTATACCTTAAACATCTGTGCCATTTTCGCTTGTTGCTGCAACGAACAGTGGTTTTCAATCGACAAAATCACAGGCAGATCGCTGGTCTCGAAAGCTGATTTTTTGATGATTTCCACAACCTAGAAGACATTCAGTTTCACGAGCTTTTTGAATACCTGTCGAAAACCGATCTTGCTAGTAAAGGTATGACCATGGTAGATGAGGGGCAAACCGTCATCTCCATCCCAGCAGTCCAGCTCAACGCAACGGCATCCGGTTAGAAGGACCTAAAAAATATTGCTGGCTTTTCAGGTGTGCTCTTACTTGTCGATACATTTCCACGCTGCTTTCTCCTTTCAGTTGATGGCCCGTGAGGTAGGTATTGTGGCTGGAGTTGACGTAGTAGTGGGACAAGGGGTAGGTCAACTCCGCGTCGTCGACACGGCTCGTTTCGGGGACGAAGGCGAAGTTGCAGGGATCGGAGAGGAAGCGGGTGAAGCCCTGAAAACTCGAATTACAGCTTAAACCCTTGAAAACGAGTATTGAGATGGAGACCGGTCATCAATGCTTGATCTCCAACCTTCCGCTTAACTGCACTTTCCCCAGACACCAAGATTTGCCTTCCTACGCCAAAAAAAACACAACCCACCTCAAAAGACAAAGTATTTTTCTGCCGCAATATCGGGTCGGGCTCGTGGTCCTGCAAGTGGATATTTAATAGCGGTTTTGCATATATGCTTTCTTTAATAATTTCCCTCGCTCTAGCCCACTTATTTCTAGCGGCGTCTCCCTTCTGGAGATCCAAATTTACCGCTCCTTTTGTTTTCCCCCGCCACCACCACCGCAATTTCAGGGTTTGATCCAAAATTGCCTTTCATGCCATGCAGCCCACCGAGGGCCCTCATTTTTATTTGATTTTCGGCTCTGGAAAAAGCGTCATGGGGTGTGACGTCTTTTGTGTGTCTTGACGGTGAATTTTCTCATTTAGATTAGGGGAACGCTTCGAAGACGACCTGATGGGTTTTCGGCTTCTCGTGCGCTAAAATGGAGGCCGTTGCGAGTGTGGAGGCGGAAATTTCGAATGTTGATGGAGAGTAGGGGGATCTGGTGGTTAATTAGGTTTTTTGGAGATCTTGAGGAATGGGGTCGGCGCGCCCGGATACCATTTTGTTTGGGTGAATACTTTTTAGAAGGAGCTTTTAGGAATTTTTGCAGAATTTTCTGTAGGTTAGCTTTGCATAAAATGTGTTAAAAGTGACTTCTAGAAGTCGTAGGTTTTTACAGATGTGGAATTACCGTGTTTATTTTGTTTGCTACTAGAGGGTCTGTTTAACGAACAAAGATGCACATTTTCGAATTACGTGTGCCTAGGAAACCTCACGCGTAGACGCATAACTCCGCGCTCTGTTTAGACCAACCCTCCCATTTCCGCTACCAGGGTTGTAGCTGAAAAATTTATGCCCATTAGTGCAGCAACGGATTTTTTGAAAATTCGCACTCCCGTCCCATCCCAAATTCCATCTATCCGTCCACTGATCCTCAGGGCTTCCGGTCTCCCCTTCTCCTTCCGCTATTTCATAACCCTTTCAATAAAACCTCGCAGCCCAAGTTTCTCGGAGTGCTGAAGCATTAGCTGCCCTTCAATCTGAATGAAAAACGAGGCGTGGAGATGGGTGGGAGGGGGCCTTCAATTTCTTGGGTGCCCCGCCGGGGCCAAGGAGGGGCGGATGGGCCCGAATTCTTCATTAGAGGACCCTTGAGGAGAGAGGGCCCTTCTTGGCTCCTTTGTAGGGGGAGAAAAACACAAATACATGGCCCTCGTCGTGCTGGGCCTCCTTCTTGCCATCACATTCTCAGGGTTGAGTTTCGCGGGCCCTTTTGAAATTGGGTCCAACGGGGTGGTCGCCACATTCGTTGACTTTGTCAGGAGTCAAGGATCGGAAGTTTCAAATGGAGCTCCGGCTTTTGGGTGTCGAAATTATTGCCATAACGGTCCGTTTGCATTCGAAGCAGCTTTCTGCATCAATGGGAAGCAACGCGTCGAAAATTCCGAGAGGGGCACCAACTTTTGCGCTTTGAAATTTATTTCGCGATGATCCACTCATATTTAGAGCAGTTTTACGCATTAATGAGAGAGAATTAGGCGCGATTTTTAAAGAAAGCACAATTTTTTTACCTCAAAATTTATTCCGCCATGATCCGCTTCGATTTCGAAACACATTTTTCATTAAAAGAAGGCAATAAATGCCGATTCGCCAGTATTTTTCCAAATGCTTGTGCCCAAAATTTCCCACGGAAAAGCCCCGCCAGAAGCCCATACCTGAAGACATATGGGCCAAATGACGGGCCAGCACCCCCGGAAAACAAAGGCCAGCCAAGCCGTCTATAATCCCTGCTATTCTATGGGGGCGAGCCCAGGGACTCCCATGTGGCCGTTGCACCCGGGGGGAGTCCCTCGAATTATTCAGCTTGACCTATGGACGACGGGCGCTGTTTTCGTTGGCTAACATCGACATCCCCGTCACATCTCAATTTCGGAACTTTGTTACTTCCATTTTTTTTGTCAACCGATACTCGCAGCTCTTTAAGAACCTTTCTAGCGTATTTTTTAGTTTATTGGTTTAAAAGTATAGTCAGGAAGCGTATTTTGGAATCCGCGAGGCTCTCGATACCTAGTGTGTCTAAAAGGTCCATTCTCTCGCTTCGGAGCCCCTGAGATGTAGTACCAAGCTGTCGAGAACTAGCCGACACTAGGGGTCAGTTCTGCCTCTTCCTAGTCTCAGCTTCCTGTCAACCTTACCATCTCTTCAATCACTTCCTATTAGGCTTTTTTAGTCTCCAAATCCCAAAGCCAAAATTTGGCAGCGTGCCATTGCCCGAAAAGCCCACCCTCCCTCCCCCCCCCCCAATTCGTGCAAATCGAGTTCGGCATCGAGCAGCCGGGCCAGGGCGGCCGGTTCTGGTGGGCCTTCCCCTTTCCTGCTTCTTCCGGCGCAACGAAAAACCCATCGCATCACCCCGTAGAAAACAACGGAAGCAAGCAAAGATAGAATGGTGTGCGGCGGGTTCGGATGGCGAGATGACGGCCCACTGGGGAGTTGATACGCGGGTCTCGTGCCCCATTTCCATGCACTTTCGTGGCCTTTGGGGTGCTGATTTGGGCATTGGATTTGCTTTTTTAGATTTTGAAGCTGATGTGATTTAATTAGGGCTGCGGGATAGCTAATTTAAAGTATGAATCACTTTCTGGAAAGAGATATTTTAGTGTTTTCGCAAAATCGCCTTTTCCAGTGCCTTTTTGCTTTTTTTTGGAGTTCTTATTTTTATAGTTCGGGATTAATCGCTATATAAACGTGGACAGACCCTTTAGGCCAAAACAAAAAAACTTCTCTTATCCACGGACTTCTAGAAGTGTGACCGCAATATTTGGTAGGCTCTTTAAACGTTTAAATCTGTTTGGCTTCATAGGCTCTTTAAACTAAAAATATATAAATCTGTGATCCACTAATCTACGACCCTAATTTCCGCTCCCCCAGCCCTCAAAAATTCGCCATTACGCGGAAGTTGCCCCACCCCAGAATAGCGAAATCGTCCCGCCGCGAGCCCAGCGTTCCAATCGGCACAATTGGGCGACCCAAACACGGCAACCCCGCGGCCTCCCGAATTTCGACGTGCCTACCTAGGCCCTGTCCTGCCCCCCGTGGATTCCATTAGGGTATGTGGCCCGGTGGCCTTGGCGGTGGGTTCGGGCGGCTCCTCCCCTTGACGAAGCCGCCGCTTTCGCGATTTTTCTTCCCGCGCCCAAAAGCCGACCGAGGAACGGCTTGGCCGGGCTGCTGCTTCTGTCCCCCTTTCGATTCCCCCACATCCCCCCTTCCGGCTGTGCTTCAAATCTATTCTTTTGCTTCTGGGTTTGGAGGCCCCCTCTCTTAACCCATTCATCTGCTAAGGTTCCCCCGGCCCACCCACTCTGGTTCTGTGTGGACAACCCTCGATTTTTTTGCTTACAGCTTCCGGCGGGTGTTTTTCTGAGTTATTTTTGCTTTTGCTTGAGCCATGCGGCCAGGGTAAGCAAAAGAAAATAGCTTATTATAATTTCGGGAAGGTAAAAGCAGCTGAAAAAGCGTTAGAAGAACGATAAGTTCTTGTTTTTCTTGGGGCATTAGCTGAAATGATACTGGATCTTCATATTAGACGCTCCGTGGTTCCGCCATTACCCCTGCTTGCATACCACTATTTACGCAGCCGATTGAGCTTGATTTTGTGATGCGGGAATGGGCATCATAGCTTGAAAATTTAAAACAAACAAAAAAGCGCACAGAGACGATATGGTCCTGTTTTCCTTGAGCTGGATCTTCTTATTCCCCAAACAATCACTGCTAGCTGGCACTATTCAAGTGGTTCATTTCCGGTAACAACAACGGATTCTATCATCCCAAATCAAAGAATTTTCTACTGAAAAGCTGCTCACTCGCCCAAGGCCTTTCGTCAGTCCGTAATTTTCCAATTTCCGGTCCACTTCTTCTTAGGCCCCGGCCCGAATTCAGCTTCCACCATCACCGTAGGCTCGTAATTACGACTTGAGCATCTGCGTAAACAGCCCCCAGCCCAAAATAAAGACGTCAACGTCACTGATTAGCATGATTTCGAGAAGCTCCCGTTGGCCACGACCGAATCTTCATGCCTTATGTTGTCTTTTTTACCTCGTAGAAAAACTTTGGGAGATCACAGAGTAGGCAACGATAAACTTCGATCAACCGTGGGTGTTCCGGGTTTTTGAGGTGAATTCCGGGGATTCTGGGAACTTCCCAGCCCTTGACCGGCCAGACGCATAATTGCCGTCCTTAAAAGCGTCGCCAGCGTGGTTTTCTAGTTGCCCAAAAGCTTCTTAGCCCCCAGTTTTTGGTCACATCTGACCGAACGGAGCCACAGAATTATATTTTAGCCAGATCCAGGTTTCCCAAAAATTACTCAAAATTCTCTATATAGTTGTTTTCGCATCGTTTCCACAAAAATTTCTCAAATTTCATATTTGCCCTGATGAATACTTGAAAATGGGCAAATGTTGGGGGATGCGATGTTCCCATGCGAGAGCATCTGATGCTGGACTCCTCCTCGCCGCCGCCGTCGCCCACCCCCCAAAAAAGTGCAAAAACCGAGAGGGCGCCTGGGAATTATTTACGCATGGCTCAAACACCTGCCCAGATATCGTGGTCCGCTATTATGAGAGGGGAATTTTTGGAATGGTTTTTTTGGTGGTGAAATTCGATTTCAAGACAAGCCCTTCTAAGCTTTTACTGATCAAACCATTTAAAATGATCAAAATATTTAACTTTCGCGACACTAGTATCTATCTCTTTCTGTTTCCATTTCTCCTACTCTCTGTCTCTCTCGCTCTCACTATCTTTTATCATTTTTTGTCCAATTGCTCGAATGATCTTCAAAAAATACCCAATTTTTTTAGGAAATTGGCTGAGCCCAAACGAGAAGCCGTCAACTAATTCGGTATTCATTGGAATCGAATTATCGGCTGAAGGGCAACGGGACCACCATTGGTCTTTTCTCGAGTCAGAGTGTGTCCTGACGGGATGGCCGATAGTGAACGGACGCCGCTGAGGGACTCTTTTTCGAAAAGTCCGCCATCTTCCGGAAACAATTCGTTGGATGGGCAGCATGTCAATGGGTTTTTGAGTGTGGTTAATGAGGTGGGTTCACTTGTAAGTTGTTATTTTCATTAAGTAAGCGCTAAGAAAAAAAAATCGTTACGGTTTTCATAAACAAGCTAATTGATTCTCATTCGAAAATGCGTTAGATGTCTTTGAATTAGAGTTCAGCCAATTTTCGTAAATCTGGGTTGTTAGTGAAAATGACGTCGGACTTTTTGCAAACTTGTCACTTCCCGTTACCTGGTTACTTCCCTTCACTACCCCATTAAAAATCCGACGCTTTTCCTGGTGTTTTCCACCCCGTAGCACCCAAGAAACCTGTTGCTTTCGCGGCTAACCCCGAGTGAGGCTAATTGGAAATTCTAATCTTTGAGTGGCAGGGGCAAGAGCGGCTTAAAGTGGTTGGCGCGAGGCCAGCGCGAACGGGTAGACCTCAGAAGTTACTCAAAATTTCCAGGAGAGCAATGGGAGTGGCGCGTCGGCAATGTCGGGCCCGAAAAAAGTGAGCTTTGCCGAGTACGCGGATCAGATTGAGCCGCCGTGTTTTCCGGAAAAGCCGTCATTATGTTCGTGTTCGATTTTGTGAGGATTTCGTTTTTGTATATATCATGGGTTACTTGATGCGGGTATAATAAAGGAGATGTTTGACCTTGATAAACCTGTTGATTTAGCTTCTATATAATTTTTTTCAAATCCCCGTTCACCAACCTGTATAATGTTGGAGACGTAAGAGTCGTCGACAATTTCCATTTGTTGCGTGGCGAGGAATTGGCGTAGCATGGGGATGGTGATGGCGCATGCCCGTGTCGTGTCCATTCCGGTGCTAAATTTGGACCATTTTTCAACCTGTTAGCATTGAGTTTTTGCTGATTTGTGACCCACCTTCCAACGCTTGCCATCACCAATGCGTTGTAGATTTTCGACTGTTTTTCGCTGAGCTGTTGAAGGTTTTCGGAGTTGCGAGTGAGGAAGTCTGAAATAGTGAGTTATTTAAGTGGGCGAGAAAGAGGCAAGAAAGAGAGAGAGAGACGAGAGAGAGAGAGAGAGAGAGAGAGAGAGACCAACCATGAGGTAGAAATTCCGAGTGAGCAATTGAGGCCGTAGAATCCAGACGACTCGGCAACCGCGCCGGCTTCTGGTCCCGATCTCTTTTCTGTGGTTGAGAATTTTGAGCTGCCAAGTTCTGCACCATATCGTTGTAGACTTCCCTGAATTATTTTGTATGATGTAGAAGCCGTGAGCTATCTAGAAAATTCCAAGCTAGCATCCTTAGCTCACCTGAGGTCTTTCCTTAATCTCGTGTGGAAAAGCCTGTAGAGCTCGGTAAATTCGATGATATTCAAGGGTTTTTCCTGAGAAATTGATTCAGTTTAGCGCATTTCGGAAAGCCAATTTACCTGAAACTCCTTCCCTGAAGGCGCAATGTAGTTTGAGGCCTGGCCACTACTTGAGATACTCCCAGAATTTGGCGTCTCTCCTCCTCGCGACCTCCACGACCTTCCGCCAAGCGATTTGGCTAAAGATTGACGTCAGCACGACGGAAGGAAAATTATAGAAAGCCACACATCCGGCAAAAGTTGAATAAGGCAAGGTATCGTTTTCAGACACATGTTTTTTATTTGTTTGCCTTGCATTATTCGACCCAATAAACACACGGTCCAGTCCATCAAAGCCAAGTCCAAAAGTAAAAATCAAAAAAAAGGGACGGCCCGAAACGAAAAATATGGATAGACGAATCAATGGTCCGGGGGCGAGACGAGGACACCTACATTTAGCCACTGGCTTTTTCGAGTCTAGACATTTGGGTTGTGCATGGGGAGTGTAATACGATTCCGATACCTCCATAGCTTGACGAGGTGGGTGTTCGGCTTCTAGGGGTGTAGAGACTGTCGGTATCGCCGGGCTCTTCACGGGGCTCCTTGGGTTTTAGGAGACACCCGGGGGAACTTGGAGCTACCAGGCTTGATTGGAGGCTCATCTGGGATTTGACGGACGGGGGTCGGACCTGAAAATGGTAGCATAAGGCAGGAATAGTGACATAAGTACGTCGGGCTCATGCCGAAGCTGAGCCAAGGACTAAGCCTAAGCTGAAGCCCCGGTTCAAGCCCAAGATTGGGCCAAAGCCTTAGCCTAAGCCTAAGTCCTAGATTATCGCTCAAAAACCCACCAATGGACTCGGCGGTTGTGGGCTCTGAGATCGACTGGCATCCCTTGAAGCTCCTCTCAACTTGTTCCTCACAGCAGCCTTGAAGTTCTTGATCCTGAAATAAAATTTTTTTGAATCGATCCCCGCTCTCGAATCGGTCTAGCAATGGTCAATGACGCCGCACAAAGCCCTAGCCTCTCCAAGGTTACTACTACCAGGCCGTTACTTTTCATCGACAAATACAGACCAACGATTAAAGCTCGAGATAAATGTCAATTAATTGTTTTATAAGCAAATAGTGGAAGGGAGGGGAGGAGAAGCGATACTGGCTTTTTTCAGGACCATTGAGAAACGTACCGTACGCTCGTGGCTCGAACTCTGAAAGTGTGGATCAGGAAGAAATACGAGAGTTTTTTGGTGTTTCATTTTTTTTTGTAAATACTGGTAAACATTAAATGAGACGTCAATTGATGTGATTAAATATCCAACGAAATTTTTAACGTTTTCTATAAAAAAAAACTTACTTATTCCTCGTGCTCGACAAATCACTCGTCGATAGCGAATCTTGCGGCCTTGCTGAACTTGGCGTACACTGATTGATACCTGAAAAATAGTTACTAAAAGTACATAGAAAAAACGTATCGGATCGCTAAAAAATCAGCAGCGGAAGAAATATGCAATTTTGGAATAACGGGCGGGAGAAGCGTTTTTCATACGGTAGCAGCTTGTGGCAGGTGAAATTCCGTTTCAAAATTGATGTTCGATCTGCCACAAGCCCCCAAAAGCCATCCAATACTCGTTGCCATCAAAATGGGGCCACATTCGCAATCCGCAAAAAAAAATTGGGGCGGAAATGCGGAAAAAAACGCGGAGTGCAGAGGAGCCACGCGGAAACCTTTTTGGGCCTTCGTCGATCGGCGCCATAGGAGGGTGATGGATCGCGAACGGGATATCCCGCGCTCGGTGTCGGTTACTGCAGTTTTTTGGAGATGACACACAAAATTAGCTTCAAAAAATCGAAATTAACCTATTCATGATCGGTTTTTGTATATTTTACATTAAGTCTTAATGACAGTGATTTGGCATAAGTGTACATGGTGACAACATACGCATAGTGACAGTGCGACAGGATACAATGTATGGTTGAAATTGGCCGATTTTCTCACCTAATCCCTTCCATTTATCCACTTTCCCTCCGAATGCCATCAGCGAATCGTAGGGTCTTGGTCCGGCCAGGGCTTGCCCTTCGGCATCGATGAAAGGTGGGCATTCCTGGAATTCACACTAATAGGGTTGTAGTTTGTAGTCCTACGTTGTAGAGCTGGAGGTATAGTGACTTGATCCACAGCATCCGACGGTCTGCGAAACGCATTTGTTGTTGGTAAGCTTTGACAACCTAAACTCGTAGCATAACCTTCGAAATTTGGTCTTCAAGGATCCATAAAAGAATTAATTAGTAATTATATCGTTTCAAAATGTCAAAAACAACTTGCCGCAGCTAGTCCGATCGTCCAGTACTGCGAAATTTGCTGAGGCGCCAGGAAAAAGAGGAAATCGTTATCGCACAACAATTGACCGTGAGATATCTAAAGTCGAGCTATATTTTTGAGGGCTTGATTAACAAGAGAACCTTCCGAAATTTCGATCGATTAATGAGAGACCCACGGCTGGACCAGTTTTTGTACGCTGATTCCGAGCCTGTAACCCGTTTTTTTGCCGCAGACCCTTGGTTTTTGAGATAAAGAGCGTTTTCTGTAGCTTCGCAGAACCGCGGCCAAAAACGCTGAAAATCCTATGTAAATTTTGGCCTAAAAGTGATTATTTTTCAAAAACTAAGAATCTGCGGCAAAAACGGGTTACAGATTCGGAATCAGCGTAAAAAACTGGCCCAAACGTGGTGTCTCCCATTACTCGATCGAACTTTCACTTCAGAAAATTCCCTGGTCAATTCTAAGTGCTTAACGCGGTAACATACCCTCCAACAACTAACAGGAACTGACATCTCTTCAGCCGAATGGCGACGGTAGATTGCCTAAATACTATAACCATGTGTTCTACGGTATTTACCTCAATATCCAGATCGTAGCTGTCGACTGCCTCAACAGTTTTGATGGTGCTCAACCGGATTTCGCCCTCATCGAGACCGACAGGGAATGCTAAAAACACAATAATGTTGGATGCAAGCGCCTTTACAGTTGAATTTTTGGTGGTTAAAACCTACCGGTCCCTCGCTGTCCCAAGTTTCCCGGCGTAGCTTGGCTCCCGCCAGCGGTCCCAATGTTAGAAGAAACACCAGATGCACTTTTTCCAAGAGCCCCATCCTTAAATCCACCATGTTATCTGATTATCAATAGCTACCTTATTCTTATCCTTTCCCTCCTTTGTCGTGGAGTAGCAGATCTTTTTCCAGGTAATCGCCGCACAAGAATATTCCAGCTTCATCACGCAGAGGACGGACCGACCGGTATCGGGATCGTAGTGGATTACCTTAATGGAAAGTTGGGGATAAAACAACTTTTTGTGTTTTTTTTTTGTTTATGGTCTTTGTCCTTTGTCTAGCAGGAACTTACAGTAGTTCCATGATGTAGCCGCTGCAGCACGTCGAGATCAAAGAGTTGCGAGGTCAAAGGGATTAACGTGACGTTGTGTTGTGAGTTTGAGATCGTTTGCACCGGTTCATAAACTAAATTAAGTTAATTCCGATTTTGATAATTTCTGTCACGTGGTAATATTTATAACTATCCGAATTAAATAAAGTAGGTTGGCGAATAATTTACCTTTAGCCTCTTTGGGCTCTTCAACTATCGGTTGTGGAAGCGGCTGTTGCGGGGAATCAACTTCGAGCAGTTTATTCAAGGCTCGGCTAAAACGGCATTGCTAAGGTAAACTCGATAACAGCCATCCTACCCATGCCGATGGAACAGTTCCAAGTTGTCGAGCACGATGGCGACCAGGTTGATTTTGTCGGCGTTTAACAGGCCACCGACCCCGATTCGGGACGAGAAATGGTCTTCTCCGTTGGCGTCGGCCATGAACTAAAAATTATGATTTACATATTTAAGCGTATTTCTTTAAAATTGGGGATCTCATGACCAAAATGGGGTGAAGTTTTAAAAATGGAAAAGATTGGTCTTACAGTCAATTTTACATAGATTTGGTGGCCTTGAAGCTATAGAAAATCCCTTATAGAACGGCGAAAGGAGAGTGAGAGTCCAAAGAGAGATAGAGAGATAGAGATAGAGAGAAAGAGAGAGATTGAGTTAGAGAGAGCGCGAGAACCTACCTCGAGCTTCTCCTTTTCACCCGCATGCCCGATGACAACAATGTTTGGCATATCGTTGACGATCGCGTAGAGATCCCTGAACGCACACGAATAAAATTGTAGAAATTCCCTTTTAAAAGCTCGTTGAAGGCAAAACCGCACCTCAAAAAGATGCCAAAAAACGGAATCACTCGACACTGCGTCATCCTCAGGGCCCTTTGAACGGCTTGCATATAGGTTTGCGATGGGAGCACATGAGTGCCGGGGAGTAGTATATCGCAGAACTGAAAAGGAAATTACTGGGTTTGAGTGCGGCATTACCTGCTCGAATTGCTCCTTCTCCTCGCTGCGCAAACTCAACCAAAACGGTCGTAATTTTTCCGATTTTAATCCCATCAAAATTTCGACAGCCCCGTTGAAATTGCCGATGTTCCAGCAGGTTTCAATTATTCGCAGAATCGCGTTGAGGGTGGTTTTACGGTCATCGTGGGTTGGTTGGGAGACGATGAGGTGAGTCACCCAGGAGGAGACCTAAAAACTGCGCGTTGTAAGCGTTTGCACAAATTTGTAGGGTTTAAGTTTTTGCAAGGCAAGGTAAGCCAGTAAGGTAGCTAACAACAGACATTTCTAATAGATGGATAGGTATCATTCGAAAGGCTGTAACTCACCTCACTCAACCGTTTTACCAACGTCTTCACCGGGCTCGGGTTATCCTGTACCGGTACCTGCGTCAAGTCACAGCTGACGTAGCGCACGTATTCCATGGGTTGGATCGAGTAGAAGAGCTGGTATTCGGTGAAGGACAGCTGAAAAAAGATCGGCTACTCGCCATTGCAAGCTCAGGATTACCTGGTATGCGACTTCTTCCGGGAAATGGACGATATATTGTAACCTCTCAAGCTCAAGCCGGAACAGCGTGATCGGTTCGTCGTTTAGGATGAAGCCTGGGGCCACCGAAGTAGAGGAAGATGTAGAACCCGATCGAGAGGTTGCTGAAATGATAGTTTAACCCATGAATTTTGTACTGTATACTCCAATACCCCTCTTTCCTCTATACACCCCCCTCATTTTTCCCTTCACTGAATTTTCGGGCCAACCTAGCCAAGCCCCCCCCTCCTAGCTCATGTCCAGCTAACAAATGGCCCGTAATTTTTCGGCTCGCCTAAAGAAAAGGATAGGGCGATGGGGTATGCAGGGGGTAGAAGAAGCCCAGAAGAACCAGGAGAACCCCTTCCTGCCGCCCATGTCTCATCCACTGGGCTCAATTTGGCAGCAGCCCCCTCTAGATGAATAATTTTGCCGGGGTCACGACAATTGTCTCGAGGCATGGGTGGCTTTCATGTTGGCTACCGGCCAATAAAACTGCGGGAATTGCAGAAATTTCGGGAGCAGGAAAGGAATAGCAGAGTGCAGCATACTTACCCAATTTACAGACAAAAATCAAGAAACTGTCTGGGTCGGGCTCGGGCTCATTCTGGATGGATTCCCCGGTGGGGATACCCACGAAGGCCAGCAGTCGGGATACCACTGCCGGCATTTATAGCCCGCTCAACGTAGCCGCAACCGCATTACGCTACTGTAAGAGGGTTGAAAGGTAGAAATTAAAAACGTAAGATATATCGAAAAGGGAGAAAATAAAGTAAAAAAAGATATCCAACAAATTGAAAGGAGCTTCGGATTTTGAGATGAAGAATTAACGAACTAACCTAGTTTAAGGTTTTATTAACGATTCCTATATTCAAGGGAAGGGTGTCAGAGCGCTCTTAATTATATTTGGTAAAATTGAACAAAACGTCGAGATTTAAAGGAAATCTAGTCAAAATTCGTCTCGTAGCGGGGTTACGGTAATAATAGCATATTTTAATCCTTCATCATTGGCAGAAGATGGATGTAAAAGGTCCGAACGGATTTTTTTAGTTTTTTACCGTCAATTTTTATAACACAATGGATCAGAAAATGGAGAAAATGAATTCCCCACAAAGCTGCCTTCTCAATAAAATTTATGATTCTGAAAATTTAATGTCCAAATAGATTTAAAAAACACAACCGAAAAGCTATCGGGAAATCAAAGAATGGCTAAAACTTGCTAGCATAATCCCTTGAAAATCCCTAGATTTCCAGGTCAAACAACCTGGCAAAAACCTAAGAAATCGGCTGAGAACGGCCGGTTTCCCAAGCACATCCACACCACCAGCATGAGGGGCGGATAGGAGAAGATGTCGATAAAAGTTAGCTGTGGTGCCCCCTGCTCCTCTTTTCGGGCCGTTGTCTTCTAGAGGGGGGTCTGTCTGTCTGTCTATGTGCTTCTGGTTGGGGGCAATGGTCCCAGGGGGCGACATGCAACCTTCTTCTCCCCTCTCCTTTCTTCAACCTCTGTCCAGATGCTCCTCCTCCTCTTCTTCCACCTCATCCTCCTCGACCACCACCCCCACCATGTCTCCTTCTCGTCCTCCATTCCCTTGAAAAAACCCCGTCCACACCCCGTTTCCCGCCCTCATCCAGATGCCCTTTTTTAGGAGCAGGGAGGGGGACATGGTGAAGAGGGTCAGGATGGGGAGAAGAAGATGTTCATGATCTTGGATGTCTATCTTGGGGGGAGGGGGTAAAGAGTGTGGGTCAAAATGTTTACGTTAAATTCCAGGGCTGTAAACTCGTGTATTAATAGAAAACTAGAAAAGTCAGAGGTCTAAAACTTTAAGCGATGAAATTGCCAAGGTATAAGCTGGGAGCGCGGATTAATAAAGAAGCTAATTGGAAGGTTGGAAGTCTAATATCTTACGACATGAAAATCCATTGCTTCTTCTGCCAAATAGCGCACGAATATATGTACAAGTAGAATCACATTTTCTTTTAAACCGAGTTTTCAAGGCAAAAACCCCCTAGTTTTTCTTATATGTATCGTCGTTTTTTTAATTTTCCAGAGCATCTGCCCCTTCGATTTCCCAAAAAATCGCTGCCAGCATACCTAACGTCAGAAATTTTTGGTCAACGATGTGAACCGCAAAAAATGAATGAAAGGAAATGGACGAGAAGACGTACGGCAAGCGCTTCATCCCTTCCTGCCCCTGGCGGCCCGGATGCGGGGCCCGGGCCAAAAAAATGGGCTATCCGCTTTCAATCTCACACTTACCCCCCACCCTCCCCCTTCCTTTCAACTAGACCCCTATAGGGGCCCAGGAGGAGAAGCTGAGGTGACCCCCAATAATAGAGCAGGGCGGGAGGTGTAACTAGCTTCAGAATGAAAACTATTATACACTCTTACTGTCATAAAAAGCCAAAATTTTGGGCAGAAGTCTGATTTTATACTGATTTGGAAAGCGAGCATTAATTCCTTAGGCATAAATCGACCTAGAGGAATGATACCCTTAATGTATCGAGTGAAAAATGACGGAAAGAGTAGCTTGCGATACTCCTCGTAAGCAAGGAGAACTTCGCAAAAGTGCCATCATCGCATAAGATTGGCGAAGAGAGGAGCCCCCCCCCAAAATGGGGCAATTGCTAAGAAAAAGCAGGCGTGGAATGGAATGGAGCAGAAGAGGGCACACCACCATCACTGCTCCACAATGCGCTCAAATTGAGGCCACACTTCCGTCGAGTCTTTAGAGCAGCACGTCGGATCGACGACCAAGGGGGAGAGAAGAGGTCAGAATACACAATACATAGTAGGGCATCAGGAGGCGTGAGAATCTGAGGGGTTGAAGATCGGGCGTGAGGATTTTAGGTTTGGAATTCCCGTAATCAAGCGGTATATCAAAAATCTAAGGAATTCCAAAAAACTGAGAAAAATTGGGGGGGCGAGAGAGGAGAGAGGGGAGAGGGAGGAGAGGAGAGGGGAGGGGGAGGAGAGAGAGGTTAGAGAGCGAAACAGCACGAGAGCGATGCAGATAGGGGCGATCCAGAGCGAGTGAAGATCGAAACGCATACGGTATTACCCAGATATACTCTTAGCTACAGCACTTTTCAAGGACACCTCCTAACACCTCGGTTCCGACCCGTACACCGCCATCAGCGCGTCAGCCGGTCTGGCTGCAGACGCCAGCCAAAGATATGTATGTCCGCTGACCCGATGGCCGTCAGGAAATCGAGTTATGGCCCCCACGAAGTTTTCGTCGCCTCCACACCCCCGGGAGGAGGGCCATTGGCCCCCTGCTTCGACACTGATTGCAAAAGGCGTCCGTCGGCCGTCCCAATGGCGGTGCTGCTCCCAGTTTTCCGCTCACCCTCACCCCAGTCACGCGCCCGGTTTTTAGAGTGAGGAAAATTTTTGGGGGTAAAGGGACCGCTAGCGTTGGGAAATTGACATCTGTGTCACAAAAAAAGCGTGAAATATGATACTTTCGGTCAGAAAATTGGCCATTTTAAAGACCAGGGAAAGGCTTTGCTCTATATTTTGTTTTCTATAAATTTATTATAGATTTTGCCGTATCAGCGGCACGCGCAGCCTACGCCGCTCGGGCTCATAATCCATTACGCAACGCAAGACAGCACGACGCTGCGTTACACGCGTTAAATCCTTAGAGAATCCATGGGTTGTAAAATGCCGGTCACGCCCCTTTAAAATCAATGGAAACGCATTGAAAATTACGGCTAAAAACACAAACCTGCTGTCGAGCTATTCGCCGCATCAGCTAAACTTTGCCGTGTTGCCGATTGGTTCAGCGTCTTTTGGACATTTGCGGAAGCACTGGCCTAAAATTACTCAATTTTGAGTTATCCTGATAAACCCCAACCTGCATCGTTTCCCACAACGTCATCGAAATCGCCTTGAGCACATTGTAAGACGGGGCTAAATGTGCAAATTAGAACGTATGCCCGACAAACCCAAGCGCATACGTTTTTTCCACTTTTTCTTTAGCTCCGAGCTGGGGTTGGACATGGAAAATACAGACCCGGGGCCAGTGATTGTACGAGAGGCGAAGCAGCCGCGCCACACACTGCCAACCGCAAAACAAGCCGAGGCAAAAAATGCAAATTTCGCGGGGGGGGCAGACGCACACCGGCCGGAGCGCGAATTTGGGGCGAAACCGAGTGCGAGTCAGGGCTGATGAATCACGGGGGCTGGCTGGGGTTTCGCGGTCAAAATAAACAGCCCTCACAAATGTTCGCGTCGAAATCATCGTCGGCCATTCTTTTCCGGGGGTACAAAGAGGGGCGGAAGCAGTATAGTACCGTTTTTTTGTGTTTTTTTTCACGTCTGTGGGGGTGCGATTTTTAGTATTTGAGGGAAAAAACCACGTCCGAAGCTTTGCGATTTCAAAATTTATTTGAAATATTATGCTAGTCTCGTATAAAGTCCAAACAATATTTCCGGACTCATCTAAGCGATTAATGGGGTGTTTGCATCGAATTTTCAGATTATAAATTATATATTTTAAGCATTAAAAGCTTTTGAGACCTTTACCACTACGTTTTTGGCCATTTGTTCTTTTTTCCACGCACCTATCAACTGCCACTTGGTGCCGCGGAATTCGAGGAGTAGCTGATGCTTTGACACGCCGCCTCCCACTCGCCACTGCAATTTCCGTTGCATTTTTAGGTCTTACACTCAGTGTAGCGAGTAAAGTTTGAACTATTCAAAAACAAAACCTAGCAAGGACGGAAAATCAAGAAAATGCATTAAAATTTGCAAACCTGTTGTAGGGTGCTGGCGTGTTGCCTTTTCAGGACCAACTTTGTCGAGCCGTCTAATAAGGCTAATGAGGCGCTGCTCAAACAGAGGAGGCGAACGGTCTGGAAAAGACCGGATTTTATTGTTTTAAAAGAAATGGAAATAGGTGTGAGGATCTTAAATAGCTAAATGCTAATAAAAACGCTCGAAAAAGTCTAGCAAGGAAGAGAGAGACAAAGAGAGAGAGAGAGAGAGAGAGGGAGAGGGAGAGAGAGAGAAGACAGACCGCAAGCATTGTGTTCGATTTCTGATTCAACCCCGCGCCGCGGAACACGAGGATGACATTCAGCAAGGGGCAAATTCTTTCGGCAAAAAGGTGTTGTGTGTAGGTGTCGATGCGCGTCTAGAGACACCAAAAATGAGAAAGGAGGGATTTCCCACGGTCATCTACCGACTGGGTCTGGAATCCGGCGTCTCCAGAAGTATCCAAAATGGGCGACGTCATCTGGATGGGGGTCAGCTGACTTGGAGGCGGGGGAATTTGAGCCCTGATCTGACCCACGTCGGTCTTTGCTATGTTCTGGCAAATGCTGAATTTTCACAGGGTTCTTTTTTGAAATACGGCTTCACAATTACTTTAAGTAACGCAGATGTAGCTCAATTCAGTCGTAAAATCATTTTTGAGAGTTTAGTTCCGAAGCAGTTCTACAAGCATTTTACAAGGTTCTCAAACACCGGATTTTTTGGTTTCTTAAATCTTGCAAAACTTTTTGCTGTCTGAAGTTCAACTTTTCCGCACTTGAAATACCCGCAAGACCCCTTTTGGCAATTTGCCATAAATTTCCCTAATCCATCCTCACCACAATTCCGAACTTCTTGCAAGACCTGCCCTTTTTTGGAGATGCCTTCCTGGCGGGCCGACGGGTTCCGCCGTGGTCGCGGATCCCATTACATCCGCCATTTTACGGAATCTCCGTCTTTTGCGGCTGGGCACACCGTGGAATGAGCACGGATTTTGTGCGTAAGGTTGGCAGGAAGAGGGGAACGCACGAAAAGGCGACACGCGATGAACACGATTTAGGCGATCGGCATGGGAGGGGAATGACGCGCGTGAAATACGAGAGGATAAGGTATGGGGATCGTTTGCGAAGGTGTTGGATGATGATTGGCTGGTGGAAATTTGGAAAGGAAATCAAAACAAATTATAGGGTTAAAAAATCAACTATGGTGTTTCGAAGCTATTACCCAAATATGAAATTTCTATGAGAAAGGTTTAACACGAGAGAGAGAGGGATAGAGAGAGAGGGAGAGAGAGAGACAGTGAGAGCGAGAGAGAGCAAGAGTGAGAGTGTGAGATCGTGAGAGAGAGAGAGAGAGAGAGATCGAGAGAGTCCACTAAAAAATCCGGTACACTATCCAACGCTTAAAATAAACAGGTCAATCAATCCTCACTTCACTGATCTAAAAAAGTTAAACTCCTACGGATTGGTAGTAGTTTTTCCGCAAAATCGAAGGGCCAGCCGCCGAGCCCGAGAAGATGCGATTTCTTGGTGACCCCAGACCGACTAGGCCCTAACTAGGGCCCTCTAAAAGGGGACCAAGACCCAGCCGCGGGATTTCCGATTTCGGCGACGGCCGTTCCGAACAACAGGAACGGATGGGTGGACGCTTTTTAGGGAGACAAAACGGAACAGACAATCAGTTTGTCATTGTTAACGCGCAAAAAGGAATGGTTCCGCCTGTGACCAGCCAACAGTAGATTTTAGAACTCTATCGATCGATAAAAAATTCAAGTAGAAAGAAGAAAAAGAAGCAAAAAAAATCAGGGAATTGACCCTAACTTTAAAAAGTGGCAAATAGGTGCTGTGCGAAGAAGAGGAAATGATGGAAAATCAACAAGACACGGCAGACTAGACACACCCACAGAAGCCTGGGAAAAAGCAGCTTAACGCTGACGGGTGGGACATGTGAGTGCAGTGAGTAATAGAAATTATATAAGGTGGTCGAAAAGAGGTAAGCGTGGCTTCGTAGAACCAGGCGAAAACTAGAGCTATCTTTTAGCCGATGCCACCTAACTTAAGAACGTAACGTAAAGACCGAACGTAACCTATGAATATAAAAAGCTACAACTGTAAAAAAAGGATTAAATAGGCAAGATCCCTGCTTTGAAGGTGCAAACTTCAGGGATTTAATGTAACTAATAAACAAGTGAGTTTTCTAAAAACAACTTCCGCTGCAATGAATTGCCTCCCGTTTAGCGAGTACGCGCGTGGAGAGAAAAGCGCGGCGAGGCAGCCACTCAAAACAAAGTAAACAAATTCAAGCCGGCCAAAGATGTGTGTGAGGGGCTCTAAAGAGTTGGCTGGCACATTGTCTAGGGTCCCTTGCGGGTGGTCAAAAAGTTAGATTGTGATATGGCCTTACAATAATTGAAAAGGTGGATTAGAAGAGGGAGATAGAGAGAGTGAGAGAGTGAGAGAGACGGCTAGAGAGATAACAAAAAAAGATAGATACGTTTTTGACTCACTTTTCGCAACGTCCTTCCATGCAGCAACTCCTTCACTTGAAACACTTTGCATCCAAAAGCCGGAAGCCGCTTTGCCGTCTGCACATATAACTTCTTCATGGCAATCTCATTCTCATAAACGTGAGAGTGGAAAAGTTTCCGCTTCCGCTCCTGAAAATCAGATTTTTGAGTCATTTTCATGCCCATTGGCTTCGAAACTCGGAGGTTCTGATTACGATTCATACATTGACCTCATTTACTTACCTTAACGAGCTTTATCGTCCTCCGATCCCCTCTCAAATCCAACGGCAAACACTGTGCCTGCAACTCCTCGCTCATCAGCGCTTCCGTGTCGGCGATACACCGCAACAGCGTGGTTGATGATCTCCGCCTGTCCTCGACAGCTTGGGACTGCTTTCGAGTCAATGGGCTGAAGCACAATATAGACCTCCAAGACCTATAGACACCGGATTAGTAACTATGAAAGGTTATTAACCACGTAGTGTCAAGGGGCATGCTCAAGTTGTTGTAAAGCAACTTACTGTGAGGGCTGGGGGGTGACTTGCCGATTGTTGTTGCCTTCGGGTCCGTTTTCGATTCTATTTGGTGGGGTGCAGTAGAGGTTTTGTTCGACTTCCCATGGTGTTACCATGATTTTTTGGGCCAGGTCACGGATGCGGCCTGAAAAATCGTTATAACGATCGTCTTTAACGCGCTAAAATTTTCTAAATTGTTGTTCAATGTCATAAAAGTTTCGCTTTGCCAAAAATGAAGCTAGAGAAACCTACCAAATTGCCCTTTCAACAAGTGCCTTCTGAATGTCTGCGTTCTCTTATTATTCGGCCACTGCTCCTCCACGCATATTTGAATGCTGGCCAAATATGCGGCTTCTTCTCGAGGACAGGGAAGAGCGCCAGAAACGAGTTGGTCTTGTAGCTAAATTTATTTATTGGTTTTCTTTTCCGAAATTCCGGTGTTCAAGACCTATAAAATTATCTCACAACCTTAATATATTTATGCAAATTCATATAAAACAAAATAATTCATAATTGCTGGTTGTCACCGCCAACTGCCCAAACATGGACTCCATCTCCTCGCGCAGCTTGTCCCGATCCGTCACCGGGGTCTCGGAGAGCATGTGGATACGGTAGGGAGCGTTTTTTTTGGGGAACATCCCGAGCACCGGATTGCGGCCGATGCTTGGCAGGGCACGCTCGTAGATGTCGTAACTTGACTTCTGAGGGATACTAATTGACGCAAACTACTCTAGAAAATTTTTGCCCTACCCGTCACGAAGTTCCTGAGATCGATAGCAGATCGAAAATGTTGACTTGAAACTGTCCAAGCTCGAAAGTGAAGATTTTGAGCTCGAAAAGGAGTGTGAGGAGGAGCGCTTCATTTTCTTCCCAGAGCGACTAAAAACTTAAAGTGAATTCGTAAGTTAAGATAACCTCTGATTTGACGACACGAATCTTGCCCGTTTCTTGGGCAGCGTCGGTTGGCGGTGGAGAGCGGACTTGTTCTGAGTGGTGATTGAGGCAGAGCGTTTGACAAAATGACGGTAGAAGTCCTGCTTCGCCTTTTTATCCGCGGCTTCTTCGGCTTTCTTTTTGACCCATGCTTCCAAGAAATTTCCGGCTTCTTCTAGGACCTTTGAAAAGTCCACCAAAGCCTCAGCGAATTGGCTGGGCGCTTCAGGATTTACGGAACACGTTCCGGAAAGGACATTGATGTGGCTCGAACTAAAATCTAAAAATTAAATAGTTTTGCCTTCTTTACCTGATGATTTCCAATTCCTGGGCCACGCCCGGCTCAGACGCTAATAGAAAATTCACTCTTGAAATTTCGGTGTTGATGGTTTTTGTTCCGGTTATTCCGGAGCCGGAGGCAATACCATGGGGACCAACTTCAGTTGGGCTCATTTCCCCAAGGCTTCCATAGAATGCTTTCGGAATAATGGCGTTTTTGCGCAGTAAAGTCGGAAATTGGGGCTCATCATTCTTCAAGGTTTTTCCGATATTCGAAACCGAATTATCGAGGAATTTTAGAGTATCTCTTGATCCAAATGACTCGAATTCGGTAGAATTTTGGCGAGATTGAATTTCGGCTCCCGCAGAAATGTCATCTTCTGAGTCGCACGATTTGTTCGAACAAGTAGGAATAGAATTTAAATTGGAAAAATCAGCTTCATCAGGCAAATCGATCCTCTCTTGCCTTGAAAATCGATACAATTGACTTTTGGCGGATCTTTGGCTATCCCTCGACGCATTAAAGTCATATTCAAACGACCCCTCGGGTATCGTTGGATTTTGCTCTTCGAATTCCTCAAAGCATTGCTGCCAATTCAAACGACAGCGTTTTACAGGAGTAAACATGACAATAGAAACTAGCGAATTTAAGAATACAAACTCCAAGTGTGCACGGGGAATTGATCGAGTGCCGTTGTGTTGTTTTGTTTAGCGGGGAATCATTCAGGCGGGGGTTGGTGGAGAAACTGGGCAGCATGCAAAAAACCTTTGGCATTTTAAATTTCACGTGGAAAAAATGATCAGTTCGATTCGTCATCGGCCACAGAAAAATGGGTTGAATGGGGGAGTGACCTAGGTGAAGCTGGCCTCTTTGAGGGTATTTTTGGAAACGCATGACTAATGGGAATGACATCAATGTGAGGGCGGAAAATCGTATAAAACATAGTATTCAATATACAGGAAACGGCAAGTAAAAATAGAGGGACCTCCATTGAATTTACAGAATTACTTACCTCCAAATACTCGTCATTGATCTTATCCAAATTCTCCCCAGACTCAGCTTCCTCCTGCTCGACGTGGGCCGTCACGACGTTGATGATCTCAGCGCACCTAAAATCAGTTTATCTTTCGGTCTTTTCATAATTTTCGAAAGGCAATATTTATATTTAGTTTTCAAGGTGTAAAATCCTATCCAGAACTCGAAAACCCCACCAATTTTTGACGGTCGGATGCTGCGGACTATTCAAAATCTGCCTCAACACATCGGCACACTCCTTCATTGTACTAATGACGTTCTCGTTGCTCCTCGTGTATATCGTCAACACGTTCAAGACCAGCTGGCGCACGCATTGGAAATCGGGCGACATTTCCGACATTGACAGCAGCAGAGGGCTCTGGAAAAAGATGGCGTTTTACAGCAAAATCAGCTTGGCAAAAGCCCCCTTTAGCCTATTGGAATGGCACTTAAACTCAAAAGTTCAATCAAACAAAAAGAAAAAAAAATTGCAAAGCCAAACTTCATTTCTTGATCCGGGTTCCTGTAAAAAAACATAGATTTTGTATTTTCTTGGAATGAGGATCGATTCTTTCAATTCATCAAAGGATTTTTCAGTTTTAGCATAATCACTTTCGGCTATAGAATACGATTAACCCACGTCCCGATCGGGCACCTTCAAACTGCTATGCTCGCTGCCTCTGGAAATGGCTCTGCGCGGAATCGGAATCCGGGTTCCGATGGTCGACGCCCGTTTCCTGGAACTGTAACACAAACCATCTACGTTTATCTAGGCTAAGACAACAAAATTTAAGGGGATATGGTGTTTGTTAAGGTACGTTTAGGATTCTTTCAGATCTACGGATTAGATTTACCTTTATTGAATGTTAAAAGGAGGCGTAAGTTGTAAAAGTAAATTAATAGAAAATTTAGGAAAAGGCAGAAAGTAGTAATAATTGTTATTAAACTACCCCCCCCCCCCCGCCCTTTTTTTTTTAAAAGAAAAAAAAGGGATTTTTTTTTATTTTTTTTTAAAAATTTATTTAAAAAAAACCCCCCTCCCTCTCTTCTTTTATAAAAAAAAAAAAAAGCGGGGGTTTTGTATTGCATTCCAAGCGCCCTTACCTCAACACAAAACTGAAGAGAAACGGCCCAGAAACATCTGAAGCAATGCTCGTCCCGGTTCCGGCCGAGAAATTCGATAATCTGAGCCCTCCCGAGGATCTGGACGATCTTTGAGACATCACAGATGAGGCTCTCGATGACCAGCCACCAACTGACGAATCTAAAAGACAAAATTTTCCTGGAAAGCGTGGCGTTTTTCACTCCACTCAAGCGAAATGAAAAGGGGGAGGGCAACTCTTTCAGGCTAAAGGGATAAACACAGCAAACCATACAATACAAAAGCAAAATGGCGGCAATTTGGGGTTTGCGTCATGCGTACCGTAGTTTTGCCTTGATTAAAGTATTGTAGAGAAATTTTGTGGTCTCAACTTGTTTTTTGAAACGTTTTAGATCCAGAAAAACCGAAAAATCAGGGAAAACTACGGTGGTCAAGGTATCGGTAATGAAGAATTTACGCGAAAAGGTGTTACTGGTCGTCGAGCCGCGGAGGCTAAGGCTCCATGCTAGAAAATGGAGAAGGTATTGTTAAGGGGTTATTGCAGGTATAGATTACCACCTCTCCCTTCGTGTTCCCACTGGTCCCACCAGTCGTTGTTCGAGCCTTTTCGTGAGGTAGGAGAGTGGCCGGTGGTTAGGAGGGGAGCACAGTCGAGGCTCTGAAATAATGGAAAATTTCCTGTTTTGAGCCTACTTCAATGGACCAGAACACGATTATAAAATCGGCTGCTCATGTCTATTAGATAAAAAAAGGTCGGAAATCGCGACAAAGATCAAAAACCCGCGTTTAAATTTGGCTACGAGCTCCAAAAGCGCTCGTATCTTGCCTTGGCTTGAGCTTGTCTAGACCCAGCCGAAGATGGGGGTCGATTTTGCGATTTTCTCGCTCCATTAGATAGAGATTAAAATGTGTCAGTCAGTAAAGATTTCATAGATGCACGAGCCTCAGCGCATGAGTTAAAGTGAGCCCGGCGGGGTAGCGCGCTATGACCGCGCTTTGTTAACGATAGTCCACCGTAGCTATTTTTAACTTTTTAGGGGCTTTTACAAGCTGATATACCTTTGATTTTTTATATCACAAAAGTAAACAAAAAGCATAATCTACTACGTGAAACCTATTGGCGTAATGGCTGACAAAGTAGCTTACTTCCGATGGTGCCCCTTCAGTCGCATTCACAAAATAGCTAAAGTCAAAGTGCGAAATGGCAGACGGGCGACGGATTTCGATGACCGGCAGACCAGGCAGCGCCTAAAACACACCATTAACCACGTAGTCCACCACTTTTTTTCGAATAAAACAGGTGACAGGGATAGGGGGAGGAAGAGCATCAAAACTGGGGGCGGGGATTCGGGGGAGGTTGACACAAAAGCTGTCGAATCGAAACGGAGAATATGTATACACATATAAACCGAAGGGGAGCGCCACGATATACTGTGTGCTCTGATCGAGAGAGAAAAAACAGGGTTACGTTACCGATTTTTGGAATCGCGGCAGTGGGCCCTGAAAGTGACGGTTAGTTTGGGTGGTCCGTGTTAAACGGGGTATTAACAAAAATATAAAGCCAAAATAAAGGTATAGAATTTACCAAGGGGGAGCTGGGGCGACGGTTGACCGCCTCGGCAAAGACGTTGTTGCTGCTCATTGAGCCGTTTGCCGTCCTGAAAATTGTTTTTAAAGCGGCTGTGAAGCGCTGGACTGAATCTACCCTCACACCGACTAGGTCTAGACCACTACAACCCGCAAAGATATGGATTTAACGTCTTGATTATTTCAAAGGGTCGATTCTAGCGCTTCCCAGCCCCTTTAAAGGGATAACGCCAGTAAAGAAGCTCAAAAATTTATTGCAATTCAACTCACGTCGGCGGGCTGGCCGTGTAAATCTCCAAATCTGGCAGATGACAGTAGCCCAATTTTTTCGCAACATTTGCCGATTCCGACGAGTCTTGCTGCTCGCTAAAATACGAGATTTTGCCACAAAATCGCCAGTTCTACTTTTTATAGGCATTTCTCAGCGCGTCCCTCCTTGTCAGCGGGTAGTTTTGCAACTTCTTTGTGAATTCAAGAACAGCATCTGATCCCGAGGTATTGCTCTCCGGGGACGAGTCTCCTAAAGCTGAAAGTCGTCGTGAGTAGTAGGTGGGTGGCTAGGTAAGTTAGTTATCATTAATGCGGGTTTGGGTCGTGCAACGAGCATTATTGATGGGGTAGGACGTTGTTTAGCAATTCACCGCAAAATCAGGGTTGTTTGGGGGAGGGGGGCACTGTGGCAAGCACGCTAGCAGAAACGTTTCAGGAAGGGCAGCGCGGATGAGCCAGTAATTTAAATGGACATGATCCTGATTCCGGTAGACTTTTATGGTTTGTAAGTACCGGGGAGAGTCACACTCACTTCTTACATGCCGCTTGCACGGATCCGTACCCATTCGACCTCGGAAAAATGATTGGATGTATTTGGGGAGGTGCTTCTGCACGGATGAGCTGTTGGAGAGGGCTTTCTTCGAGCGAGTTGATCCGCTGCTCGTGTCGGTGCCAAGTCTAGTAAGGGTGTTCGGCTCTAAGCTGAATTTTGCGCATACCGTTGCCGCCGCTTCTGCTTATTGCTACTCCGCCAATCTTTCGCACCGCTGGAAAATCGTTTCGGCCGTAGAATTTCGACCGAACTTGATCTAAACGAAAAGTGCACTAGAATTTCGACGCCTACCTTCGAATCTGTACTCTCCTTGCACTTTTCTGGCTCATGTTGGGTCTCAAAAAATTCCTGGTAACTTCCGGTTTTTTATCCCCATCTTCTCGTCGATCAAAGGATTTGGACTTGGCAATTTTGCTAGAAAACAGATCTTCCATGGGCTTGGGTAATTTACCTAGACGATGGTGTCGTTAAGCTCATCGTCGACTGCCCTCGATGATCGCTGATCGGTTTCGGGGCGGGTTTTAGGTCTTTCTGAAGCCGGAAGTCATAATGAACGACCTTGATGAGCGGCTTACTTCGATATGCTTTGCCGTTCTCTTTTTGCTGACGAGGCCGAGATCCCAGCTCAGTTTGTGGAGAATCAACCGGATGAGGAGCGAGGAATCGAGCACCAGCCCAAGCTTGCATAAATGAGCTTCCAGGTTTTCCAGTGAGAGCAACACCTCTACGGATGCCAATTGGAAAGCGCTTTCCCGGGCGGCAAAGTCAACCTAAAAGTCTGTATTAATGAAACCGAGGTGGTTAGATACAAACCTGTAGGGTGGGTGAATGTTGCCTGCTGGCGGAAACGTTCTTCAGCGCATCAGTATCGATCAATGGTGGACTTGCCGCTGACGGGCTTTCTTCGGTGATAGGTTCGGATGTGGAGAGGTTCATCGACTTTTTCACGAGCTGAGCAGGATAAGTTAATTTTTAAGTGATACCATCCAAAGAATACCTCTTGAACTTCTTGCAAGAGTTTTAACAATACTCCTTCAACGCTCATTGATGACTTGCTGAAGGCGAACATCGACTTCGGAGTGGAGCACGTCTCGCAAATGTAGCCATCTTCGTTTTGTGGATTTGGCTTAGCTTCCACTTTTTCTTCATTTCCTAAATCTCATGGTAAAATATTTCCTTTCCAATAACATACCTATCATATGAAACAAGTTGACCCGACTGCCAACCCGATCACCCAGCCCGACGTAGATCAAAATTCTGGCCGCGTGGAATTTCACGAAATGCCCGAATTTTGTGGAATGATTTGTGTAGTACCTAAGATACCTTAAAATTGACTTTATGAAATTACCAGTCATCAGCCGGCAGCAGCATTTGGATCAGCACTTCGTCAATATTTTCATCAATAAATAATCGATGGGTGCTCGAATCCATTGAGATCAGGGCAAGGGTTTGGAGGAGGAGACAGAGCAGTTGCTAAATGTTAATGAATGGAAGGTATAAAATACAACTCACCGGTTCTAGCGTCGGCTCTAACAACTGGATGACCGTTTTCAGTTGCTCGCTCAATTTGGATCGAAATTTTTTGATATGGGCAAGGAAAAGGAGGAGGCGGGCGACGAGGATCTAAAAATGTGTATAAAGTCGCGCTCGTTCTCTCTCTCTCTGCTGTCTCTCTCTCTCTCTCACTCTTCCTCACCTGGGTACAATGCTGATTGCATTGTCTCCACCGATGTGCCGGACTACAAACACATCTAGCACCAGCTTCTCGATTTTGCATCGTTATGGCATTGTGAAGACAAACGATTACTGTAATAGGCAATTTTCGAACTTCACATTACTTTCTATACCTTGACTCGGCTCCTGGATCGCAAAAGTGGCCATAAGATCCGATGGTTTTGGGGCAGACACAACCACTGGTGAAGAAACAAAAGGGAAAGACGTTGGGTACAAGTCCTTTCCAGTGCCATAGACAAAGACGTGATCCACGGTGGAGTGCTGGTCCATTGAACCGCCTATAATGGTGGAGCTTATACTTTATGAAAGTTAGATACCTGGCGAAAATCCCGGGTCGTCAATGTCAAAGGTGTGACTACGGTTCAAAAGTCTTGATGAGTGAAAGACAACGTCTGGGGCGTTGAAGAGGTCATGGACGAGGCCAGTGTCGATGATCTAGGTATTGGGCATCAAATTTTAAAGATCTTACCTACCTTATTAAGCGTACTTAACGCGGAGAAGTGTCTGCTCGAGCCGGCTTTTTGTAGGAATTGGAAGCAGAAGGAGGAGAGGGCACAGACCGTGCATTGAAGCTGGTTCCGGCGTTGACGTCGATAAGATGGTGTTGAGGTTTCAAAGTTTTCGATGGCTGTCTGAAGGCATAGTGATAAGTAAGGTTAGTCAATCGCTATCTCTCTTCTTCGATCTATATATCTCTCTCCTTCTATAGCATCTCTCCCTACCACTATCTCTCTTTCTCTTACTCTATCTCCCTCACCTGCAAAACTCGGTGAAACACCCCTCCCAGATGCGCATCAAAAGCCTCGTGATCGATGTGGCTGGGAATATTCTCCAATTCAGCTGCGTACTTTGTGATCGTACTCTAAAATGTACTATATTTTCCGCACGTATATTATTTCCTTACATGTATCGCATCCAAACACTCGGGGTTCCCAGCCATCTTCTTCAACAGTTCCCAAGCTTGCTCCCAGGAGACATTATCGACAGATGGGTCAAGAGCTAGAAATATACAATGATTGTTTCTTTAATTCCATACCGTAACTGTTCCCAAATAAGTTATAATTGTTAACAGATTTTCTTGATTTTTGATGGAGCTGAAGAGACACGAGGCTTCTCCTTCTGGCTGACTCTTTTGCAGATGTTGTCTCCAGCACCGAGAGGGTGGATAGAGAAGGGGCTTGTGAAGATTTTGGGGATAGTGGAGGTTTATTTCTTTCCGACGGTGCTGAAAAACAAAACCTGTTTCCGGTATCTTACTACTTACAGCTTTCCGCTGCTAATCGATGGGATCCTCTCGATACTATCGGGCGTACCGGTGGTGGTGGCTCTGTTTGTTCACAAGCCGTCGCGCTCTGAATTTTTTTGTATATATTGGGAGTTTTTATGGGCTTACTTACCTTAAACAACTGATCCACACAAGTTTGCTGAAGCCTTCGTAGTTCGGGCGCCAAATCTAGCGGGCAGATGCCGCGACAATTTTTCTGCTCGATTCTGAAGCGTTTTATAAATTGAAAAGCTCGTCTTCAAGCTTACTGCGCTCCAAAAAATATCAAAGTATGTAGGCAGGGCCAGGAAAGGGGGGATTCCCGAACGGCGAGCAGAAGCGGGGTATTGCCCTCTTCATCGCCTACATCTAAAAACGGCATTAACTATTTTGAAATTCCAGGTTTTGCTATTATCTATTATCTATTAATGTAAAAAATTCTGGTTCAGCTTCAAAAACAACTAAGAAGGTACACATTTTTTGAAAAGATAACACGTGGTATCGTCAAAAGCAAAGAACAAAGTAGTGTCACCATCCCTTTAAAATACAGCCGAACCAGCCACTCAAATAAAAATAAAAATAAAGGAAACGTGGGGTATCACACTATTGGTTACCTTCTTTTAACGACTTTTTGGGCGCAATGGCGGCTAAAATATTCATCTTGAGGCCAGGGAGCTGCTGAACTTACTGAGGTTGACGTCAGCGCCGTAGGCCACAAGCAGGGCGATCATTTCGCTGCTTTGGGCTTTTACAGCGACCCCAAGAGGGGTGTGGTCGACGAAGGATTGGACGCGAAGCTGCGAGCAGATGCCGCACATTTCGGGGGTTATTGAGTGGGTGGAGTAGCTGAAATGGTTGTTGTAAAAAGTGAAAATTGAGAGAGAGAGAGAGAGGAAAGAGAGAGAGAGAGGGAGAGAGTGAGAGAGAGGGAAAACCTAAAAACTACCGTGGCAAAATCGAAGTCATCGGAATATTCCCGGTAGCTGTACAATTCCCTCGACAATGGCAAACCGCCGGCGCATTTGGATCATATCCGTCTGAATAATTTTTACACGCCTTGCCGTCGTCTTACTTTTCAACAACAACTCGGCAATCTCCTTCTGCTTATGAGCAACTGCCATGTGAAGACTGTTCAGCACCGCACACGTAGATCGTCCATTGGAATGTGTACTCACTGTACTGCTCGCGTTTGACCGCCGATGCATGCCGTGCCTACGTTGGGCCAGCTCGCTGAGAGTGTTTGTCGAGCCTGAATTAAGTTTTGTTAGTGTCATCCTTGAGCATTTGAGGCTAGATGAGTTATTTCAAGCCCGGCGTAAATTGCCAATAAGTAGCATGGTCCCATGTCTATCCATCAAACGTAGATCCGCTCTACGGGCTCCGTGCCCCGCATGCATTAGTACTGGGCCCAGGGTGAAAATATTTTTTGCTCGAACACCTTCGCTTCAAGAAATTTAGCACGGAAAATAGGGCTGCGATGTTCTCGGAATCTTAAGAATCAAAATAAAAAGGGCGCTTGAAAACACCTTCCAAAATCCACAAAAACCGAGGGGAAAAATTAACTTTGGTCCGATTTTCGTTATTTGAATTGACAGATCTTTACGCTGGGCTTTTGGCTTCTTATTAATGTAGATTTTACCCCCTATGATGCCAGTAATTCCAAAGCTACACCACCCACCTATGGACGGCGATGTACTCAACGGCTTGGCATTGACGTGCGACGTCAGCAGCTTCTCGACAAGGCTCGCGTCTTCAAAGTGGATCGCCTGAAAATGACTCCAACGTATGGCAAAACCTTATGATGCCGCATGACTCCGCTAATTTCCATAGCTTGATGTGCTCCGCGTGCGAGACCCGGAAATCTGACCCGCTTGCCCTGGGCGACGACACATACATCCAAAGCAGATATTTTGGACTGACAAAAAACAGGAGGTGGGGATCCGCATCACCCTGCTCCCCTCCCGGCTAATTGACGTGGATTCAATTTCGTTTGGTTGAGAGGGAACAGACTTGAGGGCCAAGTCAACGCTTCTCGCAACCCCCCTCCCCTACTCTTCCGGGGTCGCATCAGATAAAGGTTGCCATTCGCTCTATATATAAACGTATTTGGTCCTTCGTTCCGGGGAATTGGGTTCTGGGATCAACTTGCGGGTTTTGGGTAGGGTTCGGGTGGGATAAAAAGTGGTAAGAAGTAGCAAGCATATGGTGGACATAAAATTTAGGGTAATAAAAAAGCGCTAAAGTTTTCCAAAATCTTTAAAAGAAACTATGAAGTTACAGGATCTACCCCTAAAATTTCATAGGTGTCGATTACGAAATTACAATTATAAATTGACAATTACGAACATGCGCGTAACTGTCGCTATCAAGTACGTGACAAGGGTGGTTTTCGAAGCTTTCCGAGCATTTTGAAGTGGCAAAAGCCGGTGGTTAATAGCGCTTAAAGAACGATTCAGTGCCCTTTTTATTCCATTAACCAGCGGGGGAGGAGCCGCTTCGCGACCTCCCCCGCTGGACCCCGTCTAGGCCCTATGAATCGAGCGCCCTTCCACATAAAGTTACCCTGAACAAAGAACAACGCATTTCCCATGCAAACCTCTTTGCATTGACATGCTGCGCAAGCTTAGCTCAGCTCGTTATTCGGCCTGCGGCGCATGCTTGATCGGCCAGATCCTTATCCAGCGGCCCCTGCTTGAGTGGTTTGCTTCGAGAGAAAGCCTGCGGCGCAAGTTCGAGCGGTTACCTCCTTCTTTGCCTGCGGCGCTGCTCATGGTTGGCTTTTTCGTTAGCCTGCGGCGCTGCTTGAGCGGCTGGCTTCGTTCTGAGCCTGCGGCGCTAGCTTGAGCGGCTAGCTTCGTTCTAAAGCCTGCGGCGCCAGCTTGAGCGGCTAGCTTCGTTCTAAAGCCTGCGGCGCTAGCTTGAGCGGCTAGCTTAGTTCTAAAGTCTACGGCGCTAGCTTGGCGGCTAGCTTGTTCTAAAGCCTGCGGCGCCAGCTTGAGCGCTAGCTTCGTTCTAAGCCTACGGCGCTAGCTTGCGAGGTTAGCTTCATACTTAGCCTGCGGCGCAAGCTTGAGCCTCCTTATCCCGCGGCGCAATTTTGAAGGGCTAGCTTTGACCTTGGACACGCGGCGCCAGCTTGCCCGGCTAACTTCCTTCCGAAGCTTGCGACGCTAGTTTCAGGGGCCGGCCTGAACCTTTAGCCTGCGGCGCTAGTTTGAGCGGCTTGCGTCATTCCAAACTCTGCGGCGCTAGCTTGAGCAATTAGCTTGATTCCTTGGCCTGCGGCGCATGCTTGAGCGGGTAGCCTCATTCTATAGGCTGCGGCTTGAGTGACTAACTTCATAATAACCTCCCTAAACGGAAATCCACTCCGAAACGCACTTTCCGAGCAAAAAGCAAAACAGCTACGATATCCCGGATCGAACCTCCGATGGTTAGATTAGCACGGCGAAGCGCTAATCACTACACCATGCAATGCTTGGCAGCACGCGCCAACCACCCCTTTTATGTCTCAAGGGGGTTGCCCGCGGGACAGGGGAGGAAGGCATCGAGGGCAGATCCAAGAGACGACCAACTCGCGAGTCAACTGGCAAGAATGAGGAATCTGTATTTTTTCATCTTATGCAAATTAGCCCTCCCGGAGCCCCAAAAATCAAGAAAACCGGCTTTAACTTTGTAAACTTGTATTTTATCGGGTTCTGAAACGCCATCGGAAGAGGGGGGTCGATTCCCCCGGGTGACGGAGAATTATGGCATTTTGGACACGGGAAGGCCCTCAAATCGGGCCCCGAAAGTGACATCCACACACACACACACACACAGAGATACACTCCAAAATTATAGAAGGTAGGATCTTAGCCTACCTCCAACAACATTTCCGACATATTTTGGGTAACACTCGGCTTCCGCTCTTCTCGAATCAGATTTCTTTGAGCTGCAGTAAAGGTGAAGCTTCTGAAGTGGCAATAATTAAAATCATAAAAAGTACAATACGATACGAAAAAAAGTTTTCAACAATATGCATCTGTATCCAACCTGCCGGTATCAGTCGGCGTCCCGACCAACGAAGAGCATTCGCTGCTTTCGCCGGTATACCTCCGGCCCGACAGCCCTGGAAATAATAGAAATTTGAAGAAGCACCCGTTTTTACAATCGATTCCCCGGGTTTTATGGTTTTGTCATGGTACACTTACGCAGTCACTTTTTTTGACTCACAAAGCGGCAATCCAAGGGTTGGGGCGCGAAAATACGGGATCATGGATTAGGGGAGAGCAGCCTGCGGGCGGTACTGCGGATTTCCGCTGAGTTTTCTGTTAGCCCGAACTAGCGCGAGGGTCTTTGGTACGTTGGACATTAGGTAGTCGTTACGAGGGCCTACGAAAAGCCAAATGTGCCATTTTATTGCAGCTCGTTTCCAGGTTGTTTCGGGTCGAGTTATTAGGTTCCACAAATTGCCCCCCCATTGGAAACCGGACTCTGGAAAGGTGGTATCTACGACAATTTTACCGGGTTGATTTTTAGTATATAGTTATTCTGGTAAGATTTTCAGGCCAGTATAAAATTTAAGAAATCCATTTAATTATTCATCAATGCCATTTAATCATAATCAAAAAATCATTAATGCCATTTAATTTTTAACAAATCCTTTGGGAATTTGTTTCAATCATCAGTCGATACTATTAATGCGTAGTAACTATAAATATATGGATATAAATAGATTCATAAGTAGTTTCCGAGGCTTAAGGTATGCTTACGGGACTTATCCAGAGCATCAAGTTGTCCAAGAATCAAACTAGAAAAATTTAAATTAAAAATAAATTATAGTTGGATTGAAGTAAGTATATAGCGGGCATAATCGGATCAGTCTCTGCCACCCGGCCGATTCGGTGGCCAGCAAAAATTGGTGCTTCCAGGTTATCGGGGGTCGGTTATTTTAGCGGGGGTCGGTTGGCATCTTCTTTTTGTTTAGCCTATACCTGCTTAGGGATAAATGGTAGTTTATCTTAATACTGTTTTTAGTAGCTTCCGGTAATCAAAAATTATAAAAATTTTTTGCCTATAGTCACGTCTAGGGTTATAGCGCGTTTTGCCATTTTCATATACGTTAGACCGAAAAAGAAATTTTTTTCTACAGGTTTTATGACGTTTTTCTTAATGTCTCCTCCCCCGCTAACAGTCCAGAACCATTTCAAACGGCGCGCAAGTCTATAAAAACGGCCAGCTTTTAATTAGCCAAGCCGCGCGATATTATAAAAAAAAGTTCGCGACCGACCCCCGCTAAAATAACCGACCCCCGATAACCTGGAAGCACCCAAAAATTTTGTGCTGCCAACCAGGAGCCTCCAGAAGCAAAAAATACTGATATACCTACCATTCTCTTTAACAGCTATCATATCCCTCCACCGAAATTAAAGAAACCAGCAAGTCAGCAATAAATCCATAAGATCGACTTGATTGACTGGTCTTTGAGCGGTTAGCGTACCACCTGGCGGCAAAATGAGGAAATAGGCGGGGTTGTGCTACGTGGGGGTGTGGGTGGTTGTATTGTGTCTGACCGGGTGGGTCCTCCCGGGCTCGATCACTCAATCCACCCAATCTTTAGAGGCTGAGAAGAGGGCCAATGAGGCGAGTAAGCAGCTGATCGTTTTATGGCCCGGCAGAGAGGGCCCACCACACCCACAACAGCCACAAAACCTGTGTTTTCATTCCGGTAGCAGAGCGCTTTTCGAGCCGTTCACCGCAAGTGGTGTACGAGGGTAAATTTGGGGCTTGTTGACCAAAAAGTGTATTGGCTTATTTTTTCTACTATTGTTACCAGGATTTAAAAACTTTCCAGGCTGTGAGTCATGCCTACCAGCTGTTAATAAATTTTAAATAACGCAAATATAAAAATTTGGCCGTTTTGTTTCATTTATTGATGGACTTCTTTAAGTTATATTGAAGGAAGCTGTGTCGAACCGAGCGTACCTTCAATTGGCCAAAACGCTAACCGATTACGCTATGAAAAACGAAAGGAGAGCGTGTCCAGGCGCCGGCTCTATGTTAATTTGGCTTAGGCTTAGGCTTTGGCGTCGACTTAAGAAAGCCCTTTATTAAAACCCGGCAAAAAAAACTCCGGAAGCTTGCCGCTCCGGCCAACTGATATTCCGATGATGAGCCCCAAACGCGGGCCACTGTAAACAGGATTAAGAGGTGCAGCGCTGTCAGAAGCTGCCAGAAACCGGGGTTGATGGTAAGGCCACCGAAACCAAACCAAGAAAATCGAGGATCTACGTCAAAATTCACTAAGCTACCTTAAAAACCCTGAAAAGTAACCAAAATTTAAAGCTACTTCAACGGGGTAAACTAGAGTCAAAGGTATCGATTGCCAATGAACTCCATCGGCAGGAGCCTGGTTAGGTTGATAAATTTTAGCATGGTTTGTTGCTGTCTGGCTGCCGCGGTGAGGCGTGAAATTTTATGTCTCCCACCCGCCGACACGTCGGTTATCAGGGAGCACCGGGCAATATAACCGGATGCTACCCATTCTCTTGGGCCTAAAGTTTAAAAATACAACCCACTTGAGTGTTTTGGTTGCGGAATTGGTAAGAAAGTTGCGTCTGGGGGCTCGAGCCGTAGGAAAAGCTTTGGGGGCTCAGGGCGGTGGGAATCGCGGGGGCTCAACGAGGTTCCAAAGCCGGGAACGTCCTTTTCGGGAAAAAGTACGGGAGGGCTTTTGGGGGAATCTTATAGCTCGGGATTGGCAAAGAACAGCTGGATCATCATCAAAAATTGTATTTTTCGTGAAATGCCGTTTTTCTTCTTCAGGCTGACCTAACCTAACGCGAAAAAATGGCTTGATTCTTTAATAATTTTTGAATGATTCCAATAAAATAGACGCAAGGCTCGTCTCCAAGTTGGATTACCAAGGGATTACTATTTTTAGATGCCTCTTACGCCAGGATATCGCATTCTCACTGAAAATTCAGAATTTTGGGCCTGTGGAAACGCCTAAAAACAGTCACCCGCTTATTAAAATTAGCATAAATGCCTTAAATTTAAATATAACGCCTTCTACAATCCCTTACTCTTTGCCTTGATACTGTATCTATTTGAATTCCTGGTGCTCGATTTTCGGGACCAATCCATCGTAGCCACGCCAAAAAATAAGTGAAGCCCTGCTATCTGGCCATCGATTCAGAATATAGCGCCGTTAGCCGCGGCCGAATTGCGAATTTCCAGGAGATTCGTGAATTCCCAAATTGGCAGGGCAACGAGTAGAAGCGGAAGAGTGGCGGTGGTGGATGTGCAAGAAGGCTGAGGAGGGATAACTCGAAATGGATGGGGTGGAGAAGATACTCTAATTCGTCGCCGTCTCACCCATCTATCTATCTATGCCCCTTCAGATGTCAAGGCGACGTCGTCTCTCTCTCTCTACCTGTCTCTCCCCTTCTCCAGCCTATGCCCTCAGGGCACATAAAAAATTAAGCAGGCGCATACTAATCCTATTTGGACGTCGCCTCTTCTGATGGAGGGAGGGGGAGAAGGAGCTTGGAGGAAGAACAAGGAGAAGCCTTTATATGTCGCAACAACATCATAGGGCAAAGAATAATGGGTTGCATCACGATTTGGTAGGTAAAAAGGCTGTGTTTTAGCGTCAAGCCCAACCTTGTGCCGCGGAACCCCGGTAAAATCGGGATACACTGTATTGTACGGATTTCCGGGCGTATTTTTGAATTTTTTTTTAACCGGCTTTGGCTATTTCGGGGTGTACAAGAAAGCTCCAATAAAGACAATCCGGAAGCCAGCCAGCTATTACCAGCCCAGCAAAAAAACTCCCAAAATAACCCAAATCCAACCCCGCATCATACCAGACTCGGTCTTAAATGATGAAATTAAATTCAGCTGCCTCGGTTAGTCGAAATTTTCTGGGAGTGGTGAAGGAACAAATTTCGATGCGAATTTTTGCGTATTGGGTGGTTCCCGGCCGATTGTAATGCTAATAGATGCCTGGTGGAAAAGCGGAATTTCGTGACGGGAGGGAATAACAAGCTTTCAGAGCGAAACAAGCCTGCTCTTTGAATTGAAGCTAGGTTTTAAAGGAAAACTGACTTTTGTCCGTGTGGATTTATATAATACTTTACCATCAAATTGTAATTTGCCAAATTGCGAGTAAATTTGTTAGTTAGATTTAGTTAGAACCCTGAACTAAAATGGTGAATATTATTCAAAGCAATGGTTATTTATTCATTTCAATTTTTGAAAACCGTCCGTACTTATGCTTATAAATTGCCGTTATGAAGCAACCTAAGACCAACCTATAAATTCTCAAAACTTCTAATTTAATTTCTAACAATTTCCAGCAGTTAAAACTCTGCGACTTTCACTTACAATTCACAAACAGCAGATCCGATGCGGACCCACGGCCCGTATTCCGACATTTTGCAGCATCCATATCTGTGCAGCCAAGTTTGGGCGTATGTGTTTCAAATATTTAGAGATTCCTGCCGGGATCGCTGCCGGAACATGGGTTCCAGAAAAATGGCGCCACACACGCGGCAATCCGTTGCTTGCACCGGGCCCTAGGCCATGCATTTCAGATTTTCACGCGAGGCCCGTATTTTTTTAGGGCGCGCCATCAGGAAATGGGGAAGAGGACAAAATAATATACTTTGAAAACTGAGGAATTCAGAAGAATAGAAGAATTTTTATAAATAGTCTTGAAATTCGCATAACACCAGGAAAAAATTGGAGGTATTCCAAGAAAAAAAGCTAATCGTAAATTTTGGGAAAATTTAACGAGAATGTCGCGGCGTAATTTTATGATATGAACAGTGGCAGAGGAACAAAATAGCATAATTTAGAACTTTTACATCCTTTATAGCCGCTTTTAGCTTTTGTCGACATTCGTAATGCTTGATTATAGGCTCGTTAAATGCCAACTTTAATTATAGCCTAGAAACGCGCCCAAAATCTCTAGAAATCCTAAAAAATTAACATTTTCGGGCCAAAACACTAAAATTCAGGATGTTTTGAAAGACATAGACATAGAATAAAGGCCCAAATTCTCATTGGAAACCTTGGAAATTTGCCAAAATCAATAAATCCGGGACGTGCTGGATGTGGGGGAATAGATTCTAGCAAGTCTTCCCTTGCCCCTTGCCAAGGTGAGAATCCACAAAGCCGATTCGAATTAGGGATTACCGGGTTTGTCGCGACAAATCTTGTGCGAGTAGAGGCCCGAATTTTAAAAATTGCATCCCGTTTGCCCACATTTTTAGACTTAATTTTAGGCTAACAAGTTGTAAGTTCGTGGAGGTGGCAGAAAATTGGTGGTTGGGATGGGACCAAACAAAAAACTCTTATTGAGCCGGGCATGCGTAAAAAAACTTGATTCATTACAAGCATTCTATGAAATAGTGCCTTTAGCCTTAAATTACAAACAACAAACCCGACTGGCCGCTCTGCTGACGTTGCAGACGCTGTCGAAGGCGTTTTGCCGTCGAAACGGCTGTTTCATGATGGGATAACTCGGAGGAGTAGCCGAAAGTGTAGCGTAGACTTGCCCTAAGGAAGGTTAAAATGGAAATTTTTTCAAACCTTTCATTGTCGACGCTCGATTCCCGACTCTGGCTGGCCGCCGACTTTTTGGCGGCCAGGACGGCGGCCGCCGAGTTGGCGCGAAAGGAGGCCAGCTTCTTAATGTGATTAAAAAGCAAGAAAACGATAGGACCAAGCGTTAAAGAAAAGAGAAAATTTTAGAATCAATCAATCCATCTTTATGATATATATAAGCCATATAAGCGGATATAAGATAACTAGAAAAGAAATGTAACACTATCAACAAAAAAATTACAGAAAATTAAAGCAGAAAAATTTTAGATCCCGTTCATTTTCATTCAGCTTCTTCCAAATGCACTATATTTGTCGGCTCATCGAGCCAATTTAGCGGCAGCCCCCCGGTTGGTAGGTGTGGGCACCGGAATCAGATTCCGGCTCACCGGAAATTTCCCCGTCGTCACCAATTTCTCGTTGTTCGGCCAGCTTGCGAGATTGAGCTGCTTAACCAAAAACGGTACGGATTTTGCCCATTTTTTAGGTATAGCTTTAAAAATACCGCCAAAATGGGTGGTGCTGGTCTTTTGAAATAACCCCATCCCTGAAAAACCCGAGGATCTGGGGGAGAACAGGGCTTTCTTACCCTAGAACGTCTTGCGGATGATCCGGAGGAGCCGGCCTTTTAGGCAAAAAGCTAAAATCCGGGGGGAAGGACAGAGCGTGAATTGTTATTTCAATTTCTGTGAGTTGGTCGGGGTGTTTTGGACGATGGCCGTTCAAGGGTGTAGTCGGCGGTCTATGAAAATGATGAAAAATTGTGGAATGATGAAAATAAAAAACGGTGCTGGCATCTGAGGTAATGTCGTGTGTCTGTATTTTGTTGTTGTCAGGAAAGGGCAAAAATCGAGCCCACTGTGTCACGCCCCGTTTAAAAATTGACTCGCTGGAGAAAAAGAGGTAGGTAGAGGGCGAGGGAGAGAGAGAAAGAGAGAGAAGAAAAGAGAGAAAAGCGAGAAAGATAGTCAGTCGCTAATTGCGATATTTCACAATTCCAATCAATATAATCAAGATTCTGAGGGTTTCCTACCGACGGCCCGTGCGGCAATTCACTATAGATACACACGGTGATGCGCGATGAAAAGAAAATAAAAGAAAGAGAGACGGGGGATGTCCTGAGGCAATGGATGGGCAGATAATCCGTCGTGTGTGTGTGGCGGAAGAATAGCCGGACGGACATCTTCTTCTCTTCTATCTTTCTATCTATCCATACGGCCTCCCCACAGAAGAAACCCCTCGGAATACACCAAAAAAATTCGGGCAGTCGCCGAAAGAAGACGTGGAAGAAGGGGGAGATATCTAGAGGGGAAGCGGATTAGCCCAACCCAATTGCAGGTCCTCTCGCCCATTGGGGTCTTCTTCTACTTATCCGATTTATCTCATAGATTCATTTAGCTCGAGGTGGGTGAGAGGGCGGCTAATGAGCGGAAAATCGGCGGTAGATCCTGGAGATTGGCTTTGTTTGCTGGAATTTGGACTTAATGGTGAAAGCTGCTCACGGGTTGGAAAATTTCCATCATAAGGGTAAGCTGTATACACTAGTTTTAAGTAACTTTTTGGCATGTATAATATTTGATGGACTAATGCACTACTAGTCTAACAATTCTAGTCTTTCAAAGCAAAATAAAGATTAAATTTTCTATGAAAACGCAACGGCAAAGCTCCAAATACGCCGCATACGAGGATTCCGTAAAATTCCACTGAACGCCTCCAGAAGCCTTGGCAAACAGCCCTGAAGGCTCCAAAAAACTGCCCTTTTGCGGATATTTGCGGATGCCACGTGAAGCCGTGCTCTTCTAGCGCAATTTTCATTAGTGTGCTAAAAAGGACTTTCCCTAGCGCATGTTCTAGGCTTTGACGATATTAGCCCAAAATTAAGCTTAGAAGTTTTGGGACATCCCAAAAAGCTGACCCAGTAGAGCATGAAACATAGCTCCCTTCCACCCTCAAGTAATCTAAAGGTTTTCCATCAGACGTCTCCGATTTCCGGCGCCCATTATTCACTGTTGCAGATGTTGAACATTCCGGCTATGGAAAAGGAGCTCCCTTGTCAATAATTCATCCAATCCCGTCCCTCGGATTGATTTCTCAATGTACGTTTTCCGTCTCTCTCTCCCCATGTTTTTACATCAAAAATTTATCCATGGCATGGAGGTATCGGGGGGGGTGTAGAAAGAAAATAGGAAAGTAGACAATCAAGGGCCGGAAAGCAAAGGAAATCTACCGAGCAATAGGGGGAGGGAGAATCACTACCATGAATCGGTCGTATCGAAAAATTCGGAGAAATTAGCATAAAATATTTGTTAAGTAAATATACACGTCTCTGAGAGTGTCGTAATGAATCGCGGCGTAGATTCGGGATTGTTTTTTTTGAAAAGTTTGTTTTTAGTGAAATTTTCTGAAACTACTTTCATTTTTGATTTTTGCGGCCTTAATTCGCCAAAAATCATAAAAATCTGGTAGTTTTAGCAAATTCTAAATTCAATTTATTTTTGAGCAACAAAAAGCGCTTGTACGACATTTTTTAGGTATGGGTTTTGTTAAGGCCAATTGCGGATGGCTTATGCAAAAGCTGAGAAATTGAAAGGAATTTTTAGAACAATGCAAATCACAGGAAATTGCAAAAAAAACTCACAAATAGAACAGTTTGAGGCGCCTAAAAGGTGGAAAATTAAAATAAACATTGGCAACAGCGAGAAGCTAAAAAACTGCCCAAAAGCCCAGACACACACAGCACACAGGATCCCGTATTCGGTTAGGTCGGAGAAGCCGGAAAAGACTAGCTCTATGCAAATGAAGTGAAGAGGAAAGGAGGAGACATAGTATCGTCGTGTTGTTGTCTCTTTAGTAGTCCGTTTTTGACAGCAAGCCGTTCGCGCTGGCCGCCTGATTCTCGGTACGGTACTTTCGTTTCTTATCTGAAAAATTCATTAGTTTTTATAATATCCCTAATAAGTAGTTGGAGTGTTGCTTTTGCTTTTTCTAAGCTTAATAACTTTAAAAATACAAAAATTGATGGTTATTCGGCCAAATTCATTTTTATGTATTTTTCTGAGGTTTTTAGACAATGCTTCCACCTTGATGTAGTTACAAAATTGAGATACTAGGGCAAGACAAAACTAAGAAAGTTTTTATATACTTGCTAGTTCGTTATTAGGAATTTCTGGACTGAATAAACCCATTGTCGGTTCTTTTCTGGATGCGAAAGCTGATTTTAAGGAGCGCGGAAGGTTGCTTACAATTTTGTTACCTTTTAGATATGTAGTTTAGTGAAAGTTAACTCACTGCTACAACCTCTGCAGATCAGCACAGCCCCGATGAGGATCACCAGCGTCAAGATCAACGCGATCAGCATGATGATGATCAAATGATTTGTCCAGGCAGCGTTTGCCTAAATTTCGTAAGTTTGAGAAGAGGCACTAAGGTATACCTGCACATTACTTTCAGTTGTTTTCCCGATAGGCCTTCTCGTCGTGGTGGTTGTGGCTTCAGTAACCGGATCAATCTGAAAGTTGGTAATAGTTGGTAATTGAGGTATAGAACAGAACAGTTTTGAGGGGGATTAACTTACCCTCGGCCGCTGCGTGATAATCGTCGACTGGCTTTTCTTGACTTGCTGGGTGGTGGTCGTTACTGGGGCTTTGGTGGATGGTGTCTTGGATACGGTAGGTGGCGTGGCGTACGGACGGTCTGGAGGTAGACCGGAGCCTTGGACCTAAAAAGGCAGGTTCATCTCTGGGTTAAGTCGGCTCGTTTTTCTAACAATTAGTGCCTGGTTACGACTTGATTTTTCCAAGGGACCGATATAATCGGCTGATTCGCCCCAACTCGACCAACCCCTAAAAATACACATCGTGTTGGTAGATGCTCAGCGTAGCGGATGGCCCCTTCCATTCGATCCCAATTAACGGAATTAGGGTCATGGGCCACGGCGTGGGCAACAATGGGCCTTTCCTTCAGGGTGTTAGGCCCACATCTGGCTGGTTTTTCAGCCGGGATAAGTGGGATGCGCGTCTGCGGATGGGTGGCAGCAAGTTAATAGGGCTGACGGCCTGCGCTCATTTCTTCTAAGCTCATTCTTCTTAAAAGCCTTTTGCTATTTTTCTCCGCGTGAAATCTCCGCGAGTTTTTCGAGTTGGGTAGAATTGACAGGAGAATCTGCTTCTAAGAAAATAGGACTTCGGAAAAATGGTATTTAGAAAATGAACGTAACTCGTCTGTGGCCAGTTTGGTACAGCTTTTTCGTGCTTCGCTACCAATCAAATCAATCAATATTCCCCCAGCTCGTTTCCCTTTTTCTTCTGCTTCTTCTGATAGCCCATGGGGTCAACGAGTAACCGGATGCTCCACCCGCCCACCCTCCGAGCCCGGTGTGCCTGATCAGCACATTTTATGTGTGCCCCTCGACGGGCACTATCCAAACATGGCCCCAGGGCATAGACCCGAGGGCCCAAGTGAGAAGAGGGAGTATAGGGCCAATATGTTGCTCCCCCAGCCCTGTTCCTTCTCACATTTCGAGCCATTCGCGCGGAGGGGAATATGGCTGTCATAACACTCGATAGATTGGGAGAAGAGGGGCAGGTGTCATCCTAGTCTCTCGGTATCTCTAACTCTCCCTGTCTCCCGTGCTCTCACAATAATAACTGCCACCTGCACACACCCCGGGAGCACCATAGGCAAATTGCACAATGAGATGCGTGCATGGGTAATGAGCTTTTGGTAGCAGGGTTTTTTGGCGTTTGACCTAGTGAAGAATAATGAGTTTTTAATAGGTTAGGAGGTGTGATAGAGTACGGGAGAACGATCTAATGAAAAAGAAAGAGAGCGTGAGCTCGAGATGTCCATGAAATTAAAGCGAGAGAGAGAAAGAGAGAGAGAGAGAGAGCGAGAGAGTGAGAGAGAGAGGGAGATAGACAGAAAGACAGGGAAAGAGAGTTTTTTTTGTTTTGCTCAGCAGATGTTGAACAAAAACTATTTTTTTAGGAAAACACGCGGAAAATTAAGCATCGCGACGCTATATAACAACGACAAACCCTTAGCAATTGCCCTTTTAAGGTAGCCCACCGGATACCTCCAACCCCCGTAATTATCGTACTACTCCTCGGCACCGTTACAGCACCCCAATTTCCCGTCGCCGGCCTCACCTAAGGCTCAGCCCCGCTTCACTAGCTAGCAAGCCTATTCATTAGACTAATTGGCCGGCTTTTCGCCCCCCCCCCCCCTTTCCGGCTAGTCGATTCTCTATCTCCATTCGACCGTGAGTAAGAATGTAATCAGGTGGCTCGGCTTGGGGGGATGGTCGGTGTGTCCTTTCCGTTCCTTTAGGGGCAGAAGCCAAACATGGTTGACCCCGGGGTGGGGTGGGTGGTGGCCCTTGAGTCGAGCCGAGGAGCCACTATCCTAGCGGTAGCCGTATTTGTACGGAAGGGGAAGAACATAAGGCAGATATGGAAAAGAAAAGGAAGCCGACTTCTTGGAGATGATGGCGCAGATGCAGGGATTGAAGCGGATCAACTTAGAGAGCTTATAAAACTTATTAGCA